GAAATCCTTTGCATTTATTATGGTTTTATAAAAATTTAAAAAGTAACCAGCAACAGAACCTCAGAAGATGACAAATAAGAAAGTTGGAATATCACACGAGAATTGCCTGGAGCAGATAATCTTCGGAATTGTTTATCGTTTCTGATTCCATCAGCTCAGGGTTTTTTTTGGAGTTTGTCAGAAATTGATGCCTGCAACACAATGAATTTTAACACTTTATTCTAACGAAGGCTAGCAGCCACGGTGGGGAATTATCTGCTAATAGTAACAGGGAGACATTAAGCCAGTGTTTTAGGCAACAGCTAATAAAAGGAAGCTCTTTGCAGATTTCCAGATTTAAGCCATTTTTTCCGGCAGGCTGCTATCCGCAGGCAGCTGTTATTTAATGTATTCCCTATCGATTCTAGATTACATTTTAAAAGCTCTATGTTTATGTACTCCGTGCTTTAAGTGAATTGAAAAAAAAAAAAGTTAACAGGTGCTTTTATTTGGAAATAAATCGGATTTTAAATGGAAAATTATTTTCCAGTGCTTTATTAAGTTACAAGCACTGTCTTAGAAGAAAAAAAAAAAAAAAAAAAAAAAAAAATAAATATATATATATATATATATATATATATAAAAAGAGGTGGTTTTAAATTTCTGCAATAAATCAGTTACCCGTCACCGACCTAAAACTGCTCATATAATCCAGATGTTCGTAAACAGCAGAGACGAGGCATAAATAAATCTGTGGTTTGGGAAAAATCTATATTTCTAAACACCAAGTCTGGATCCCAAAAGTTTTCAAGGCATTTCTCCAGAAAGTAAGCAATCAATGTATCTTTATTAGTCAACCATCACGCTAATGCAGGGGTACCCAAAAGGTAGATCCCCAGATGTTTTCAAACTACAGCATCCATGATGCTTTGTCATTCTAAAAGCATGCAAAGCATCATGGGAGTTGTATGCTACATCTCAGCAGTTAAAGGGGAATTGTCACTTCCCTATTAATTAATAAAACATTGAAAATAACCTATTAACTTGTGCTGATTTCCCCCCTCCCCCGTGTGATTCTCCATTTTGTTTAAAAGCATATTAAAGATTTACCAAGTGAAATCACATACTAGTTAGGTCCTGGTTATACATCAATGTCGATTTTTACATTTAATTATTTTTTTCAGCCCAGAAACACATTGTATACGCGGGGATACGGGAGTATAAAATTAAAAATCGCTTGCTTTCACTTTAAATGTAATATGTGCTGCATGTGGTCTCCAGCACAGAATTTAACTCCCAGTCTTGAACAGATTTCCTGGAATCGAAAACACAAGAATGTACGTGACTTGGAATCCACAAAGATTGCTTCTTACCATCCTGTGTGAATACCTCACAACATTTCAAATGGACAAAGAGGGACTCTTTCATTTTAGGGGTGTGGCTGCTCTGAGAGATTTTAGGTGGCTTACCAGTTTAAGCAATTAACCGTTTATGCAACTAAAATGTAATTTAGAACAAGAACAATGTATTTTAATAACACAGACTGATTTCTAAACGCATTTATTGTAGTTTAAAGACACATTACTGGGAGTATTATTGCTGTGGGGCTCTGTTATACGCTCAGACACATTACTGGGAGTATTATTGCTGTGGAGCTCTGTTATACACTCAGACACATTACTGGGAGTATTATTGCTGCGGAGCTCTGTCTGTGATACACAGACACATTACTGGGAGTATTATTGCGGTGGAGCTCTGTTATACACTCAGGCACATTACTGGGAGTATTATTGCTGTGGAGCTCTGTTATACACTCAGACACATTACTGGGAGTATTATTGCTGTGGAGCTCTGTTATACACTCAGACACATTACTGGGAGTATTATTGCTGTGGAGCTCTGTTATACACTCAGACACATTACTGGGAGTATTATTGTTGTGGAGCTCTGTTATACACTCAGACACATTACTGGGAGTATTATTGCTGTGAAGCTCTGTGATACACTCAGACACATTACTGGGAGTATTATTGCTGTGGAGCTCTGTTATACACCCAGGCACATTACTGGGAGTATTATTGCTGTGGAGCTCTGTTATACACTCAGACACATTACTGGGAGTATTATTGCTGTGGAGCTCTGTTATACACTCAGACACATTGTCGGGAGTATTATTGCTGTGGAGCTCTGTTATACACTCAGACACATTACTGGGAGTATTATTGCTGTGGAGCTCTGTTATACACTCAGACACATTACTGGAGTATTATTGCTGTGGAGCTCTGTTATACACTCAGACACATTACTGGGAGTATTATTGCTGTGGAGCTCTGTTATACACTCTGACACATTACTGGGAATATTATTGCTGTAGAGCTCTGTTATACACTCAGACACATTACTGGGAGTATTATTGCTGTGGAGCTCTGTTATACACTCAGACACATTACTGGGAGTATTATTGCTGTGGAGCTCTGTTATACACTCAGACACATTACTCTGAGTATTATTGCTGTGGAGCTCTGTTATACACTCTGACACATTACTGGGAGTATTATTGCTGTGGAGCTCTGTTATACACTCTGACACATTACTGGGAGTATTATTGCTGTGGAGCTCTGTTATACACTGAGACACATTACTGGGAGTATTATTGCTGTGGAGCTCTGTTATACACTCTGACACATTACTGGGAGTATTATTGCTGTGGAGCTCTGTTATACACTGAGACACATTACTGGGAGTATTATTGCTGTGGAGCTCTGTTATACACTCTGACACATTACTGGGAGTATTATTGCTGTGGAGCTCTGTTATACACTGAGACACATTACTGGGAGTTATATTGCTGTGGAGCTCTGTTATAAACTCAGACACACCAATAAAATGGAGCTCCCAGAAAGAGGTATACTAAGATGTCGGCAAATTAGGGACTGCCCCTCCTAAAAAGGGACACTTGAGAGTTATGCCTCCCCATATGTAACCCCAACTTACACAGTCACAGATTATACATCATTCGGGGCTCTCTGCCATGTGTTACTATTCAGACAGAATTGCTGAGCTAAAGATCATTTTCTTAACTGTTTCAATGCTGGACAGCTTCCTACTAATCATAACACAGAATATTAATCCTGTTAACAGTGTTCAATAGTCATGGTGGAAAATATCAAAGGTAATTAAACCTCTGCAGAGGGAATCCGCTGTTGAGTCACCCGCAGATAAAAGATTTAGGTGACATTACTGCTGAGAACACAGCAAGCCAACATAGCACATCAGTCTGCGCTATCGATTAGTAAGGAGGCAGCTGGTGTGAGATCCAGCTGCACACACATCTGCTATTTAGCTTTCGTTTGCATACAAAACGTTAGAGCCAACACAAATGACCCAGCCCGCTGAACATGGTCAGTGTCCGGGACGCAGGACATAAAGCGTAACTGGGAAATTGTGCTTTCGCGTGCTGTCGTGACACAAACCAGTTGGAACAATCTGCACATTTATTTACGGTGAGGTCAGTGAGCGGGCATTTTAGTAAATTAACATTTTTTTCTTGACTCATAGCTGCCAACTGTCCCGAATCTGCAGGGACTGTTCTAATTAGTTTATTGTTTTTTTTCCATGTCCCGTTTCTCTGGGACTCTGGAGAAAAATCAGTTAAACTGTCAGAGGTTTAATTAAATGTGCTCACAAATGTGTCCTATATTCTATAGCAGGTTTAGGCAACCTTCAGCACTCCAGATGTTGTGGACTACACCTCCCATAATGCTCTTACACCCATAATGCTGGCAGAGCGCCAGAGGAGATGTAGTCCACCTGGAGTGCCGAATGTTGCCTACCATGCTCTATAGTACGGCACCTGCAATTATTGGAAACTTCTGAGTCAGCCAGAACTGATTGATGTACCCTATTTCTAAAACCCCTAGCTAATACTATCAATGCTGAATAGCATTGCCTTGTACCTTGCAGTGGCAAACTTACTTTAATTGGTTACTTTTAAATGATTTTACTTTTTCCTTAATTAGGAAAAAACTGCACAGGAGAACAGGAAGGATTTTCTGTTACATAGTTACACAGCTGAAAAGAGACTTGGTCCATCAAGTTCAGCCTACCTCACATTTGTTTTTTGCTGTTGATCCAAAAAAAGGCAAAAAACCCAGTTTGAAGCACTTCCAATTTTGCAACAAGCTAGGAAAAACATTCCTTCTTGACCCCAGAATAGCAGTCAGATTGATCCTTGGATCAAACAGTTATTATCCTACATTGAAAGATTATATCCTTGAATATTCTGTTTTTGCAAGTATGCATCTAGAAGCTGTTTGAACTTTCCCTTAGATATGGAGCAGGGATACTCCGTACTATGACAGACAGTCATTGGGTTGCTCTATATACTAATAAGGGCAAACCCCAACTGAACACGCTCCCATATGTGGCCATTCAGCAAGCTCTGGCTTCAACATCTAAAAAAGGGAAGGAAGCATGCCAGGGGCAGAGAGACTGTACATTCATTCAGTTACAAGCTCCAGAAATCAGCAGAGATTTAGGGATCAGAGAGTTCGAGGAACGCAATGCAGTAGAATACAGATCACTGCTGCACAAGGCGATCGATGGTCTCATCATATATGTCACAAACAGCCTGGATCAGCGATGGTTAACTAGGGCAGCCCAGATATAGGTAAATGACAGTTCCCATAACGCTCAACCAGCCTCCAGTCCGGATGAGCGTAGTTTACGGACATCTACAGGGTTATTCACTGAAGTGAGGATTGCAGAGATTCAAAGTACATTTCAAATGAAAGGCCAAATTAGCCAAACTGAACGCATGGCTGACTGGGAGAATTTTTCCAGTTTGGCTATTTTAACCTTGGATATGGGATTCGCTCTAAATTTCCTGCAATTCTCACGTTGGTGAATAAACCTGATTAAGTACAAAGTTTAAACAGAATCGCCTAAAATCAACGGCATTCCAAAGCTACCTTTCATGAATTTGTCATTTTATTTTTTATTTTTTTAACCCAAATAAAACCCTTTCATTGCCGCAGTACAATATAAAAATAAAATAATTCATCCAAAAGCAATTTTTCTGCTGCAACAGATGCAGTAACCGTTTCAAAAAGCTGATCCCCCATCCATTATTGATCACCACATGATGGTAAAGAGTTTTATTATTGTCACATTTTGACAGATAAACATGCACACTTGTCATTTTGCATCGGTGGAAAACTAACGCAAACCCAGTCCAGCTCTGTGTATGCCTGATGTTTATACAAATGCATTCTTGAGTGAAGCGTGGCTATATATGGGTTTGTCGTGTGCGAGATGTACAGTCTACTGGGAAAATTCTAAAATAAATTCTTGGTGGCGAAGGTCAGGTACCCTGTGTGACCCACTGTTTCTCTGGGTGGAACTCCAGTTTTGAATGTTTCACATGGATGTTGGGATGCAGACATCTGTTTGGACCCCTCGTTGCCTTCAGATGCTGGACTCGCTCTGTCCCCAGAAGGTTTCCCGAGATCGGGAATTTGCATACTAATAGTCCGTACGTCATGCACTCGTAGGAGAATTTCTAAGGTGTTGATATCGGTGAATCCGTGTTCCTCCAGGGATCGGCAGGTTCTCTGGACTTGCTCTATGCAAGGAGAAAACGAACAGATTCTCCCACCTGCAAAACAGACAGAAGAGGGTCAGATTAATCTTTCATTCCCACACTGCAGTGCGGCACAAGAGAACCACGGCCTCACTAATTCACAGCCTGCACAAGCTTTGCTGCAACATGTCCTGAAGATTTAATGTTCACAAGTACAATAATAAATCCTACAAGCAGTGATGGGGAGAGGACAATAAAAAAAGAAAAGCAGCAAGCCAGCAGAAATATTATCATAGCAAGGGAGCTAAATTGAAAAACAAATCATATGAAGAAATAATTAAACATCGGTTTATATTCCACGTACGACCTGCACAGTTTTTAATTAAAACATGAAAATGATATAGCTTAGCTTTGGGGAGAAGCTTGCCAGCTGTGTGTATCACTACACATCAGAAAGATTCAAGAATTCCATTAGAAATGGGCAAATAGCCACCGTCTGTTTTTGGCCTGCCATGAGGATTGGTTGTAAGCCAATTTACTCAACCCTGATCTAGTGCTTGGCAACGGCTGTGGATGCTGGGAGTTGTAGTGGGGAGCAGCCACGCTTTGGCGGTTTTGTTCCAGCAGGGAGTGAGCTCTTAAACTTACAGTTGCTGTAGTAACGGAGGCCCAAAACAGAGATGTGGGCAGACTACCTTATAATTTGCTTGCAAAGTTGCAAACTAGCAGGAGCTTTGTAAATGATTGTACGTCATGTTAGCTGCCCACACGCTCAGCACTAAGACAGTCACATGCAAATTCATTAAGAAAAAAAAAAAAAAAATCAACAAATATGTAAAATACATGGATCACCCACCCTTCCCGCCAAACCAGAAAAAAAAAAAAATTAGAAATAAAATTAAAGCATTGTTTGTGCTGGGAAGACAAACCCACAGCTCTGCTTCCAGTGTTAACTAAGGAAGATCCCAGGAGGACCTTTAACCCTACTATAAGATGTGTAGGAAATTCGAAGTCATTTAAATTCCAGCACAGAATGAACCCTTTGTCTGCAGAGGATGGGAAGGATTGCACCGAAGATGAAGCAGAATTGCGCATGATCTGGTATCCTCATGATAAAATGGACTTAACCCTTAAAGGAGCCACTGCCCAGCTATTTATTTATTTATAAAATATTTCACCAGGAAAGATACATTGAGATTTCTCTCGTTTTCAAGTATGTCCTGGGTCCACAAATCATTGCATTGTTACAATTAGGGTACAATAAAATACAAAACCAATATTAATACACAATAAATACAAAATTTAACATAGAACAGGCAGGAAATATATAATCAACCATGACAGGTGCATTCTGTTTTGAGGTATGTAGAGAGGGATCTCTTAAAGGACTTTAGGCTTAGGGAAGATTTTAAATTGTGTGGGAGGTCGTTCCACAATTGCGGTGCTCTGTAGGAGAAGGTGGATCGGACTGCTTTCTTTTTGTATTGAGGTAGACTAAGTAAAGTGTTGGTACTGGATCGGAGGTTATAGGAATTGGGAACAGCTGGGGAAAGTATTGTGTTCAGGTAGGGTGGGAGTTTCCCAGAAAAGCTCTTAAACACAAGGCTGGAAAGATGAAGGGTGCGTCTGGATTCCAGTGACAGCCAGTTTAGTTATTTAGTATGTCACAATGGTGAGTCCTGTAATTACATTGTAGCAGAAATCGGCAAAACGAGTTAAACAATGTGTTGAGTTTATTAATGTGGGATTGCGATGCAGATGCATATACTACATCCCCATAATCAATGATTGGCATCAGCATTTGCTGTACAATCTTTTCCTTTATTGTACGGCTTAGACAGGATTTGTTTCTGTACAGGGCACCTAGTTTTGGATAAAGTTTAGATGCAAGCTTTTCTATGTGCAGGCCAAAAGATAGATTGGGGTCTAACATCATACCCAAGTGTTTGAAAGAGTGGGCTGCGGTCAGTGTGCCATTTGAATTTGTTTTGATGGATAGGTGGGAATTGTGTAATTTGTGTAATTTAGGTACTTTTCCAAAGATCATTGTGACAGTTTTGTCAGTGTTTAGGAAGAGTTTGTTTTTTGCGATCCACTTTTCTACCTCTGTAAACGGATCTTGGAGCACAGCCTCAAGCTGCGGTAGATCGGATTTGCTCGCATAGATTACCGTGTCATCTGCTATAAAGAGACCACATAAAACAGGACTATGACCCTAGAAAAAAAACGGGCATGCTACGGGATTCTGGATCACAATTTCCCATGATGCCCCTCTACAGAGATGGCTGCAAGTAAACAAAAGACTTACTCTGGGTAACTGAAGATAAGATTGTCCATGCGAACTCACCCAGTGATACAATCACACAATTAATTCAAAGAACTGTTACACTAACAGCAATTAGAGCATCAAACTATCTGTACAGATTTTAGAAATTTAAGGCGCTTTAACACGCTGTTACCTGACTCTCCGTAATGTCACCAAAGGCAAATGTTTAACTACAACGAATTCTAACCAATTTGCATGTGGGATTGTCACTACCTGCAAGAATCATTCTGTATGATCGTTATTTATTTATTTTAACAGAGATTTATATGTTTCACAAGTGGGGAAAGTTTCTGCCTCCATATTTGTATCAACTCTAATGATCCTTACAGGAGCACTGTTTGATCTATAGCACTTAAGCGATATCACCATAAGGACCCAAGCTTTTATCGTTGTAAATAGTTGGGAATCTATGCAGTCCAGACTATATTAAGGGGACACTTCAGACCCCTAAAGCACTTTAGCTTGCTGAAAAGCATTATGCGTCAAGAGTGTGCCCTCCTTTTTTTTTTTTTTTCCATTTTACAAAAAGTGCAGATTTCAATAGAAATTAACACTTTTATAAATTAAACAAACACTATAGTGTTGGGAATTCACCACTGTATAAAAAAACATTATAAAAAGGTTAAAAAAACCACAAAACAACAACCTAAAACCCTTACCAAATTCCAGCGCCGAAGTCCCCTAACACTTCTGACATTAGCACTATCTGGGGACCTAATGAGCATGCGCGGCAAGTGCCTCGCACGCATTAGGCCATATGAAAGCATTAACTAAATGTTTTCCTGTGGGGTTTTGTAAGACGTTGGACGTCCTCATGAGCTCTATATATAATACTAATGGTAATTGTAAGGATGCTTTTAACCCATGACAACCCATGGTCATTCAATGGTATACCCTGCTGTTGGGAGTTATGGTGGATGTCTGAGCGTCATAGTAAATATTAACAGCAATCCGCCATTGATTGAAAGAACATGATTTTCTTTCAATTATTGAAGAGGCGCACGACCAAAGGTTATAACCCCTGTGCATGACATCACTCCCAGTGTACAAATGTGATCACAGATAGTGATGTAAGGCCTGCCACTAGGAGAGGCTGTGGAGGTAAGAATGGCCTCCGTCCTCATTCACTCCGGCAATTGCTCTAATTATAGCTGCCTCTTAGAATGGAAGTCATGCGTCATGCAGTGTTGTGGAGGGCTGAACTGGAACACTTAACATGTTCCACAGGGAAAAGATATGTTTCAAAGTGACCCATCCATAGTGGTAAAAATAATGCACTTATCCTGGGAATATTTTCAAGGATGAATTGAATAGGCTTTATGAGTATGTAAATATATAAAATCGAAGAATTATAACCTGGAGGCCTTGCCTATGGGATATTATCAGTAAAAAAAAAAGCTGGAATGCGTGGATTTTTGTTAAAATAGAGTGTAAGTGAAGAATTCAGATGTAGAGAGATAGTGGGTTTATTTAGTAAAATAGGAATTGCAAAGAAATAAAATAGAAGTTTTTAGACAAAATGGCAACTCACATTTTTCAAGTTTAGGAGTATTGGCCTAAAATTTGCACATTGTCTGTTCTGCACAATTCACAGCTTAGTGAATAGGCCCCATGTAAGCATTGCACGGGAATGGCTTGAAAGAACAGTGTACAAGGGTACATGAAGGAATAGGTGTTTTAAACAGGGAATAGTTAAAGTTGCACGTAGGGTTGATGGTTGTAAAAAAACAGGACACAAGGAGTTATCACTAGTCGATTTCAAGCAAGGAAGAAGTGTTGGCTATCCTTGGCACTAAATATTGGCCCAGCATTATGGGAAATGCAGTTCACAGATATCTGGAGTGCCACAGCCAGAACTTATTAATCAGGACTTTGGGTGATGAGGACGTGAGGTTTGGGGGTGTAACATTATGGGTCTCTGGAAGAGATTCCAACATGAAAACGGGAAGAAGAAATAGGTCTCATCTTCTGAATTAAAAATAAAGTCCATGAGCAGGAAAAGGAATGGAGCAATTATAGTTCCACACCGCGCATCCTCTATCATTAATTATTGACAAATTTATTGCATGTCTGAGAATGGCAATGGGGCTCTGGGAACTTCCTCTCAGTCTATCAGTATCCAGCACACGTAGGGAGAATGCTGGGATTGCGTGTTAAGCCAAAAATTTCCCCTATATTTCGGTAAAATGTAAGTTTGTACAGACTGCATTAAACTGGCTCTTTGATGGGGTTTTGTCTAATTGCTTTTTACACAGAACCAGCCATGCAATCGAGTAATGATGGCACTTTAGAGAACATACAGTTTTAACTAATTACAATATGCTAACAGGGCTATCCACTAACGTGAGAACTCAAAGTGAATTTCAAACTCAAGTCAAAAATAGTCTAACTGCAAAAATGATCTTAATCCGATATGCTTTCAGTTTGGCTACTTTGGCCTTAAATTTGAAATTCACTATGGATTGGGGGCTAAGGGGGGAGGACAGTAGGTCCCCCCCCCACATTCGTGTTTAGGGCCCCCACCTTCTGCGCAGGGGTAGGGGCTGGGGGGGGGAGGGCGGGGACAGTAGGTCACCCCCCCAACCTTCTTATTTAGGGCCCCTACCCACCGCTCAAGGGTGCGGGTCGGGGGGGGAGGACAATAGGTTCTCCCCCCTTATTGTTATTTAGGGCCCCCATGCTAAAGTTGTCTCACTCAAAACATAATAATCACTTTGGCACACTGTAGTGGATATGGTGCTAGGAATGCACTGGTGCCCCCCTAAATGTAAGTATTAAAACTGTTTTAGAACCGTTAGACTTATTACCAGGTATCACCCAAGCACCTCTCCCTGCCTCCACTACATCAGCCAGAGAGTTAGCAGCGCTCGGTTTGTGCGATGTCCAGCATTGCAGGTCTTAATTCATTGGCTGAGAGTGATCAGATGATGCTTTCAGCCAATGAGCTAGAACTGCCCCTCCATCTAATCTCCCTTTCAATCACTGCTTCAATCTCGGTCGTTCGGACCCGGCAGTCAGCACAGAGAAAGCATTCAGAGAAAAGAAGAACAAATACTATTATGATAAAATGTTTGCCTTGTCTGAACTGCATTATTATGCCATTTGCTAAGTATTTAAAAGAACTTTAAAAGAAAACAGAACATATCCGGTTAATAAGGTTAAAAGTAGTAATGTTTTATTCAATGCGGTAGATTCCAGAGGAGAAGAAATGACTGCATTGATGGGTGCCCTTTAACTGAACAATTCTACTGAAACATTTACTGACACAGCATCCACCCCCATTTTTTTTAGAGCAGACTTTTAGTGATAAGGAGAATTCTAGAATAGTATGACATAGGACTGATCGCGCCAATACATAGTTACAGTAACCATGTGACTTTTGGCAGGCTATTTCCAATTCCATAAACAGGAAACATGTGACAAGATAGCATCAAAACACCAAATCTTGCACGCGTTTTGTCTTGCCAACCATTGTTTGGGAGACAGTCTGCATATTCGTTTTACGTCGGCCACCCACGAGGCAGCTTTTCGGATATTATTAGAGGTCAATGGTTGCTATATTGGGAGATCAGAGGTATCACTTGGATATCTGCTCAAATAAAAAGCAAAAAATGTGCTTTACCACCCAAATGGTTTAAAATAATAGCGTGTAAAAAAAAAAAAAAATGTACTTGTTAAAACCCACACTGCTCTGTCTCATAGTGGGAATTTCTATAGAAGTGATAGAATCCCTTTAATTAGAACTCTGGAGCGTTTCATAAAGATAGAATGTTTCTGTAAAGCTCATAAAAGGATGTTATTTACTATCACGTACAAGACCGAGTTTTTGGCAAATGACGGAGGTTAAAGCAGTTTGTTATAACTTTTCAGAGTGAACAACTTGTTGAACGCAGCACAACAGGGGTCTACAGCACCTCTACGTATGCGCAAGATCGGCTATGACGGATGCTGGAGTCTCCTTGGTTTTTTTCCATCGACATCTGTAACAGATACAATGGCCCTAATGAATAAGTAAAACCTGGGGCTAAGTAAAGACACAAGATTTTGTGATGGGAAAAAAATCCTCCCTATTTACATAGCAATGTATATTTCATTTCAAAGCCATGAACAGTATGTATTTCACAAAAACTGGAGCACTGTGTGGCAATAAACAGAGCTTCCAAGGGCAAACATTAAGTGTCATTCTTGCTTTTGTTTGAAAAGAAGATCTCTGAACTCAACAAATCTAAGTGTTATGTTTGGTTTAAAGGACCACTATAGGCACCCAGACCACTTCACCTCAATGAAGTTGTCTGGGTGCCAGGTCCCCCTAGTTCTAACCCTGCAGCTGAAAACATAGCAGTTTCAGAGAAACTGCTATGTTTACACTGCAGGGTTAATCCAGCCTCTAGTAGTTGTCACCCTGACAGCCACTAGAGGCCGCTTCCGCGATTTACACGGAGTAAATCGCACTTATTTGACACTGGACATCATCATGGAGTCCAAAGTCAAAATAGATCCCCATAGGAAAGCATTGAGTAATGCTTTCCTATGGGCGGGTTTGAATGCGCACATGCCTCTGGCTGCGCATGCACATTCGGTTCCACTCGGAGGCTGACGTCTATGGAGGAGGAGAGGTCACCAATGCCGAGGAAGCCCGGCGTTGGATTAAGGTAAGCAAATAAATGGTTAATTAACCATTTATTCGCCGCAGAATGGGGCCCTAGTTGTTCTATCGTGTTAGAAATACATATTTGTATTCCTAACGCTATAGTGTTCCTTTAATAGACGTTTCCTAGGCAGTCCAGATAGCTGCTGATAACTCAAGTAGCTTTGTATCACATTCCCCTCTCTCAGAGATGATGTAATATTGTGGTGTATCCACAGACCATCGTACTGAGGCAGCTAAAGAGTTACAATTCATTCTGATTTTGCGTCCAGGTTCAAGGAGAGCTGAAAGTTCTATCTTCATCTGTATAATGTTGTGAATTAAACCACTAAGGGGCTCCACGCTTTATATTTAGCATGCTGGAGGGAGCAAGACACAGATTGCATTGTAGGCTGCTGGAGGTTGGAAGAATTAGGCAACTCCCGGGTGCATCATCCTGCCAATACCAAACTAAATGTCTGACATCTTTCAACTGTGGCTCTCAGTAACAGAGTCATCTCAAACTCCATAGAATGTAACATGACTGTCAGCAAGCACATCCCTAGGGACCTCATGTGCGCGGACAGAATTTGAAAACATCAGCAGCAACAGCAGCTGTGCCAAAAACCCAATCATTTTCACAGCATAGGGGACATGACATGAGGTCAGGCTTGTGACAGAAGGCGGAGGTACCCTGGGGAAAATTATCACCCCTATGGTGAAGTTACAAGTACAACACCAGCATTTAAACATTAGCACACATCATACGCCGTGCCCAAAGCAGATGGATGTATGGGTTTCGATAGTGATGTCCTCTTACTGAGGTTAATCTTCTGTCTCTGCTTTTAATCTATATAAATTAGCACAACAAAAAGGGGGGGCTCTATATCCACTGCTCACAATGTTATCAACAGTGTCATCAACTAGGTCTAATAACAAACGTGGTGCGGTCTCTAGAAGAATGGCGTCTCTGGCTACCATTGAATTGAGAAAGATTAAGGTCGAATAAGAGCGTATAGATACAAATAACCGCACTGCAGCCTCCAGTACAAATGTAGAAATCACTTTATTAACTTCAAATGAGACGCTAAACAGGGGGTCAGAAAAACGGCAGAGAGCCCAGGACCTATACCTGTAATAATCTATTGAATGAGGGCAAATTTCTGAATTTGAATCGGCTTATTCAGTAAATTAGTAGTGATTTGCAAAACAAATGCAGCAGCTACATGCCAAACCCCTCCCACTTGTGGTGTCATGTGGAAAGCACCATTTTCAAACTGAACCATACAAGATCTTGTATAGTGTGCATGTCATGCTTCTCCTAAGTGACTATTAGAAGTTATCATAGCTTTGGCAATGTCATTGTAATGAGTGCAGAGTGGTTTGCTACATGGAAATCATAAATCTGGAGTCTATTCAGCGTAGTATCTTATTCTACCCATAAAGATTTGCACATAGAGGGTGATCGAAGTTCAGCACAAGTTCTGAGATACGTTTCAGTGGCTATAAAACATGAGAGATATCGGAATTAAATATTTCCATTAAAGCTTTAAACAGTACACCTTAGGACACAAAAGAATATTGCAGGCGGGCAAGGAGAGCAGGTGCAACAGTAACTACATTAATCTGACATTTGGTGAGAACAGGGGAGAGAATTAAAAAATCCAGATGCATTTTATTCCCCATCTATCCTCCCCACTGTGACTAGTTACAGTGATTGATAAGGAATTAATTCCCAGCATTACCTCTTCTCTATCAAAAAAAGGTCAGACGCCACAAAGCGGACACAATAAAGAGCCCTGTCATTTAACAGACAGGATGGAGGTGAAACGAGGCAACTGAATGGATGGAGGAATCTACTCCTTGTAACAATGGAAAAAAATATATAAAGGAACACCTTACATACACAAACATGACATACAATAATAATATGCATAGAATATAGATATAAAAGTATCATAGAAAGGGGGAGGGAAAAGGGCAGTTTGTACGACTCTGCAACTCAAAGCATTAAGATATTAAACATTAATGAAAGAAACAAAATCTAAAAAAAATATAATCAATCAAGTCATTAAATGTTCAGTTATTTCCTGCCAATTCAGCTTCCCCAAGGACATTCCAGAATCCTACGTTGTGATGTCACAGCTCTGCTTGGCAGTGACGGCTGTGGCTGCAAGCTCCACATGTGGTTTGTTTGGGTTTGTGACCTACAGCCGCAGAAGAAGCCTTGTGGCCTACAGGACTCCCCCCTGCCAGTTAGTCTGTGACTGGACAAGCAATGCTATATTGATGAATGAGGGGGGATTCCAGATACTCCTTACTTTCTGAGACAGAACATGTGCAATACAGAAACACCTGGGATCTTAAAGGAACACTTGATGACCCCTTCACAAACAGAAAACTGGAGATTGTCATGACATATCCCCACCGTTCTATGTTCCACTTACCAGGATCTCAATGAAAGCCTAGCTGGACACCAGCATAGCTATTCAAGGCAATCCCACCACGCTACCTTATGAGTAGAGGGATGTGCAGAAATGTTATTCCCCCAGCAGTCCTAACTGACACCCGGGGGTACCTGCCCCACCCCTAATGTAGTGTGAAGGAGCATTGTACTGCTGATATTTATTTTTGTAATACGTGGGTGCATTGATGAGTAGCTGCCTGATATAAAATTCTAAATAAATAAAAAAAAAAAAAATTTTTTTAAAACAACACTAATATCCTCCTGCCTGCTCCACCAACTGTAGAGACCTGGGGCTAAAGAACTCCACATGCAAGCTTCAGCACCAATAGCCACCCCTAGTAATGACTATGATTGTACTGCCTACCACGTGTTTCCTCTCCAACCCATCATGAACACCTATGCAATACTCGGTTATCTCACAAGTCCCGCCTCCAGCACTTGCAGCATATCATAGCCATCCAGGTTGGATACAATTAGGACTGAAAACAAGGAAGTGTTAATTCTGCATCATCCATACTGCGGAGAAGGGGTGGTCCAGGGTGTTGGGGAGAGCCTCGGTTTAAGTCAATTCTCTCCTAATAGGTTATAAAATTGGTATATAGCGCAGAGATACACTTGACAACATAACGTCTACCGAGAGTGTATTATGCTGCTTAGAATGGCCATCTTTAATATATATTTCTTTTTTTAACAATCTGAAAAAGGGAATTCATGTCATGTACAGCTATGAAATGAAATCTGCAGGAATATATCAAATTAACTGAATTGCATTATGTTTGTGTACAGCTACAAAAAGTGAGGAAAGCCCTGCTCAGACGAGTTTAAATGAACACTATAGTGCTGGAATGCAGCATTAGGTCCCTGGCTCCCCTCTCTTCAAAGATTAAAGGTGATTTTCCTTACATTTTCTCCCCCACCACAATGGTCTCGCTTTGGCACGCCCTGCATGGCGTCATGTCTGATGATATCAATTTTGATTACCTCCTGTAAAAAAACTGCGTGGAGACACTGAATGCCAGTGCTGCACACTAAGCAGCACTGACACAGGAAGCACCTCTAGTTGCAGTCTGAGTGACTGCCACTGGAGGTGTAACTAGCCAGCAATCAGTGGCGTACATACCGGGGTCGCCCTGCGACCCGGTATGTACCCACTGTGGCCAGCCTCTTCTCCTGGGGGGCCCAGGAGCTGGCCACCTCAGGGCTCCCCGAGGCTGGCCCTGGTATCACCTGGTGGGCAGGCAGGCTGGCTTGCGAGGGAGCACTCTCCCCTGTGTCCGGTATCAGTGTGGTGCGTGCAAGGGAGCTGAACGGGAAGCACACATGGGAGAGTTCTCCCTCGCGCGCGCCAGCCAGCCCAGTAACACCACTGGACCCCAGGGAATCCCTTCACCTCTCCCAAAGGTAGGGAGGCTGGGGGATTAAATTTTTTTGATCAGTTTTTGCACCGAGGCCCCATGGGTTGTGTGTATGCCACTGCCAGCAATGTAAACACTGCCTTTTCTCTCAAAAGGCAGATAAGGTGGCAGGGACACGCTATAGACACCAGAACCACTGCATTAAGCTATAGTGGTTCTGGTGACTATAGTGTCCCTTTAAGATAAAGGGCCCCAGCAGGGGAACTCCTGTTATATTTAATGCATAGCTTTGTTTTGCTGTGATTGGGTTGGCATTATTAAGGAAGATTGTTCTGCATAGGAAAGTGTCCCAGGGTCATCAGAAAGGGAGAGACAACAAGGTAGAACCAGAGGGCGAATGTTATCATATTGAGTGACACCTATGGACCCTCTGAGAATGGTGGTGATCTAGCAAAAGGCAGAAGGTAAAAGTATAACAGTTCCTAACGATATTTACTACCTTGGCATTACTGCTTCATTTTAGAGAGATCACCATACTCTTGTCTGTGAAAGAACAGATTTTTAATAGATTAACAAAAAACAGTTCTCAAAAACAGATCTCTGCAGTCTCGACCCCTCTGCTGTGGCTTGGCTAACGTAGTAGTGGACTTCCAAAATCCTGGACGTGTTTGGAGAGCCCCAGATTGTTACAAATTGCTCAAAAAAGAGGTTCATTGTAGTGTTTATAACGCAGACTGCCCCTTTAACTGAGTACTGTACCAATGCTAAGACCAGTAAATACTCATTTTGGCACCCCAGATATTGGTTAATGTTTCCTAGGATGCCAGGCAAACTTAGACGACCAGTAAAGTCACCCAATCACTATCTCAATGATGGGTTTCGGAAATTTAATGTAAAACATTGCCGTTTTGTTAAAATGTTTACATTAAAAAGGTTAATGCGTTTTTTACATTTAACGGTTAAGCTCTAGTGCCACATTGCTGTTTTAGCAAAAGAACACTCCGTTCCCTAAAGTATTTCAGCTTGCGGGATTAACTGCAGGTTCCATTTGTCTTATTTTACAAAAGTGCTGATTTGAAGTGAATTCACCATGTTTATAAATCCCATTAGTTGTACCTTCCTGACTGGCATTTGGATTGCTTTTAACAGTCGTTCGAAGCGAAAGCCAGTGTTACTCACAGAGAAGCAGTGGGTTTAAATCTTCTCTGTGAAAAGTATTAAATGCTGGATTGTAGCAGTTGCAGCATTATGTGAAGCATCGCTATTGGACAAGAGATCACCAACCTCAATGTTCTTAGTGTGGGAGAGTGGAATGCAGGGACGTTCTAAATCTAAAAACCAGGAGGAGCAGTCTTATTAATTTTTAATGTTGGACTGTACATTTAAGCGTGGAAAGCGCATACCCAAATACACAAAGGCCGCTGCATTCACTCTATATTTTACATTCTACAACTCTGTCCTTTTAAAAAAAACATAATTTGGCAACCTTGCAGAGCGAAACTCAGAAAAACCTATGACGGTCACGTTGAACGCTCCTTTGGGAGCGCAGACTTGCCGAGGCAGCTTTCAGAGAATCTGCTGTAGCTGGTGTAATTTTATGCTGGGAGGGCCAGCTTATAGATTATATTATCCAGCATTACACGAGACTATGTAACAGGAATCTAATAGTGCCAATAAAAGACGAGTCTCAGGCAATGCAAGCTTTGTCCACTTTTTAACCTTTTTCCTCTGGTCATTTTTTCAAATGTGCTGCATGCCCTTCTGGCAAACATAAATCATAAGTCATATTGTGATCCCCATATAAATCATCTCATAATAAAACAGGACCTAATATATGCAAATAACCGATCATTAAAGGGACACTCCAGGCAAGAAGTGGCCTCCGTTTTAATGAAGTATAAGATAATGCATTATAAAAAGAGTCAAATAAAAGAATTCCGTCCTGGATGAGACACGTAAAGAGAAATACTTCCTATTTGCCTACTGAAAAATACATATATGTTCCAGGAGGGATAAGCCAAATGGCAAACGATTTAGGTAAACTAGAAATAAAGTCAGAATTGTGGCAACTGACATTTAACGTGGATAAGTGCAAGATAATGCATCTTGGATGTAAAAACCCACGGGCAGAGTGCAGAATATTTGATAGAGTCCTAACCTCAACATATGAGGAAAGGGATTTAGGGGTGATTATTTCTGATGACTTAAAGGTAGGCAGACAATGTAATAGAGCAGCAGGAAATGCTGGCAGAATGCTTGGTTGTATAGGGAGAGGTATTAGCAGTAGAAAGAGGGAAGTGCTCATGCCATTGTACAGAACACTGGTGAGACCTCACTTGGGAGTATTGTACACAGTACTGGAGACCGTATCTTCAGAAGGATATTGATACCTTAGAGAGGGTTCAGAGAAGGGCTACTAAACTGGTTCATGGATTGCGGGATAAAACTTACCAGGAAAGGTTAAAGGATCTTAACGTGTATAGCTTGGAGGAAAGACGAGACGGGGGGATATGATAGAAACATTTAAATACATAAAGGGAATCAACACAGTAAAGGAGGAGACTATATTTAAAAGAAGAAAAACTACCACAACAAGAGGACATAGTCTTAAATTAGAGGGGCAAGGGTTTAAAAATGATATATCAGGAAGTATTACTTTACTAAGAGGGTAGTGGATGCATGGAATAGCCTTCCAGCTGAAGAGGTAGAGGTTAACACAGTGAGGGAGTTTGAGCATGCGTGGGATAGCCATAAGGCTATCCTAACTATAAGATAAGGCCAGGGACTAATGAAAGTATTTAGAAAATTGGGCAGACTAAATGGGCCGAATGGTTCTTATCTGCCGTCACATTCTATGTTTCTATATAGAATTTAAGTAGTTAAAGGGGCATTTATATTTGCAAAGGGTCCTATTTTCAGAGATGATTGTGCACAGCAAGGTCTTGAGAATCATTTAGAACTAAGAATATTTGTAAAAGAAGATGCAGTTCTAAGCCTGCCCCATCAGGGATGTCCGGCAGTCAGGAATGACAGCTCTGGGTTGACGGTGTTAATTTTGGCTAAGTTTTGCACGGGGTGTCTGCACAGACAACTTGGACCAAACTCTCACTACTCCCAGGAGAGAGAGCAGAGCTGCGGTTCTGCTGTTTGCCAAATAAACAATTAATTATCCTGCTGTGTACAATTTGTAGGGTTAAGAGTCTGTTCCTCTTGAGGAGGCATAATTTTCCACATTATAGTCCTTCAAAAATAGGAAACATTTACACACCATATTTTCAATTTAATAAAATACTCTTTGTCCAGAAACAAATTATGCTCAAATCCCAGGATTAGGAAACGGGTGATACAACAAAAGCCAATGTCAGTCACTGACTGAAGATGTGTATGTAAAGTATGTAATCTCGTGAAAAGTCACTCAGGAGGGAAATTCCAATGTATGATTCGGGTTAAAAAAAATGTCTAAATATGTAAAGTTCAAATTTTTTTTTTTAAAGGTATATATACAGTGACACCCCTAACAGACGTCGAAAATATGCTAAAACAACCTAAAACTTTGGTGGACAAAAATTAAAGATTTTTTTATTTTTTATAATTTTAAAACAATATATATATATAAAAACCAGATAGCTATTTAAAAAAAAAAAAAAAAACTTTTTCCAAATGTGTCCTAGAATGATCTCAAAGCAACCAGGGGCCAGAATTGGGATACCATCAATAGAAGAAAGAGGACCTCTCACCATCCCACATTATCCTGACACAATCACAGGAAGTTAAGGAGTGAGGTGTCCTGCAATGAAACATCTGAAAGCCAACCATAAATACTGAATACTTAGGAATTTGAGAATAACTCAGCTGGGGAACTCCGCCAGCTACAATGACTGACAGGAGAGGAATTACGAGCAGCACACAAATTGTTTACACAAATACAACTCAACGCTAGCATAAAAAGCAGATTCTCAGGAGTGCGGAATGTTGGGCAGGAGTCCATATTCGGAATGCAGTACGAGGCTCACTGCATGGTACAGCCAGAGATATTCTAAACTACAACTCCCATAATGCGTTGCCAGCCGTAGTTGCTTATACAACAAGTAAAGATCTAACTTGTGTCCGTCCCCCAGCATGGAGTGTTAACTGTGCCCAGCAGAACCCCATTATAACTGCAGGAACGAGAAGGTGCTGTCAGACATGTAAAATCTCTCATAATGAAGGCTCTCTACGGGAGCAGAACGTCAGCTTTAATCACTTTATCCAAATGCCAGGCATAAAATACACCCAAACCAGAAACGTTTTTCCCAAATGATGTGAGCTGGTTTGTGGGTCGAGATGCCTAAATCATTCCTGCAGGAATGGACGTAAAATGGTTTAGGAAGGGCTGAGTGGAAGCAAGGAATGTAACGTAGAAACATAGAATGTGACGGCAGATAAGAACCATTCGGCCCATCTATGTCTGCCCGATATTTCTATCCTTATCTTATAGTTAGGATAGCCTTATGCCTATCCCACGCATGCTTAAACTCCTTTACTGTGTTAACCTCTACCACTTCAGCTGGAAGGCTATTCCATGCATCCACTACCCTCTCAGTAAAGTAATACTTCCTGATATTATTTTTAAACCTTTGTCCCTCTAATTTAAGACTATGTCCCTCTTGTTGTGGTAGTTTTTCTTCTTTTAAAAATTGTCTCCTCCTTTACTGTGTTGATTCCCTTTATGTATTTAAATGTTTCTATCATATCCCCTTTGTGTTGTCTGTAAGAGCAATTTGTGTGCTGACTCAGGCCTGCAAAGCACGAATCCTGAACATTTTACTCATACTCACCTGATTCCAAAATGAAAATATTACAGAAATTTCACCCATAATAAATAAAGATCAATAGATGGGGCAACACTTAAAGGACCACATCACATAACACACATATAAATATATACACTATATATCATCCAAGGAGAGGGGCACTTGGTTTTCTGGATTTGGGAATAGTAGTATTTTGTTAAACACCAAGTGTGTGTAATTATTACTTTTTAATTATTATTCTTGAAATATGTTGCGGATAGTAGTTTGTGTTTTTTTTTGTTAGAGAAAAAATTTATTTTTAAAAATGGACAAAACACAAATTTGAACCTTCGCAGAGCTAGGAGCTTTTGTTATGATGATGATCGACTATGCTTTGAATCCCACTACATCATGATCTGTTTATTTCATGCCTGTGGCCATTTTCAGGAACGTTTACATCTTCCTTCATTTTCATATATGCGCATTCTAACTAATACATTAGAATAGCAACCAATCTAGAATAAAGTTATTACTTTCCATGAAATAAGAATAGCTTCCCATGCATGGAAACCATTAGAAACATATTACTGGACACAAGAAAGGTCATTGTCATGAAGTCTTGCACATTAAAGAGACACTATAGTCACCTGAACAACTTTAGCTTAATGAAGCAGTTTTGGTGTATAGAACATGCCCCTGCAGCCTCACTGCTCAATCCTCTGCCATTTAGGAGTTAAATCCCTTTGTTTATGAACCCTAGTCACACCTCCCTCCATGTGACTTGCACAGCCTTCCATAAACACTTCCTGTAAAGAGAGGCCTATTTAGGCTTTCTTTATTGCAAGTTCTGTTTAATTTAGATTTTCTTATCCCCTGCTATGTTAATAGCTTGCTAGACCCTGCAAGAGCCTCCTGCATGTGATTAAAGTTTAATTTAGAGATTGAGATACAATTATTTAAGGTAAATTACATCTGTTTGAAAGTGAAACCAGTTTTTTTTTTCATGCAGGCTCTGTCAATCATAGCCAGGGGAGGTGTGGCTAGGGCTGCATAAACAGAAACAAAGTGATTTAACTCCTAAATGACAGTGAATTAAGCAGTGAAATTGCAGGGGAATGATCTATACACTAAAACTGCTTTATTTAGCTAAAGTAATTTAGGTGACTATAGTGTTCCTTTAACGTATATTAGTTACAATCAAAAGATTAATATTTAATTATTTCAATCAAGCTGTAGAAAATATTCTCTGTGTTATTGTCAGAAAGATTTTTGGAGACACAAACATAATCAGATATTATCAAACATCAGTGTTTGTTCAAAAGTCTTCTAGTACAAATTAATCTCCTGCTTTCCAAATGTCTTTGCAGTTACCATACCACCCAAGTGTCCCTGTTTAAGAGAGTCAGTCCTTATTTTGGGCCCAAATGCATCTGACTCTTTTTTTCTAAGCTCTCCATATTGCTGGTGTGTTGGTGTGTATAACAGATCAAAGCAATACTTCCAGTAATGTGTCTTTAAACTACAATAAATGTGTGTAGAAACCAGTCTGTGTAAATAAGATACATTGTTCTTTTTCTAAAATCCATTAAGTAAATCACTTAAAATTTCTCAGAACAGCCCCAACCGTGGCTTCACCCCACTCACACCCCTAAAATTAAAATGTCCACCTTCGGCCATCTAAAATGTTGGGAGTTATGTTTAATTGCATCAGTTCATTTGCATAGAAAACTTTCTGAAGCATTTAGAAAAGGCAGTTTCTGTTATACAACTGTAAAAATTGTACATTTACTTTTAAGGTCTATGCAATATTTCTCTATTAAACGACCCATAAAAATAAGGTCCACTTTTCCACTTAAAAGAGCAAGGTTTGGCGGCATGGCCTAACTACTGAAGCGGACAGTCGCATGGCCTCTGAGCTCCGGAATAATAGAGGGCAAATACCAAATAATCAGGGCGATCCACGCTCAAAAGAAACCCGGGGAGACCCCAACACTTACCTCACGGACAGAAATACGAAAAAACAAAAACCCAACAGACCCCGGCAGGGTATGAGCTTTGGTGATCTGTGGCGGCAGGCCCATGGCGCCCACGAGCCCAAGATGGCATCCATCCACAGTGGCTGCTCAAACGTCTCCGACGGGACATCAGATGAAGCAGAGGGAGACCTCACCCCAACAGCGGTGCTGCAAACAGCGGCACATACGGCGCCCCCACCTCCCGTATCTGACGCCGCACCAGTGACACTAGCTGCCTTCAGAGGCTCATGGCGGACCTGCAAAAGAAAATCTCGGCGGATGTGGCTATGATACGGGAGGACCTGTGGGGCCTGACAGACCGCCTTAGTGTAGTGTGGCAGAGTACTACACAAGAACACACACAACAAATCACAGAGTTGCAACAGGCGGTGACAGAGCTACAGCACCAGAACCTAACTTACTAACACAGATAACACCCTAGGGGACAGAAGGAGGCAGAAAAACCTGAAAAATCAGAGTGGTCTTGGAGAACATACCGCCGGCTAAACTCCCACACTTCGCCTGACGCCTCCTGATGGCCTTACTAACCCCAAAGCAGGCAAAGGCAGTGACACTGGAGGGAATATTCTGAATCCCAAAACCTGCCAGAGCACCACCCGCAGCCCCAGGGGATCTGGTGATACAATTCCAAAGCCATAAGGATAAAACAGCGGTACTAGCCGCCATCAGAGGGCGGTCGCCTTACAGTTTCGAAGGGATGTCTCTATCCTTCTACACGGATCTCTGTGGAGGAACTTTGGCTTGGTGGCGAACACTCTGACCGTTTACCTCCCTCCTATGCGCAAAGAACATCAGCTACCACTGGAGCCAGGCTCATACGTTGCTAATCCAACAGGGAGACGCCATCATCACAATCCATGACCACAAGATGCAGCAGAGAACCTACAGGCTCTGGGCCTCCCCCCAACAACACAGGCAACGGGACACTCGTATCCTCATGGCTGGAACCCTGCAGCCACCCTTGACTTTGTGCCTAGGCCAACTACTTCAACCTCTCGGGCCATGGCCACGACCTGACCCAATAGTGCCTAGCTAATAACCTTATAGCACTTAACCTACGTTACCACCTTTCTAGCCCTCCACTTAGTGACAGAAAGCACTACGTCAACACCGACTGCCGCACATAATACGATGTCCCTGCCCTCCCGTCCCCTCCATGCCTCAGGGTAAATCAGGCGAATTAAGTATACCTTCCTGACCAGCTCTGCAAGAATAATCCCAACCAGTTTGGATCGAGAGATGGCCCATGACAACGAAGCCCACACTCAGACTCAACGATATGCAAGACTAGTCAGTCCCTAAGTTTAGTTAATCTTTTTGGCTGGTATTACACAACAGTTTAATCTACCTTAATAAAAAAAAATGTGCAATGTTACTCATGCCTAACTATTGTTATTACATGTTGCATGGTACGCTAGCAACTGCTGTTGGGGCATTGCGAGCAATTATGTAAAGTATAATCTTTGCACCAAAAAGAAAGAATTAAAATAAATAAATAAATCAATCAAAAAGAGCAAAGTTTATTAAACCAAGCCATGTGGTGCTAGGTCTTAAAAAAATGTTCCAATATATATGTTATATACTGCAAAGGAGTCCTAAATTCGTACTACAGTTTATACCATGTGCAAGTTAGGACATGTTAGGTCATTGTCATCAACATTTTAAAAATACTTTGAAAACTTCACTTAGGAGAAGACCAACCACTTGATTTGGATATTGAACTGCAAAAAATAAATAAAAAAATTCTGATTTGGAAAATCTTGCTTAAAGTCTCAGTTTGGCTATTTCTGTCTACATTTTAATCAACTATCAAATGCATTGACTTCTAGATGTACCTCCAGTTTTTAGAGCAGCCTTTGCATGACCGATGGCCTCCCAAGGAGATGGGATGTCCAGGAATACAGCATCTGCAACGTGAGACACTCCAAATCCACTCTTACACACATCCTGGTTTTTCACGGTGACTAGGTGGTCCACCTTGTGTTGCTGAAATTCTTCCAATGCCTTCTCGGCTCTCTGCTGGTGGAATTCTACTGTGTAAAGATGGCCGGTGGGAGCAACTGTACGTATGATAGCATGGGACAGAGAACCGCTTCCAGTACCTAAAATAAGATAACATGGGAACAAATGTCAAGAGGCTGAAATAGGTGAAACTCCATAAATCAGCAACCTAGAGTATGGAAACCCAGCTCTCCTTCCTGGAAGGCCTCATGCAGTATTTATTTCAAATGCCAGGAAAACATGATTTGAGAAAATGTGTTAAAGTCCAAATAAAAAATACGAGCACAACTTAAATACTTAAAAATTATCATTAATTATGGAAATTATAGAAAATGAATAGTTGAGGATCCACCAATAGTAAAAACTGGATACAACTCACGTGTTCAAACTTAATTATTAATATGCAATTTTAGAGCAAACAAGAATTGCAACAAAAACACAGCAAAACTATTTTTAATGTACTGTATCTCTACATTTGTGTGTGCTCTTTTGGCCTGCTATGGACTGTAAAAAAAAAAAAAAAAAATTAATTAAGAAAAATGTATCCCCTTTTACACAAATTTGAAATTGTCTGCAGTTTAAATGCAGATTATTGTGATGTTTAAATGCGAGCAAACTGTTAGAACTCTAAAATGCTCCATAAATGCAATGCTCCTACAAAAAAATAAATAAAAAAAAGACGTACAGATGGAAAAGTCACCTAATGAATAGTACCTTGTCAAATCTTAATGGCGAGTTCGGGGATGGAGGGGAGGGTTGGAGGTTTTTGGTAAGTTTCCTAAAATTCTCTGAGGCTACTGGATAAAATGATGTAACGACAAATACTTGCTCTCTGTTTATTGCCGAACACCTCAATAAAACGGTTTAACGATGGGAAAGAGGGACATAGAGATTTCGGTACAAAGCAGACACTGAGCATACTTGACAGTTAAAACTACTGACATTCATTTGCCATTGCTTCTACATGTTGATTAGCTTTTTTTTTTGATAGCAGTAACCAGCACTTTTCTTGCAACAAGATGAAATATGTAACCTTAAAATTTACAAAATACAGCCTTTAAATGAAAAGCTATGGGTTTTCTCGTTTTATTTTTTTAAATCTTACAGCAGCTATATGCCAAAGAGAGAACCCGTGATTTGGGTTACATTTGAAGTGTTTATCCATTAATGCACATAGTGACCTCTGGCATATATAGTCACCCTACGTACAGAAAGGGACAACGTTTTAGTGAACAGTCTCTTATGCTCATTATGCTCTGTTTAATTTGTCCAAGATATTTGAGTTCCTTGAGGTGCATCACTATGTTCTACTGCCCAAGATCTAATTATTTAATAAAGTCTAAAAATTTAAATAGGAGGAGATTCTACATTAAACTGTATTGATTAATCTGGGGAAATTTTTTTTTTAAAAAAAGAGCCTTTCACACTTTTTCGAATCAGATCCAGGCTTCACATTCCCTGCATAACTTGAGTGCCCAGGTAGGTTCCGGTCTGGAACTGTAGTCTCCGTATTGATAAGTATCCAATTGCAAGAATAAGATTTTCTGCTTCTGGAAATGCAAGATGCCTTAGAAGAAACATGGCATAGGTGAGACCTCCATTGATAAAAAAAAAAAAAAAAAAAATGGAGCTTGAATAGGATGAAGATGTTGCCTAATTTACCATTAAAATGGCAGATGTCATATATTAATACTTTCATTGCTGGTCTGCTGCAGCAGAACGGAGATTGCTTCAAACTGAGAATGTCTAAATATAGTTTTCTGCTTTGCTCATCTGGAAAGGAAAAACGTGGAGATCTTTTATATTACAAGACACGGAGACTATAATTCGTGAAAACCTTAGATGAGACATTGTCTCCTGTAACAATGATTCATGTTCTTGGTGAAAGGAAATAGTTTTACAGAAATAGTTCTGTAGCGGATCATGGTATGTTACTCTGGAAATAGATAACTTCCGTGGAGCTGTTGTCAATACCATAAGAATCATTATAAAATGAAAAATGTGAGGAACAGTTAGAAAGTCAGTGCTCAAAACTGCCAATGACCCTCTCTGCCCTGTGTTCTTTTGATTTGAAGGAATTAGGCCTTTATCAAGGCACTGGAAGTCCTTACACTAAGCGGGAGGACGTCTAGCGTCATTTCACAGAAACTATGTGAAACTGCAGGAAGTGCCTCTAGTGGCTGTCTGTGAGACTGCTAGAGGTAGATTTTAAAAGCACTATAGTCACCAAAACAACTTTAGCTTAATGAAGCAGTTTAGGTGTATAGATTATGCCCTTGCAGTGTCACTGCTCAATCCTCTGCCATTTAGGAGTTAAATCCCTTTGTTTATGCAGCTCTAGTAACACCTCCCTGCATGTGACTTACACAACATTCCTAAACACTTCCTGTTTAATCTACAATTTATTTTATTCCCTGCTCTGTTAATAGCTTGTTAGACCCAACAGGAGTCTCCTGTGTGTAATTAAAGTTCAATTTACAGAACAGGAGATAAAAACATTTAAAGTAAGTTACATCTGATTGAAAATGAAACCATTATGTTTTTTTGTTGTCCTTCAGCAGAGGAGGTGTGGCTAGGGCTGCATAAACTATAAAAAAAGTGATTTAACTTCTAATTGGCAGATAATTGATCAGTGAAACTGCAGGGGCATGATCTATACACCCAAACTGCTTCATTAAGCTAAAGTTATTTTAGTGATTATAGTTATCCCTTTACCTTTGCAATGTAAACATTGCAGTTTCTCTAAAACTGATTTACATTGCAGGACTAAGTGGGACCGAAACACTGCACCCAGACCCCTTCAATGAGAATTGGTATGTGTGCCTATAGTGCCCCTTTAGTATGTACTGTTCAAAAGAGGTCAACTACCCATCTGCGTACTGAGTAGGGATCGACCGATTATAGGTTTTACCGATATTATCGGCCGATTTTCGGCAATATCGGCATCAGCCAATAGAGATACTGATATTGCCGATAATCCATACCAGGTCCTGGGGTGCCCTGCGGAAAGCTGTGACTTACCTTCCCAGCAGCTCCTTCAGCTCCCCTATCTAAATCTCGCGAGTCCCGCGGCCGCAGAGCGTTGCCACGGGTTACCATGGCAACGCTCCGCGTGGCCACAGGCCATGAGATTTACACAGGGAGCTGCTGGGAAGGTAAGTCACAGCTTGCTGCCGCCTCCCCTGTGTCCCCCCCCCTGCACAGTCCATGCCACTGGACCACCAGGGAATGTCATAGCCCCCCTCCCTGCTTGTTACCTGGCCAAATAAAAATAAAACATGGCGGGGGGGGGGGCTTAGCCGTGGAACGAAGCGGACGCCATTTTCCACAGCTCCGACGGCAACCTGCACAATCCGCCGAAATCCTCCAAATTCACAGCCCATCCAGCCATACCAACAACAGCACAAGGGAGAGGAGGCCATCCGGCATCGACACATGCCGTTTATTGCAAAAACCGGACAAAACTGGTGGCGGAAAAAGGCCGCGGCCTACCATCTTCCTCCACACCTGGAGGATCTTCTCGCATGCATCCCACACCAGGGAGAGCTTTACTGTGGTACAGAAAACCCATCAACAGCACAGCAGCCCACAAATATGGGGAGATGCTCCCAGAAACCTACAACAGGTATGCCATCCGAATCCCAAGACATAGGGGCCCTTTTACAGTGACAGGCCCAGCACAAAATGGCGGCCCCAGAGAATCAGGAGCTCCCAGCCGACCCCCAGGCCCAAGCACTTCACAACCCACGAGCTCACACCCCACCACAAGCGGCAGGGGCACCAATTACAGGCCTCCCTGACTTATCAGCCCTGGCCACCAAGCAGGACATTACAAACTACCTGACTGAATTCCGCCAGACACTAGCCATAGACATAGCAGTCATTCAGGCCGACCTACAGGTGGTCACTGACAAAGTCAGAGCAAGCGAAGAGGACATCATAGATATAAGGCAAGAAGTATCCACAATTAAAGACTCTATTCAAACCATCCAAAAGACACAACAAACCTTTTCTGCACACCTTGCTTCGCTAGAGGACCGTTCCAGACGCAACAACCTGAAGATAAGAGGGGTACCGGAGTCTGTCACCATGGCAGAGATACCCCACTACCTGAGGCCTCGCTATTATCGCCCCCACAAGCCAAAAAAAACTCACCTTTGATGGCATATTCCGCCTGCCAAAATCCCCAACAAACTCAGTGAGTTACGTCATAGTACACTGCACATTAGCCCAAGACAAACAGGCACTACTTGCTGCACTACGAAACCGAACTCCCTACACATTCGAGGGAGCTGATCTATTCTTCTACCAGGACCTATTAAGGCCCACCTTACAATGGCGCAAATCTCTCCTCCAGGCCACAAGCCAACTAAGACAAGCGGGAATCTCATACCAATGGACTACCCCATGAGCTCTCACAGTGAGCCACAACGGAACTATCCACAGGATCACCTTGGCCGAAGAGGCGCCCACATTACTGCGAGCACTGGGACTGACAGCCCCCGACGACGATCCATGAGACCAGGGGCAACACTGACCTGGGACCCAGCCACAGTAGTCGCTTTTACCCCACGGAACCACTCGGCCATTGTGACATGACTGGGTCCTAAGTCCAAAGAGCAGCAGACAAATACAAACTGCACTTCTCCTGCAAAACTTCTTGTTTATTCTTGTTTTGATAGTTCGTTATGTTTTATGGTGTTCCCAAGCCTGGACAGGATTACCAACCCCGGTTCACCCCCCCAGGTGACAGGAGGGAAGGAATAGGGCCACACGCCCACCATGACTCTCTCCCCCCCCCACAACCCCCATGGTTAGGGGCACTACAAACCAAACTGACCAGCCCATTTGCCCCACAACACCGCTATCTAGGCCCCAAAACGGACCTCCAAAGCCACCCACAACAAGAGGCACCCACAGACTGCCACACCCACAGACCTTTGCATATTCATACCCTCACAACAACCGACTGACGGCAGCAACTCAAGGGTGCCCAACATAGACCTGCCCAACGCAGCACTCGACCACACCTAGCTAGCCTTCAGTCAGGCACCACAGACCCATAAGCACAAGTCAAAGGGTATCGACTATAGCCACGACAGGGATGCCCTTACAGCACTTGCCAGAAAGACAAGCGAACCCCAAAAGAAGGCCCAGATCAAGCGACAACTAAACATGGACATGCATACTAGGACATATGGTCACACCACACCGGGTATCCAGCACACAACTAAAAGATTACTACGGTTACATAAGTTTATTATCTGGTTCATAATGCTTGTTTAAAAAAAAATAAATAAAAATGGTGCAATTTTCTCAACATGTCCGATACTCTTACACCATCGCAATACCACTCGATGTCATGTCTGTAATTCCAAAAGTTTCTCTTTATATGCACCGCAAAAATAAAGAATTAAAAAGAAATAAAACATAAATATTAAAAATAAAATTAAAATAAAAAATGCCCCCTCTCCCACACATTTTACACAAATTACTTCCATTCAGAAACACATACACACTGCATTCATTATACACACACACACACTACACAAACACACACACACACACATTGCATTCATTAATATACACACTACACAAAAAAGGAAAGGAAAAAGGGGGGATATGGGTAAATTTCTCCTATGTGGGGGATAACCCCTAGTGAACAACTTCACCAAAAATACAAAACTAAAGAGAAAAAAATAAAGAGAAGAATAGGACAAACTTATCTAAATAGTCCTAATAGAGTGGATTTCCCTCTAAAAAGAGGTAAATTGCATGGGAAAAATATTATGCCTAGCATTAGTAGATAGTCGTTCGATAGCTTGGAAGTGTAAACTAGATGGGTCACCTTGATGTTGTGATCGAACATGGTTTGCTACTGGTGTAATGATGTTGATATTGGTAACGGAGTTGACGTGTTGTAAGATACGTCTCCGAAATTGTTGATATGTTTTTCCTATGTACTGCATGTTACAATTACATGTGATAACATAAATGATTCTAGTGGTACTGCAATTGATGAGATCGCGAATCACATATTGTTTGTTGGTTTTTGTGCATAGGATGGATTTAGCAGAGTTGATATATTTGCATACCTTGCAAGATCCACATTTGTAGATACCCTTCGTCTGTGTCAACCAACACGGGGTTGTAGTAAGAGGTTCCAAATAGCTGTGAACCAGAGCATCTCTTAAGTTCTTAGGTCTTCGTGCCGTGAGGCTGGGGTAAGAGGTAATGTTATCTTGAAGTTCTTTGTCGTGTAAAAGAATTGGCCAATTATTTGTCAGTATTTCTCTCACGGGCTCCCAGTACTGATCAAAAGTACCGATACATCTTATGGTCTGTTTTGGTGATTTGGGTCTAGAGGAACGGAGACAGATAGATCTGTCTATGCTGTTCACCTTTTGGTAAGCTTTTTTTTTTTTTTTATTCTATTAGGATAACCCTGTTCCTTGAATCTAGATTTGATGTATTTTGCTTCTTTCTGGAAGGCAGTTTCTTGAGAGCAATTTCTCTGTGCCCTTAAGTATTGGCCATAAGGTATACTAGCCTTCAATTTAAGTGGATGGTGACTCTGCCAGTGCAGTAAGCCGTTAGTAGCAGTGGCCTTTCTGTATAGTTCAGTTGTTACTGTACCATCCATGCCCAGTATGATTCTCAGATCCAAAAATTCCAATGTCTTTTCATCAATGACAGATGTTAATTGCAATCCAATGTTGTTGTCATTGAGAATATTGACAAGTTGTTGGAATTTTGGAATAGATCCTGTCCAGAAAAGAAGCACATCATCGATGTATCTATGCCAATTCAATATTAATTGGCTGTACTCATGATCAATTTCAGACAGTATTGTTTCTTCCCACCAGCCAAGGTACAAGTTGGCCCCATAGCAGTGCCCTTCATTTGCAAATAATATACTCCATTAAACACAAAATAATTATGTGTCAGTACAAAGGTGAGTAGATCCAATATGAATTGTTGATGTTGTATGGAGAATTTTTTGGACTTCTCTAAAAAGTAAGATGTGGCTTTAATACCTACAACGTGTGAGACATTATTATATAGTGATACCACATCTAAGCTCGTGAGGAGAGTGTAAGGTGGAACTATTAAATTTTCCAAAATGAGTAAGGTCTGTTTTGTGTCTTGTAGGAAGGAATCTAAACTTGTTACAAAAGGAAACCTACTAGCATTTTCTGTCAGGCATTGGTTCCCAGAAACAATTGGTCTACCCGGGGGATGGGTGAGGTTTTTGTGCACCTTTGGTAGACAATAGAAAGTGGCAATAGTTGGTGAGTTCTTAGGTAAAATAAATCTCAATTCATCAATAGTTATAATGCTGTTTGTCATAGCAGTATCTAGTAAGGTTCGAAGGGAATTGAGATAAGATGAAGTAGGGTCCCCCTCGAGTTTGCTGTAGCAGGAGGAATTATTCAGATGTGTTAGACACATGTTCACATAGTGCTCCCTTTCCATTTGGACAATATTCCCTCCCTTATCAGATGGTTTTATAACCATGTTTTTATTGTTGCTCAAATCTTTGAGTGCGTTTTGTTCCCCACTAGAGAGATTATTCTATTGGATTTTAGGTATAGGTAAGGATTCGATTATGTCAGTTGTCATTTTTACAAACAAATCCACATTTATATCATCCCTAAAGTTGGGGGTGAACCAACTCAGTGGTTTGAAGTTGGTGAGTGGAGGTGTAGTTTCTTGTTCAGTAAGAAGCTGTACCAAAGTTTGAAAATGTGTAAAATCTTAACTTGTAAGACCCAGTTCCTTTGCTTCTTTATTATTTTTCTTTTTATGTAATGAGCATAGAGCTAGTTTGCGCCCGAATAGGTTGATATCCTTCAGCCATTCAAACTTGTCTGCACTCGGTGTAGGTACGAATGATAATCCTTTATTAAGTAATGTTATGTGATCAGGTAGAAGTTTAAGATTGGAAAGGTTAATGATTTTCATATTGGAAATGTCCAACTGATCTAATTTCTGGAATTGCTGCGATTGGATTTGTGTAGTGTGTTTGTGACACACTACACAAACACACACTCTGCATTATATACACACACTGCATTTATTAATATACACAAACACACTGCATTCACTTTACGCACACTACACAAACACACATACACTGCATTCACTATATATATATATATATACACACTACACAAACACACCCTGCATTCATTATATACACACAATACCCAAACACACACTATATCCACTACACACACACAGCTCCCCTGTCTAAACACACTGCATCCACTACACAAACACACACACAGCTCCCCTGTCTAAACACAGTGCATCCACTACACAAACACACACTGCATTCATTATATACACAATACCCAAACACACACTGCATCCACTACACACACACACACACACACCCACACACCTCCCCTGTCTAAACACACTGCATCCACTACATGTGGCATGTATATTTTGTGCATTTACCTTTAGAAATAGTTTATTTTTTCAGAATGGTAAATGTACAGAATATAGGCAAGTTATCGGTTATCGGCCTGAAAGTTCACAGATTATCGGTATCGGCTCTAAAAAAAACAATATCGGTCGATCCCTAGTACTGAGTAGTGAATATAAAAAGGTTTTGTATGATAGACTATGTTTTCAACATAATTGATTATTTAACTATAATTTATGGTTGTGCAAAGACAATATGTATTGATGCTTTGAACATTGAACTTTAAACTTATCCTTGTTTGGAAAATGTCGATCTACTAGTGAAGCCGTGCAATTTGAAGGTCAGATCTCCTGCACTGGATCGGTTGATACCTATAGAGCAAAGACGTGATAAATTGCCCTGATATGTGTCAATAATAAAATGTACAGAAAAACCAAAATGTCTGTAGAGAACATGTTTACCTTCAAAAAGGTAGTGTTGTTTAAATGGCAAATTGTGCAAAAATCTGTTCCTCTTCCACCAAGATCATCAGACTTGGAAGATCAAACATGTACGGGGAAGAGACTTATCTACAAGTTTACTCAGCACAATGTATAGATATATTCTCAAAGTGACACTATAGAGTTTACTAAATAAAATGCAAATGGTGGCAAATTGTACACACTACACTAGTGTTTGGAAAATTTCAGGGAAATCCTTCAACTCTTCCTCCGTATTCACAGCTTTGGCTATTTTAGTTTAAAATGTTTCAATTCCGTTTTCAGCTCACCAACATTAATTTCCTGTTTAGTAAACAGAAAGTAATGTTTAGAATTCGAGGTACACTTTAAAAAGACAATGAACGCAAACACAAGAATGATTCATCTACTATTCGTACGTTCCAAAATCTGATCTTTGTTGCTTAACAGATCAAGAAAAAGACAACACGTTTACAAGAGGACACTCGGTGCCTACGCAACATAAGTTATTTATATCATGAAGAGTCATTCTGGGGCATGATGTGAACAGTGGTCCAATCAGCAAGAAAAGGTCCATTTGTTTCCATGGTGAGGCATCAGTTAGAGGAACTTTTTTTTTTTTTTTTTCTATGTCTTTATAATTAGAACCCCAATGTATCCAGAAACTAAACGGTTTCCGGACTAGTCTCAAAGTATTTCTGCAAGGCATATTGATTTTTCTCTCACATATTACAAAGTAAATTGCCCTCAGACTCACATCTGTAGAGGTTGTCGGAGAGAACGCACATATATTATGCATGCTTCGAGCATTGGACCGTTTCGCTCTTAAAGTATGGTCTGATTAGCTTTCACAGCTCTGAGCATCCCTTCGGTAGAGAAAGAGGCTTCACATTTATATATGTAGGTTTCTTAAATTAACTACAAAAAAGTCGATGTCGCTCCAGTATGAATTTGCCAAGTCATACGGGGAGATAGGGACGTAAAGAATAAATCAATGTATACTTGATTATATTAGTATAGCAAAATATAAGGAGAAATTCAAAAACATGCTTTGAGCTATCTAGCAAAGCACTTTATATAAAAAGGGCTGTAAATACTAGATCTCAGCTTGTGTGTAGGGGTCACTGTTCCTTCTGTATTTCTTGGCCTATACGGTACTCTCTTATTTTCTACGACGATTGTACAGCGCTGCAGAAAATGTTGGTGCTTTATATTACCAATAGTAATAAAAAATTATCACAGAGAAAGCATTTTAGCACCAGGTTTGTCGCTCATTTTATCCAATGATTTTTAAAGTGAAGCTGTTTATGTGATAATTTAATGGAGTACTGTCAGTTCTGTTGAAATTACACCCCTGAATAATACACCAAAAATTACCTAGAATGTGTGTTAACCCATTTTATTTCAGGCCTCGATAAGACTTCTGATGAAGCCAAAGGCGCAAGGGGCGAAACGTCACTGGAAGGGAAGAAAATAAATGAGGGTCCAGGCATTCAAGGTAAATCCAAAGTGAGAAGATTTATTGGAGCAGATGAAAGCAACGTTTCAGCCTCCAACAGGGCCTTTGTCAAGAGAAGAAACTGGATGAGGAAGTTCAAGGTGACGTCCTGAGAACCCACAGAGCCCGTTGCCATTTATCGGTGATACTATGTAGTATTGTTGAGAAGTTTCACAGTATATCATAATGAGGTAGAACAGCTCTCATTATTGAAAGCATCACAACCGCTACAGGCCGCTATGGTGGTTGTGATACCGGGCCCGGTTCCCCAGTAATGAGGGTTCTACAGCAGGCTCTGAGGTTCCCTGGTGATCACATTTACTGGAATTATTAAAGAAACTAAGGAAAAAGAGTTCAAAATAAGTACGTTATGTATTTAAGCTCATAACTCACACTTGCTCTTTTTTTTTGTTTGTTTAATTTTGGTTTGCGGCTGATTTTCACTACCGCAAATGTATCACTCTAATAATTCGGTTGGCTCAAAAAATACATATTTGTTAACTATAGTCCGTTGTCAGTGTGACATTCTGACCGTTGATTCTGAAAGGGTTAACCCAGATCTCACGGCAGTATGTAGAACACAAGCATTCAGCCACCCTGTCACAAACGCTTTGTCCATTGTTTGGAGAACAATGTCTAGTGTGACACCAGGCGTTATGCAAATGAAGACTTCTGAGCACATTTCGACGTGCAGTGTAACGTGTCTCTGGAGGGGTAAGGCTGATGGGAATGCAGTTTGATAGCTTTCAAACTTTTCCTTCAATGTTTTTTGTAAAAAAAAAAAAAAAAAAAATCGATTGCTAATATTAAAATACTTGTATTTATTTTCCCTTACTTACATAAAAATCCCTTAAAGCTTGTTTATAAGAGATCGCGCCAAATATTATATTTATAAGAGAGCCAAATATTTTATTTATAAGAGAGTCCGCCAAGTATTCCCAAGCACACATACAGTGCAAGAGATGTACATTATATATCTTTTTGGGGGGGCTCGAGGATAGACCGTAGAGGATAGTAGTGTAAGTTTCATTGAGTGCCAAGACTGCCAGAATTGAAAGGGTTCTTCCAAGTGATTTGAAGTGGTTGTGGTGCCTGGAGTCTTTTTGTGCAGTGTTTTGCTATGAAACGCTGCACATATGGAGTTTAAATCCTTTGCTGCCGGAAGTGTAACGTCATTGGGACGCCATTAACCAGCCTAGAACAAGAGTTCCATGCTGGCTAATGTCAATTCTGTGTTCGAATGCCTGGCAGGATTGGCATTCGGATTGTGCACGTCACCGGCTACAGACTACTCTAGGTGCACAGCGGGGACCCAGATAAGATGGCAAACTGTTTTAAAACGGTTTCCCTCATTACAGGAAAACAGGGATAGGGTACATCTTGCATCATAACCACTACAGTGGGCTGTACAGATTATTATTCTTGGAGTAACCCTTTAAAGAGGCAAGACAGAAAAATGTATTAAATCCAAAGATACTGCGATAGAAAAGCTTTAAGAGCCAAGGTACAGAGATTTCCATTGCTATATGTAATAAAACGGCCAGTCTATATCTGCTGTGCTTTGTACAAGGAAGCCATGAAGAGTACACTGTCAAGGTCCACAGTTTATTGCAAATTCTATCTGCAGAGAGGCAGTCGCCAGACAAAAGGTGGAACAGCTACCTTAATTACAGGTAACACTTCCTCCCCACGGGTAGCCGAATACATAATAGATCTGCATTCCCAAACCCTGGTCAGGTTTACTATCAAAACATGCAATTTATTTTACACTACAAATTATTCGAAACTTTTTATACGGAACATAAGAAAAGGAGAGCGAGTAATCATCAATAATTAATGCATCTTTAATATGTTCCATCGGCTGCAGAATTAAAAAGTAAATGTATCCATTTTAAATATTTTTATTGTTAGTGAATAGAAACTAGGCTTTTTTGTTGTAGTTGTTGGTTTTTTTTCTGTGTGTGTAATTTTCTTTTTCTCAGCAGGTGCAAATTGCGTGTTCAAAACAAACATCCTACCTTTTAATAACACACAAAAAACAATACACAGAGTTTAGTGTGTTTTTGAAAGAGGGTAAAATGAGTAACTGTAGCACTTTTTGCACCAATGGCTGACTGGGCCTTGCACAATACAACTGCTGCGATGCACGGGGAGCCTGACTGTTAGCTAGCAACAATATGGGACATTGCGAATTAACAGTGGGCACCCCAGGTACCAAAACAACAATTATGCATTTTTAGAATATTTTGGCTTAATAATTGGCATCAAACCAGACTCTATAGATCAGAACGCAAAGATCTTGATTGGTCTGGCTATTTCTTGGAATGGGCAGGGCTCAATTTTGAAAATGTAAGATCTGGGTTTTGAAACAAAAGGTCACTACTTTATATTTTAAATGTTTCTATTTTTCTCCTATAATAACCTGTATTTGCTCGATTATAAGACTACGTTTTTTTCAGAAATAACTTCTGAAAAAACTGACCTCGTCTTACAATCAAGGTTGGGACTTGCAGGCAGTGGCGGATATACGGGGCAATTCTGCCGGGTGCAGAGCTGCAGACTGAAATGTCTTGTGATCTCAGCCAGATCAGAGTGTTGCCACAGGTTACAAAGTCTGTAGATAGCCAAGGCTTCAGACAGGAGAGCTTCCCACTGGACCACCAGGGAATTGACTAAAAGGTATTACAATCTGGGGAGGCTGGGTACTAAAACACAGCCTACTCACACACTGCCCTCCAACACTGTAACCCCCACCCACACCCTGCCCCCTATACACACACACACACACACACTGCACCCCAACACTGTAGCCCCCGCCAACACACAGTCACCCTTCCCTACACTGCCCGCTATACACACACACAGTGCACCCCTCACACACACACTGCCCCAACACTGTAACACCACATAGAAATAACCTTCTGCCACATTGTCACCCTACCACTCAATGCTGCCCATACACACACATACACTGCACCCCTCACACACACATACATACTGCAAGCTCACACACACACACACAAACTGCACCCCAACACTGTAACCCCCACCCACACACAGTCACCCTTCCTAACACTGTCCGCTATACACACACACACTGCCCCCAACACTGTAACCCCCCATAGAAATAATAACCCTCTGCCACATTTTCACCCTACCACTCAATGCCCCCCATATACACACACACACACACACACTGCACCCCTCACACACACACATACATACTGCAAGCTCACACACAATGCCCCAAACACTGCGCCCCACATCCTCGTGCACCTAAAAGGTAGGAAACAGGAGAGTGGCTTAAAAAGTGTACCTTTTGCCTGTACGTGTGCATATGTGTCTGCATGTGCGTATGTGTATCTGTATATCTGCATGTGTGTCATTATGTGTGACTTTGTGCCCATGTGAGTACTGCATGTATGTTATTCTGTGTGACTGTGTATATGCAATGTGTGCCATTATGGGTGACTTTGTATCTGCATGTATGCCAGTGTCTTATATTCAGGCCTTTTCTTTTTTTAACAAGATCCAACATTTGGGGAGGGTTTTCTTATAATCAGTCATCTTATAAATCGAGCAAATACGGTATCTATAAAAAATTTAAAATGCGGATTCCATCCAGCCAGACGTGCCCCTTTAATATAAATATTTTCTTTGTCGAGCAAGCTGCTTTAAGACATAAGCATAATGAATTATACACACAAAGAAAATAATACATGCAAGCTGACATTGACCGGGATGTAAACATTACTAATCCACCTAACGTTATACGTTTTAAACCGCATTAATTGGTAAGGACTTGTATGGTTTTATTTTCCTTTCATGCCTAGAGACATGGAGAGCAATGGAAATTTCCAAACATACACAGCCGAAAGCAAAAAAAAAATTAATCATTCTGCGGAAAATGCAAAACTGCCGGATTACATGCACACTATATATATATATATATATATATATATATATATATATATATATATATATATATATATATATATATATATATATATATATATATATATATATATGCATGCGCGCGCACACACACGCACTAAATTTACATGTTATATACACACACACACACACACACACACACACACTCACTGTGGGTTAACGGAGCTCTGCACTGATACAGCAGTAATAGGTAGGTCATATCTCTCTCTAAATGTTCTGTACTTCCTTGGAGATACCATCTGTGACCTCCAGAGCGTGACGATCACATGTCCTGACTAAGCTTAGCAAGAGGCTTGCAAATGCAAGTCCATTATCAAAATGAATTGTGCAGAGGTTCACGGGCAGAGCATCAGCATTAAAATCTGCACCATTCTGGCAGAAGGCAAAGAACATTATGAGCACACGGAGAGAACACGAGTGGGCTAAGTAACACGTTCTAGGCTTAATCCTACTCCTTTTATAATTATTCCAGGAAGGGAATCACAAATCATCTTTAAGCATTCTGGAAATGGGCATTTTACGGTTTAAATGTCCAGGAATCCAAATGACCCTGCCAATTATTTTAATAATTAATATTTAATTATAAATACAATTAACAACAAAATAGTTCACAAATAATATTAACACTTTGAGATAAGATCGTGGTTTGTTTATTTAATGGAATTTTGTAGAGACGTAAATAACTATATATAGAGGGTGTTAAAAGAAGACCTGCAAATAGTACTCGAGAGTTGATTCGCCAAAACTTGAACCGTGGTGAATTTAAAGCAAAGGTCAATACACATATGAATTTCTAAAATAGTCAACAAAAACTCTACTTGTTATCCTGTTTTTAAAGGGGTATGTTATACGCCATAACCACAACAGTTCAGGGTAGTATGGAATAATTCAGTGGGTGCTTTACCACAGCAAACGGTTTGGGAGTGTTCAGGCAAAAATAATGGCTCTTTTCTTCACCCAGAGGCATCCCTCCTGAGGTGCATTCATTATTGGAATTTATACTTCCCCTAATCAATGTTAAAGTAACTACAGCCCACTGCACTGGTAATGATCCCATAAGTGCATTAGTGTCCTGTCAGGTTAAGTAGTCAAAACATTTCAGAATAGTTTGACAACTTATCTGGGGTCCACCAGGCACCTTCTGATTTATTCACTAAGCTATACCTGGCAGTGCAGAGAGGCACTCAGTTGGCACTCTCAGCCAACGAGTCAGCCCTGTGCAGCCGGCCCCAGCTCAATGAAAATAATATAAGCTCTTTGCAGGCCCTATTTAAGCTATCAAACCATTCTCAAACAATTCGACTACCCAACATCAGAGGGGGATATGTGGTTATGGTTCTTGGAGTGGTTTTTTTTTTGTATTTCAGTCAAACTAGAAGTGATTGATAGCCTGAGTTTAGTGAATAAACTGTAAATGTTTGTCGATTCTTAAAAAAGTCTTTAATGCTCTTATCTCTTCAACCAGTGAGCAGTAGGTTCATTTCCATGAAATACCTTATCATCCAACAATATTTACATTAAGCATAACCTATAAAAAAAACATTAAGTGGCTACAAAATTATTTTATAAGGATGGCACACTCAAAGCACCCCAGTTACAATAGATCCCTGGGATACTGCTCATTTAAAAAAAAAAAAAAACCTTAAGTGACGAATTTGTAAATATGTAATATATATCTGAATCTGCAATGAAAAGATAAAGTGTCGAGAGAAGCCATCTTGCTTTTATAACATACATCGGCTAAAGCAGGTCATTTTGAAAAAAAGCACATTGCCTGAGATACCACTGTTTTAAACACGTATAACTAAGGACAATAAGAATACGACTGATCTGATTTATGTAATTTTACAAGCAATAATATGACAAAGGGATTTATTCGCCAAATGTGAAATTGCAACAAAGTAAAAACAGAAGTGCAAAACTAAATTAGCACTCGAAGCAACGCAACGCACTATGGCTTTGTGTAGTGGTTAGTTTACCTACCATCTATGGGCACTGTCTCCCAGTCTAATGTCAAGCTGTTTAGTGGTCAAGACAGAAAGGCAGCAGGAGATTAGAGAGGTCAATGCGTGGCTGAAGTCTTGGTGCAGGAAAGAGGGTTTGGGGTTTTTAAAAGCAGTGGGCCGATTTTGCACTTGGGTACAACCTGTATAGTCGTGATGGATTGCACCTAAACGGAAGAGGGTCTGCTGTGCTGGGGGATAGGATGGCTAGAAGGTTGGAGGAGATTTTAAACTAGTAGTAGCGGGTTGAGGGTAAAAGCAATCTACAAAATAGAGATAGGATAGAAAGGAGATGGGCTTTAGCTCAGAACAAGGGGGGGATGGGGAAGGGGAAAGCTCAGAACAGGGGAGGTATGTCATATTGATAATTCACAAAAAGTAGAAATGACTCATGGTAATATTAAATGTATGCTTACTAATGCAAGGAGCCTATATAACAAAATGGGGGAACTACAGGCAATAGCATACACTAAACAATATGATATAATAGGCATAACAGAAACATGGTGGGATGAGACACATGACTGGGCAGTTAACTTAAATGGGTACACGTTATTTAGGAAGGATAGGAAAAACAAGAAGGGTGGTGGGGTAGGTTTGTATGTAAGCCATGAGTTAAAGTCAAATCTTAGGCATGTGGAGTGTGACGAGGAAAATGTGGAGGCTTTATGGGTAGATATCTGCTTGGGGCAAACAAAGGGAAATAAATTATTGGTTGGGATATGTTGTAAACCACCTAATGTAAATATTAATGAGGAAGAACAGCTGTTAGCCCAAATTAGAAAAGCTGAAAATCGGTGTAACACGTTAATTATTGGAGATTTTAATTACCCGGACATAAATTGGGATAGAGGAACTAGTACTTCAGCAAGGGGGAACAGGATTTTGAATGTGTTAAATGACACCTTCATGTCACAACTGGTACAAGCACCAACCACAAAGAATGCTTGTCTGGATCTCGTCATAACAAACAATGTTGATCTTTTAACCAACACCAACATTCAAGTAGGGGAGCATTTGGGAAATAGTGATCACAATATGTAAATTTTGAAATAAACTCAAAAAAGCAAAAGCATGTGGGGTATATTAAAACGTTTAATTTTTAAAAAGCCAATTTCAATAAGATTAGGGCAACTCTACAACATATTGACTGTCATAAACTCCTTAGTGATAAAAACACTGAGGGTAAATGGAAACTATTCAAACAAATATTAGGAAGGTACATTTCACAGTATGTACCATTGGGTAATAAATATAAAAGAAACAAATTAAAACCAATGTGGCTTAGTAGAGAAGTAAAACAAGAGATTAAAAATAAGAAAAAGGGCATTTAAAGCATTTAAATCAGACAAATCAGAGGCATCCTATTTAAGATATAAGGAAGCCAATAACACTTGCAAAAAGGCAATTAAAGTGGCTAAACTAGAAAATGAGAAATTGATAGCCAAAGAATGCAAAACCAAGCCCAAAATTTTTTTCAAGTACATCAATTCTAAAAAAACAAAAAATGAAAAGTGAAGGTACACTGGAAACAGTGATGGGTCTGTTAGTTAATGAAGACCAGGAAAAGGCAGAAATTTTAAATAACTTTTTCTTCAGTATATATTAATGAGGATCCTATGGCAAGAAATAAGCAAATGATTGCTGGAACAAACTTGCAGATAACTTATGATTGGATAACTCGAGACAAGGTGCTACAGCTATTAAAGAAAATTAATGTAAATAAAGCTCCGGGGCCTGACGATATCCACCCACAAGTACTTAAGGAGCTAAGTGGGGAAATAAGTGAACCTCTGTATTTAATTTTTCAAGATTCTTTTGTTTCAGGTATTGTACCGGAGGATTGGAGGAAGGCAGATGTTGTTCCTATATTTAAAAAGGGTTCAAAATCCTTGCCTGGAAATTATAGACCTGTGAGCTTAACTTCTGTGACTGGGAAATTATTTGAATGGCTATTAAGGGATAATATTCAGGAATTCATTCGGAAGAACTTTGTTATTAGCAATAATCAGCATGGTTTTATGAAACATAGGTCATGTCAAACTAACCTAATTGCATTCTACGAAGAAGTAAGTAGAAGTATAGATCAAAGTGTTGCAGTGGATGTGATCTACTTGGATTTTGCCAAGGCATTTGATACAGTTCCTCACAATAGGTTAGTCTTCAAACTAAAAGAAATTGAAATAGATGAATATTCTTGTTCTTGGGTAGAACATTGGCTTAAGGATAGAGTACAACGAGTTGTCATTAATGGTAAATTTTCAAGCTGGACAAAAGTGGAAAGTGGTGTCCCTCAGGGTTCTGTTTTGGGACCGCTTCTATTTAACATATTTATAAATGATCTTGAAATAGGCATTGAAAGCCATGTATCAGTGTTTGCAGATGACACAAAACTTTGTAAAGTAATAAAATGTGAGCAGGATATTGCCTTGCTGCAGAGGGATTTGGAGAGATTGGGGAACTGGGCACTAAAATGGCAGTTGAAATTTAACGTAGAGAAATGCAAAGTTATGCAATTTGGGGTTAAGAATGCACAAGCAATTTACACCCTAAATGGTAGTGAACTAGGGATAACCACACACGAGAAGGATTTGGGAATTGTTATAGATAAATTAGGCAGCAATATGCAATGTCAATCTGCAGTTGCTAAGGCCAGTAAGGTTTTGTCATGTATAAATAGGGGCATAAATTCTTGGGATGAAAATATAATTTTGCCTCTTTATAAATCGCTGGTAAGACCACACCTTGAATATGCTGTGCAATTTTGGGCACCAGTTCTAAAGAAAGATATCATGGCACTAGAAAAAGTGCAGAGACGAGTTACAAAATTGATAAAAGGAATGGAGCATTTTAGTTACGAAGAAAGGTTAAAAAAAAATGTAAATCTCTTTAGTTTGAAAAAACGGCGCCTGAGAGGGGATATGATAACATTATACATATATATTTGGGGCCAGTACAAACCATTATCTGAAAATCTATTCATAAACAGGGCAATACATAGGACACGAGTTCACACATTTAGGCTGGAAGAAAGGAGATTTCATCTAAGGCAAAGAAAAGTTTTTTTCTTTGTTTTTTTTTTTTACAGTAAGAGCAATAAGGATATCGAATTCTTTGCCTGAAGAGGTGGTTTTTTAGAGTCTATACAGATGTTTAAACTGCAATTGGATAAATACTTGCAAAAACATAACATACAGGGATACAATTTCCAATTAGTGGGGTAATAGCTGCTTGATCCAAGGAGACATCTGACTGCTATTTTGGGGTCAAGAAGGATTTTTTCCTAGTTTGTTGCAAAATTGGAAGTGCTTCAGACTGGGTTTTTTGCGTTCTTTTGGATCAACAGCAAAAACATATGTGAGGAAGGCTGAACTTGACGAACGCAAGTCTCTTTTCAGCTATGTAACTATGTAAGACAGGTTAGCTCATAGTTCTCATCCTACTAAGGTCACCTAAAAGGTGGACAAAATGGACACTGACACTGTAACTGTTATGGGGAGCAGGCCCGAAGTGCCACGGAAAGCCCCATATCATATCAAACCACTTCTAAAATGTTTGACATAAAAATCGAGGTTATAAAAGGCCAGAAAGTCAACCTTCGGCATTCCATATGTTGTTTACTACATCTCCCATAATCCTCACAGCCATAATGCTGGCAAAGCATCAGGGAGATACAATCCAAAACACCTGAAGTGACGAATGTTGCCCACCACTGCCATAGGAAATATAACCACTACACAGAGCAGTACCAGTTATATTGCCGCGTGTGTAGCTTTAAAGCCAATTTGGAAAAATGGGCAAACTGCGCTATGGACATATCTTGACTACTGTAGTATAAATTGTGCAATCCGGCAATTAATGACCAAAATCCCTCTCTTGGAGGATTTTTCCAGTTCGTCGATTTTGGATTAAAATGTGAATTTAACAGATTAATTCCCGGTAATTTAATGTTTAGTGAATAACCCTGTATAATAAAAGGAAAAATAAAGGACTGCTTGTCAAGACGAACCAGTGGCCCAACACGCAGAATTAAGTAAAACACATAGCAAATACAAACAGTAACAACTTTTTACCGGGCCTTAAAATGGCCGGAATGAACGTAATAGAATAAACAGTAACGAGCCGAGGTCAGGAATACAGATAGGAACAAATACGGAAAGAACAAAGCCAAAGGGTCAGGGATACCAGAAATACGGGAAGTCAAGTCAAGCCAAGATCAAAAACCAATAATCAGAAACAGGAACGCGCTCTCGGATAACCAACAGGATGGAAACCACGACAGGGTACCGAACAACTGCAGGTTTGATTTAAATAACCCCCTGTAAATCCTGCTATTGGCTGATTTAGGTCTTATGACCCCAGAACGTGCGTGCATGGCGAAAACGTGATGCCGCACGCACTGTCACATCACTAGTGACGTCATTGTAGGCAGCGTTATTATATAGCGCCGCCTTGCAGCGGCCTTCCTAACACTGGACCTGGCCGCTGAATTACAAACTGCATGGAGGGAGAGGCTCTGGAGGTAAGGTAAGTAACCTCACCGATCAGAAGCGGTCACATCGTGGTGCCGATCAGGCACTGCGATAGTGTGACTGTACCGATCTGGTGCGACCAGACTGAGGTGCCGATCAGGCACCGTGACACTGTTCTAGAACATTACGGATGAACAATCATTTTAGGAGACAGTAAAAATACTGGTTATTGCAAAGTGTCGGCGCAGTGAGAATATTAATGTTAAAGAATGACCAGAAAGGATACAGCATAACCTTTACAGAGTCAGGCTCAAAGTCAACATCAACCTTCATTACCTGATTCACAGACCACGGATCCTGGCTTGAGCTCCAACATCATGGTAATAATGGAAATGTCAGTAGAATAAAGGATTTGAGTGCGGTGAGGAAGATTCATAGTCCAAAGCTCCGGGGTAGGATACAGGATGTACACCCATCCTCCTTTGCTGCAGGTTACCTTGGAGCCAAATTTCTTTCCTATTAGGTCCGTGGAGTGTCTGATAACTCCATATTTAGTCTGGGTCTGGCTGCCATGCTTCACAGTCACAGGAAACATGGAATCGTGACCCAGAAAGACAATCGCCGTGTCTCCATCTTGAATGAGCTCTCTGTATTCAATAAAACTCATCCTTATGGTTTCCTGAAAGTGAAAAATATAACAATAAACATAAGACATATGGAAACAAATATATGAATTTTTACACACAGATCACAGCAAGGATAAAGGGTTACCCCCAACTTAAAAAACAAAACAAACAAAAAAACAGTGGTTTTGGTTACAGTAACCCTTCCTGGTCTAAACTTGCTCCGCGTGACACGCTGGCTGCGAGAGTTGCACTGGGGGAGCTGCTGGGAGGTGAGTAAGCGCTTGCTACCCCCCTCTCAAAGCTCAGCCAATACCACTGTACCACCAGGGACTCCTATAACAAGCAGGGACGGGGGACAACAAAAACAAATAATTAATAATAAAAAAAAATTTAAAAATAAAAAAAATTTAATAAAAAATGCCCCCTCACACTCTCCATTATATACACATACACTAAACAAACACACTGTGTATATAATGCAGTGTGTGTGTTTGTATAGTGTGTGTATATAATGCAGTGTGTTTGTAAAGTGTGTGTATATAATGCAGTGTTTGTATAGTGTGTGTATACAATGCACACAAATACACACACTGCATTATATACACACACACACACACTATACAAACACACTGCATTATATACACACACTATACAAACACACTATACAAACACACTGCATTATATACACACACTATACAAACACACTATACAAACACACTGCATTATATACACACACTATACAAACACACTGCATTATATACACACACTATACAAACACACACAAACTGCATTATATACACAAACACTATACAAACACACTGCATTATATACACAAACACTATACAAACACACTGCATTATATACACACACACACACACACTATACAAACACACTGCATTATATACACACACACTGCATTATATACACACACTATACAAACACACTGCATTATATACACACACTATACAAACACACACAAACTGCATTATATACACACACTATACAAACACACTGCATTATATACACACACACTATACAAACACACTGCATTATATACACACACTATACAAACACACTGCATTATATACACACACACTGCATTTTATACACACACTATACAAACACACTGCATTATATACACACACACACACTGCATTATATACACACACTATACAAACACACTGTGTATATAATGCAGTGTGTTTGTGTATATAATGCAGTGTGTGTTTGTATGTATACAATGCACACAATTACACACACACACACACACACTGCATTATATACACACACTATACAAACACACTGCATTATATACACACACTATACAAACACACTGCATTATATACACACACTGCATTATATACACTGTGTATATAATGCAGTGTGTTTGTGTAGTGTGTTTATATAATGCAGTGTGTGTTTGTGTAGTGTGTGCTTGTATAGTGTGTGTATATAATGCAGTGTGTTTGTGTAGTGTTTATATAATGCAGTGTGTGTTTGTGTAGTGTGTTTATATAATGCACACTACACAAACACACCGCATTATATACACACACACTATACAAACACACACTCTGCATTATATAAACACACTACATTCACTATACACACACACACTACACAAATATACACACTTTGCATTTAGTATATACAGCATTCACTTTACGCACACACTCTGCTTTCATTATATACACACTAGACTAATACACACTGCATCCACTACACACACTAGACTAATACACACTGCATCCACTACACACACACTAGACAAATACACACTGCATCCACTACACACACACTAGACAAATACACACTGCATCCACTACACACACACTAGACAAATACACACTGCATCCACTACTCACACACTAGACAAATACACACTGCATCCACTACACACACACTAGACAAATACACACTGCATCCACTACACACACACTAGACAAATACACACTGCATCCACAACACACACACTAGACAAATACACACTGCATCCACTACACACACACTAGACAAATACACACTGCATCCACTACACACACACTAGACAAATACACACTGCATCCACTACACACACACTAGACAAATACACACTGCATCCACTACACACACACTAGACAAATACACACTGCATCCACTACTCACACACTAGACAAATACACACTGCATCCACTACACACACACTAGACAAATACACACTGCATCCACTACACACACACTAGACAAATACACACTGCATCCACAACACACACACTAGACAAATACACACTGCATCCACTACACACACACTAGACAAATACACACTGCATCCACTACACACACACTAGACAAATACACACTGCATCCACTACACACACACTAGACAAATACACACTGCATCCACTACACACACACTAGACAAATACACACCATCGCCACACACTAGACAAATACACACTGCATCCACTACACACACTAGACAAATACACACTGCATCCACTACACACACTAGACAAATACACACTGCATCCACTACACACACTAGACAAATACACACTGCATCCACTAAACACACATTGCATCCTCCACACACACACACACACACACACTACACAAACACACACTGCATCCACAACACACACACTACACAAACACACACAGCTCCCCTGCCACACTGCATCCACTACACGTGGCATGTATATTTTGTGCATTTACCTTTAGAAATAGTTTTTATTTTCCAAAATGGTAAATGTTCAGAATATCGGCAAATTATATCGGCTATCAGCCTGAAAGTTCACAGAATATCGGTATCGGCTCTAAAAAAATCAATATCAGTCGATCCCTAACATCGAACATAATGCTCTTCCAGCCCTGCCCTATCTCACACAGAATAACTACAATCACTCTTACTTTAATAATTACAAAATACTAATGTGTTTTAATAAAAACTAATATTGAGGATGTTTTATCCCATATATGGCTAACCGTCGGCGTGGCAATTGTAGACATTTCCTTTAACATGGCAGCCCACGAACAATAGAAACCTTAGTTCACATACACGCATTGACAAAAATATAAGCATCAGTACTTTAGTTTATTAATCTATTTCAGGATGATTTCCCTACACCTATAAGTTTCTGTCGGATGAGGGAAAACACATGCCAACACAACAGCCACCTATACACAATGGCGATTATGTATAAAAAGTGACGCAGTTGATGGTATATTCACTTTCTCTATGCACAAATATTTTCCTTTATGTGCCACATTTGTCCAGTTTGCCCTTCTTTTCTTTACAGAGAATTGTGATTTTTCTGTTACAGGTAAACAAGTTTCACAATCTTCTTTTTGTTTAAGGATTGCCGAGTGTCCCCTAGCAATATTAATCATTTGTATTATTTTGTGAATGAAATCAATGGTAAAATCATCAAGGAAAAAGAAGCAATAAAAAGCGGTGGAAAAAAGATTATTTTGGTGCATTACAAAAAAAAAATGTCCCAAGTAAAAAGATAGAGGTATAGTTTTATATATAAGAAAATAGACCATTTACACAACTGGTGCAAAGGTGAGTGCAAAAATGTTAATACTTAACTCCCAACATACCTTACATGTGATTGTTTTAGAGCTGTCATTAATCAAATTGAAAATGTGAACTTCCTGACCTTTACACCTGTGTTGTGCTTTGTATTGAGCAGACCTGTATTTAAACGGCTTGTCAAGACTCAGAGACCATTGTTTATAGTTGTTTTCTGATCATTTCACAATGGCCCAAATTAAACAGAGGAATCTGCCAGCTTCACTTGCTACATTATTATTTCTGTCACTCAAAATGTGACCAGGTGACATGCCTAATACCATACTAAAAGCAAATTACATGAGTGAACTAAGAAGGGTGAAAAAATATTCTGTTACATCAGGGTTGGTCATTAAACTGTGAAGAATTCAAAATTAATGTTCAATTTTATGCTGAAAAAGTCAAAGTAGAAAACTTGTTTACAATTTGAAAAAGAGTCTTGACTAACACAATTTATTGAATCATGTGGTCGTTTTTAATCAACCCCATATATTTACAATCTTTTTAATAAATCAATTTGCAGTTATTTAACTATTTTGGTTACAGTGATCACAACACACACACACACACACACACACACACAAAAACAAAAAAAACCATAGAAATGCGTTTAACATCTACAATTAGAACAGGTTTATTGATGTACATGTAGATGTAAACTTGGTCTTCCAGCTGCTAAACCACATTTACATGAGTTTCCAGCTAACATTTGATTGAGCAGTAGTAGATATTCTTCTGGAGGTCCAATGTTTAACACTCCTGAACTATAACCTGAGTATTGGATGATTAGACTATTTATAAAAATAAAATAGGAAAATGCTGAAAGCTGACAAACTGATTTGAAACCTGAATAGAAAGAGTTCAAAATACACAGGGAAACAAAGTGTTTTCCAGACTCCAAGGATTTTGAAACACAGCCACAGGGAGTGTTATACATGATAAATAGATTGAAATATTACATTTTCATGGCTTTACATACATCAGTCTGATATTTCTGTCACTACCTATCTCCTTATTGAATAAAAGACGAGACTAGAAGCAATAACATGGTGTTAGCATGCACATATCCAGCAAGCTCTGCCTTCCATGTAAACATTCACAAGAAATAAAAGATATAGATTTTACCCTTTCGGTCTCAACTCTGCCAGCGTCCTCCTACAGTGAAACACGTGGGTGTCGCTTCCGGGTCGCGCTGTTATGACGTCACGCAGCTGCTGACAGCCTTAGACAACATACTGTGTGTGTGTGTGTGTGCAGTGAATACAGAGCATGTTCAGAGACAGTGCACAGGCAGGATTCCCTCTAAAACAGACATTAAAATACATTATTCCATGGGAGTGTCTCAGATCAATGCACACTTACCTCCTGCCAGAGGAATTTAATAAAAAGGAAAATAAGGGATTAAATGACAAAATAAATCATAAATTATGTTAATAGGCACCATAACCAGTTCATCAAAATAAAGTAGTAATGATGCTCCCCATCAGAGTCCCCTGGTGCCTTCCATGTTTTAAAGTTAAAGCATTTTGACACTGATTGAGGGTACCCGGGCACCCACACCCTAGCCCTACTCTGCTTGACTTAAAGAAATACTCCAAACATCTTAACCATTACAGTGTTTTGATGTTTTGAGTATTCATTTAAGTCAAGCTGAGTAGTTATGTAAATAGTTAAAATGTTTAGTAATGGCATGACTTCTTTCCCGGGGTCGACCAAGCGTCGCATCCTACAACCAGAAATGAGAGGTGAAAGCCAGGTTTACCTCAGAGCTTAGAGGAGGGCAGGGTGCACCCAGCGAACTGTTAGTAACTGTTACTATAAAGGTACAATACTCACATTGGGGGTAGAGCCAGTGCCTCCTGGCACCATAACCCCAAACAATGCGCTGTAGCTGTTATGGTATTTGGAGTGTTCCCGCCCCATAACAGTTTCAACTCATTTAAAGGGTTCTGCCAACCAAAACCCAGCCTGGTCTACCCCCCAAATAGTAAAATAAATAAATGCATGCTAGCATCAGACTCCAATTTTGCACAAAATGTGAGCGCCCCAACAATACAGCTGAAGATGGAGTTAGGTAGTCACTCTTATTGGCTGAGAACAATCACCTGCAATGCAAGGCTTAGCTCAAGAGAGCTAATAGACATTCCCACTGAGGACCTTTTTTTCTCCTGCCATGGAAGTAGAAGTGGACAGAAGTGCCTGGCGGACGCCACATAAGAGTCAAACCATTGGACTGCAGAATTGAGTTTTCTTTTAAAGGCTAAAGCTTTTAAAAATGTGCACAGATGTAATGAAACCTATCAAAGTATCCCAATCAAAAGCAGAGTATGGATTTCAACTAAAAAAAATTTTTCTCTAAGATCTTCTCAAACAACAATTCTTCATTCTACTTTATTTCGTACGTTCACCTTCTCACTTGTGTACTCGCACCACAAGCTGCGAAAAGCAAACATTGACCTACTTAGGTCTAAACGACTTTGTGCGAATTCAAGACAGACAGCATTTTAAAGGGACATTGCGTCACAAGATATGCCTTTATGGAAACCAATCTATCTCTTACAGGGATTATTCCATTGTTGATATCCCTGGTGTGCCTAGTAAAGGAAAATATATGGTCTATTTCTAAATTTAATGGACAACTATCACCACAAAACAATTTTTTATTATAATAATCCTTTCACCAAGTTTTGAAAGGAAATAGATTTTGTTAAGTTATAAAAAAACTAATTCCTACTTTTAGTATATGACAGGATCCGTCCGCCATATACGTACACCTTGGGTCAGACGGAGATTGACACCCAACAGTTAGTCTCTATGGTCTTCCCTGATGCACTCCCAGCACAGAAACAGGGAAGACCATAGAGATGAACTGTCAGTTTTCAAACACGCTCTGAATCAAGGTGCATGTCCTCATTTTTTTACATATACTTCCGTTTTGGTTTTTTAAAAAACCCTAATATCTGTTGGCATTGTAAGGACTACTGATAAGTGTGTGTTAGAGGAAACGTGTTTCCATTCTCTCCTTAATTGATAACTGGAGATGAAGCTGGTTTTCAAAAGGACATGGTGTTAAATGGGTAAAGCCCAAAAAGTCAGGGCTGCACCCCACCATCTTTAAACCTCATCATCCGCTAGTGGTGTCAGCTAACGCGTCTGTACGTGTCTGCATCTGTCGTGCAAGGGAAATGTCCGCTTAAGATACCAGTATATAAGAAAAGGAGGTTGGACTGTTTAAGGGACGAGGTAAGTTTCAAATATTTTGAAACCGGTTTGACTACTTACCATGGGACGACGCCAGGTGACTCCTGGCACCATAACCAGTGCAGTGGACTATAGTGGTTATGATACATAGACTGTACCTTTAAAAGCACTGCAGATAAATGATATGGATTCTCTCTTGGCTGTAAGAGTTGGTAAGTAAATATCACAAGGTTATGTTATGCACTCAGTCCATGGAAACACCAATTACTGCTTCGAGTTCTTCGTTTTTTCCCCCCCGTCAGTTTCCACATGGTAATCAACGAGTTAATATATTATTTATAGCAATTTGGAAAAAATTGCAGCAGCCTATCCTCCTGTCATCTGACCCTGTGACTCAACATTTAAAAATTAGAAAAATAGCTGAATATTTACTGCTTCTGCCAATACAAATTTATAAAGGCATAAACATTTTTTTCACTTTTTTTGTTATATTTCTGTAATAGATTCCTTATAATGTATTGCACACGAGCAAAAGCTGCCAGTGCAGTCCAGGCACCACGCATGTTAGATGCAATAGGAAGGTTTGCTACAGATATTTGTTTTAATAATCATTAGTTTTAATCTAAGATATTTGTTTATTCATACCTTGCCGGACTGGGTATGTTCCATGCTGCCGTGAATTGTTCACAGCAAGTGCAAGCTTCTCAAATTACAATCTCAAACTATACAAACTGCCCTTAAAGGAACACTACCTCTACATCATGCTGCAGTGGGTATGGTACCAGGACTGCCCTTTTTACCCAGGGTCATAGTTGTAGTAACTGGGTGGATGGGGGTGATGACTCACCACCAGAAAATCTAGTGTAACTTTAAAATGTAATCTCAGTGTTTAAAAATGAACAGATGTTAAAAGAGTTGGTTATCCCATTTTACTAATAGACTCCCTAATGATAATAAATCATGTAGAAAATAGCATCATTAAATGTCGAAGTGCTGCTGGGATTATTAATATATTGTGGCCCCTCTGGATTTAATTTGGTTCCTAAACCAATGTCTGGGTTCTGCTGTGTGCTGTGACGCTCTGTGAGAGGGTGGTGTAGTGTTCAGCTCATTGGCCGAGAGTGATTAGTGGTACTGTCAACCAATGCATCAAGCAGTAGCTTCCAGTTCTCACTGAGCTGTAGTGGAGGCAGGGGGTGGTGCTCTGTGGATCCCAGGTGAGAAGTCAAACCATTCTTAAATGATATGATTCTGACAATGGAGTTGGTGCCAGGGCCAGAGTGCTGCAGTGGTTATGGTGCTTGGAGCGTCCGTTTAAGGCATTCAGTCTACATGCAGAGAGATTTTAGACTTCTAGTGTTTCCATTACATACAAGAACTGTTTGACTTGTAACTGCCATCTCCACGACTACAGGAAGACTGCATAGAGGTTACAAGAAAAGGAATTTCACCTCAGACTTCTATTAACTGGATACAATGGGTTTAAGCTCCATTTGTATTGCATTATACAGGCAAGGCAGAACAAATCAACAAAAAATAATATGAAATTTAAAAAAAATACAAAAAAGTTCATATTTGCTGTAAATCCATAGTATTTGCAGCTTCTGCAGTGTGCTCTCGGCAAACCAGGTAGTGGCACATTAATAATATGGTAGAGAGAGTTTAGTGGATAGGATTCCAACTGCAATATCAAAGAGCTACAGGTTTGATTGCTTACTGGGCGAACGAAAAGGTCTCTAAAATAAACACCTGGACATTAGGTACTCATTACATCTCGACTAGAAAACTAGAAAAATCTAAAGGCGCTTCTTATGGTTAAACGCTTTCTATGAGAATGCTATGCAAACCCCTTGGCTCTTATAAGGACAGAACTAAAAATTAAAGGCATTTTTAGTTCAGTTTTCTGCTGAAATCTGTACAGACAACAATTATTATTAATAAAAAAAATAGAAAAATATTAATAATAAAAATAATTTATATAAAACACATTTCTACCAGTCCTGTACTAATGGGATATCTGTGACTCTGCTCCTCTGTCCCTTTTAAAGGAAATATTTTGTAATTATTTTTCAGTGTAACTTTCAGACATCTCAACATGCAAAAACTAATTTCAGGAAGTTGTCTGCACCCTGTTACCCCCAATCGCGCCGCCTACATGCCCCCCAACACCCATGCACGCACTCCCACACACGGGACCGCACACACAACATATTACAACTATTCACATACATACACTATTCACACACGGCCACATGCACACACCTCAACACACAGATACACACAGACACACAGTGAAACACAGATATATACACACAGACACTGGCATATACACACCTGGGCACACAGATATATACACACTGACACAGACACTGGCATAAACACACCTCGACACACAGATACACACACTGACACACAGATATATACACACAGACACCGGCATATACACACCTGGACACACAGATACACACACTGACACACAGATATATACACACAGACACTGGCATATACACACCTGGACACACAGATACACACACTGACACCGGCATATACACACCTGGACACACAGATACACACACTGACAGACACATATATACACACAGACACAGACACTGGCATATACACACCTCAACCAGTGGCCCAGATCGAGGAGAGGGCAAGCGGGGCAATTACACACACTGAACCCTTTACACACAAACACACTGCTCCCAATATACAAATTGCTACCCCATACATACACTGCACCCCTCTCACACACGCACTACCCCTCCATACACATACTGCGACCCTCACACACATACACACTACAGCCCCTATCCCGACAGACCCTGGGTAAGTTATCAAACGTTTTTTTAAACGGTTTGACTACTTACTCTGAGAGGGCACCACACCAACTCCTGGCACCAAAACCACTACAGAGAGCTGTAGTGGTTATTGTGCCTGGATTGTTTCTTAAAATGATCTGCCAGTGCCCCTCCAGAGATTAGCTTCTGGATCCGCCACTGACCTCGACACACAGATACACATACTGACACACAGGCGCCAAATACACACACACACACACTCAGAACACAGACTGGCACATACACACCAAATCCCTTTAACCCTGTCAACGCAAACATCAGGGTAAGGTGGAGTGTGTACTTAATAGTGCCCTGGGTTATTTTCTTCCAAGTGTCTGTCATTCTCACAGATGCTACACGATGCAGCAAGGAGTGGATCTGAAAAATATAGCAAAGCATTGATTATTGTGCTAATTTATCTCAGCCGCCTGCCAATCAATGAATGGAATATAAATAGCAGCCAATAGAAGGATGTCTGCAGACTTGTATATAAAGGAGGTGGAGTTAGCTTCTAGCACACATCCTTCAGGTCTGATCAGGAGCTGCTTGGGGGTGAGTCCGGTGTCCACAACCAGTTCTAGCAAGTAACACAACCAGGTAAGTTGCAACGTACATATTTACTAAACAGCAGGGAGGAGAATTGCAAAACACAGTAAATAACGTTTTATTATTTATTTTAATGTTGCATAAACCTCCTGTCCAGCTGTGGGGTTAAAATCAATGAGATCTGCTGCAGTAGAAGAACTGGGGGCAGGAGGGTGGGCTGTACATTTGCTGGCGGCTTGTGAAGCAATGGGGGTTAATTCATGTCCTTGGGGTATGTCTATGTGGCTGGGGCGTTTACAGTCTGCATTAGGGGCAGTATCTGCAGTGTTTTAGAAGAATAAGAGCCTGATCTGGAATAAAGAGAGAATTATCACTGGTGGCCTGAAAGCGAGCTCTGTCTTGGTATAAAAAACCCTGCAATTTCTAGTGACAAGGTGACTTGGAATTTTAATTGAAAGGATGCATGTTTACAGAGAATGGAGGTTTGGGTTGCTAGTTCAATCCATTCTAGTGCTGCAAAGCTGTTCTCTAAAGTCCACTTGCAAAAAGCTGAATGTGTGCTAAATGCTGGTCCCAGCTCGACACCGCCATCTACTGACAGATTTTATTTCTGCTGCCTCAGTGGTAATGTGTCGCTTAATCCTTCAATGAAAATTGTTCTTCTGCAATGTCTGTTTTTATCTGTGCAATTCCTGATCGTGTGATTGCAGCTATTAATTAAGTCTTGTCTTTTGTCTCCCTCTATCATAATGCGGGTTTTTTAATTTTTTTTTATTATTTTTTTTTTAGTATGCATACCAGCAGCAATGGAATGAAATTGGAATATAATATAAATTTCTTTTTTTTTTTTTTTTTTTTTTCCTGCCGTAGACTTGGGAGTCTCTTGCAATAAATTATTCTCATTATAGACCTGAGCATAAGATTTGATTTTGCAATTGTATATGCTAATTATGTTGAGTTTGCATTGTGTTCTAATTCCATTGACTAAGCTATGAAAGTGGTTTTTTTTTATTTTTTTATTTTGGCATTTAGATATTGAACAAGCATTAATTTTTATTTTTCTTAATCTGTAAATTTTGGTTTAATCTCTACTACTCTGTTTGTGGGAAGTTTATCTTTCCTCGCAAAAAACAAAATTTTAAGAAATCTAACACTGTATTTATGTGTAAATGTCACATTTGTTATAGCGTACTATTTAAAGAGCCAAAAGTAGATTGTATGAGCCTGTCTGATAGTCCTAAGGTCACTATGAAGATCATATTGTGATCATGAAGATAAAATGTCCTAGATTATGAATTTACACCTTATTCCTATCCTCTTGCAGTAAAAGTGCAATCATGCCTTTTGGAAATACGCACAATGCCTGTAAACTTAAATATTCCGTCGACGAAGAGTTCCCAGACCTGAGTAAGCACAACAATCATATGGCCAAGGTGCTCACACCGGAACTGTACGCCAAACTGAGGGATAAGCAGACCGCTGCTGGAGTTACCGTGGATGATATCATTCAAACTGGGGTCGATAACCCAGGTAACTAATGGAATTTTTATATGTAAAAAGTGGTTGGTTTTTTGTTTTCCGACTTGTCCAACAATGACGTGGCAGAGCCAGGATTTTAACCTTGGGAATGTAAAGGGAACAAGGTTTTTTTTTTTTTTTTTTTTTGTTCATCCAATTTGGGGTGAATCTAAATAATCAACCAGCTGCAATGATAACGCATTGTACTAGCTAATCATTGGTCCGGTGTATCTCTGCACTGAAGATCTCCCATGCTAACCTGTATTGTAAAATGTATCCAGCACAGATTGTTCTCTAAATCTGTTCTCTAGACATGTTTGGTAGTATGTCTTGTGCCAGGCTTGGGTTAGCAAATCCCATCCTCTGTAAACTTGTGGTTTGAGTCACATGTGCCAGCCAAGAGTTCGATGGATAGCCTCAAATTTTTTATTTTTTTTTGTATTTTTAACTTGGTGCTAAGACTTTAGCTACATGCTCAGCTCTAGATACTGTATCTATAGAAATTCTAACCTAATGACTGTCAACATGACCTGTGTATTAGGAGCTACTCGAGAAATTAAAGCCAGAGAGGACATATCTGTATCAAGGTCACTTCATCACTTCATTCTTATGTTGTGCTCGTTTAGGACACCCATACATTATGACCGTGGGATGTGTCGCTGGTGATGAAGAATCATATGTAACATTTCAGGATCTCTTTGACCCCATTATTGAGGACCGACATGGAGGTTATAAGCCAACAGACAAACACAAAACTGACTTGAATCCTGCAAATCTTAAGGTAAGAGTGATGTGGCCTGCAGTCTCTCTGTGAGCGAGAGATAATGTATATACATACACCAATCAGCAGGAACATTAATTTTATTTCCTTGGTGACTGAGCCCAAAATTGTTATGAACATAAACAAGCTTGGAGTGTTGCATATTATTTATTTATAAAATATTTTACCAGGAACGATACATTGAGATTTCTCTCGTTTTCAAGTATGTCCTGGGTCTTTGTACTTTGCTCACAAAACTGGCCTGAGACACTAATGGCAAAAAGTGTGCTTACAAATGTTAACAGTTGTAGGGGTCGAATCCCATGGTGGAACAGAAATGTAGTTTGTTCTAGAATAGAACATTTACAATATGATTATAGAAACATCCCTAAAAATAAGTCTTAAGTAGGGTGTCTTCCTGTCTTTGCTTCTAGTAGGATTTCTGAACACTGAAATGTTGTTTCTTGAATTTCCCTTTGTAAATTAATTTTTACATCCCTGTTTAGGGTGGTGATGATCTAGACCCAAACTATGTTCTCAGCTCCCGTGTTAGAACTGGAAGGAGCGTTCGTGGATTCAGCCTTCCTCCTCACTGCAGCCGTGGAGAGAGACGGGCTGTCGAAAAGCTGTCAGTTGAAGGTAATTTATGCTGTTTATGCAATTTTACTTCACGTGTGCCATGCAGCAAGCCTTCAAGGTCACTGCAAACCACACCTCTGTGCATTGTGCGCTCTTGGCAGGAGTGTTATCACACCGTCACACACAGCTGATAACTGGCGTTCATTGACTTTAAGTGCACAAGAAGACTGAAGCAGGAATTAACATATTTGAAATCTATAAAATAAAAAGCTAATTAATGAACAATGGCCTACTAATATTCATACAAAGCACTTTGCAATACAAACTGCCTAATTTGTGTATCATTGCCCAAAAAGTTAGACCACATTGATTGGGGGTGTGGTTTCCTACACCAGTTTACTGAACCCACCATGCACTTAAATCTTCAGTAGAGGGCACGAGAGTCTGACCCCTGATAATTTTCTGCAGAAACTACAGGTCCCCTCCTAAAGTTGGGGTGAACCAGCTCAACTATGTCTATTTTAGACTAGCTCCCTAATATGCATGCATTGTATTTTTATTTAAGGAGAACCTAAACTAGAGTGAGCTTGCAAATTAAATAAATGCATAACCTAAGAATAATCTGATTAATCACTGAAATAAGCATTTCTGGGAATTTAAATTGAATTTTAAAGTTTAGGCTGAAGGAGCTGAATTAAGGAAACACTTAAATCCGTTCAGTCTCTACTTTGGGTGTTTCTGCCTTAAATTTGAAATCCAGTTCTCACTAACCGGTTATTGCAGAACCGCAGATTCATCTGTAGAAGTGATAAACTAACACGGGAGTCACATTTTAAGGCTAACCTGGGAGTATAGCTGAATTGTAAGGTGTGAATGGTCTGTTTCAGCAAGTGATTTATAAGCTGTACTGTTGGCATACTAAGTAAAGCCAGTGATGACTAATCAGTGTAGACTGCAGAGTTAAGTTTAGTTTTTTTTTGTGTTTTTAACCTTGCATTGAAGCACATTACTGCGATGAACTATATGTTGAGCATCCAGCTTTAAATTTGACTTTCCAAATGCATATGTGCTTAGTGATCGCTGTCCCAGCCACACTGTGCTCTGCGAGAGGCAATAACCTTCTAGGGAAATGTTTTCAGTGTCAGAAATTCAGATAAATACCTTCCTGTATATGGTATGGCCTTGTGCTCCGACTTGCCAAGTCTTTCATCGAGACATACTGATTCCTGCGCAAATGTGGGAAAAAAGGTGTTAAATCTTTTAACGGTCACATGGTACTGTGTCATTTTTGTGTATAACACATACTTGTAAAAGCTTTCCTTGCAAGAACAGAAATGTCTTGATTTTAGTGGTTTTTGGCTAACCTTCCATTGAATTTTCCTTCCAACTAATTCAGTTGTACTTTTGTTGCCAATATAAAGTGTTTGGGAACTTCCTGATCTTGCAGACATTGTTCACTACATCACCCATGATGCTGTGCAAGCCTACTGACCTAGAATTTGCATATGAATGTTAAGCATTGTTTTTGGAAGTATCCAATTTTGACTTTATTCTCCTTTTCCCTGTTCTCAGCTCTTGCTAGTCTTGATGGCGACCTAAAAGGAAAGTACTACGCTCTGAAAAATATGACTGATGAAGAACAGCAACAACTTATAGATGACCATTTTCTCTTTGATAAACCAGTTTCTCCTCTACTTCTGGCCTCTGGAATGGCTCGGGACTGGCCTGATGCCAGAGGGATCTGGTACGTCCCTATTGAATTTCTCCGTATGGAATGAAACTACTGGCTATTAACATCCTAAAGAACATTCTTTCTATATCAATAATAGAACTACCTAATGTGGGGTTAATTCATTGTAGCAAACAAGAATCTTGTAGAATCTAGGGAAAATTAGCAGATCTGTAAATACTGAAATGCTATATTTATAGCTTGTCTGTGTTTTAGCCCAAGGTCTCCTATATAGACTTCAGTCTAGTGTAGGCATAGGCAACCTTCGGCACTGCAGATGTTTTGGATTACAACTACCATGATGCTTTGCCAGCATTATGGGTGTTCTGGGTGTAAGAGCATTATGGGGATGTAGTCCACATCTGGAGTGCCAAAGGTTGCCTACCCCTGGTCTAGTGAATGAATCTGCATGTGTGTTCTCCTCCCACCACCCCCTCTTCTTGGAGGTTTAAATGGAGACTGTGAGGGTCATCCACACTTCTGGTCTGATCATAATACCTTCCTTTTCCTGAGGATGAAATGCAAACTAAAACTCAGTGTTCGAGATCCAAATTGGAGGACAGTTAACATTCGCATGCATTATTCAAAGATCTCGATGCTGTGAATCACTTATGCAACAGTGTGTAGTCTGGCATTAGTCTAAGCGGTTTAAATATTTAGGTTCTTGGATTTAGTTCAATTGATGGCCTGGCTTTAATCTGGGCTTTTGCTCACAGTACCTTGACCTGTGGCAGGTTTTTTATTTATTTTTCTCTGTAAGCTGCAAAGCTAAATATAGTGGTGTATTTAAATTGTGTTTAACCCTCCCATCACAGCAGTACCATGACTTAAAGGGAATAGTAACTCAAGTTCAGCCTTCCTCACATCAGTTTTTTGCTGTTGCTCCAAAAGAAGGGAAATAAAAACCCAGTTTGAAGCACTTCCAATTTTGAAACAAACCAGGAAAAAAATTCCTTCTTGACCCCAGAATGGCAGTCAGATTAATCCTTAGATCAAGAAGCTATTACCCTACATCTAGGTGCAAGAGTCTTGTTTGGACAGGTTTCCAATAACTTGTCTATCTGAATCCAGAACACTCTTGATTTAAGTCTCGTATTGTTTCTCAGTCAGTGAAGGTGAGGGCACTGTTGTACAGAAATCAAGAGATGGTATTATTTCTAACAGGCGTGTAATAGAGCCCAGCTGTATAATGTGACTATGTTTAACTTCCCCCAACGAGGCCTTTCTATAACCTGTAAAAGGGGTACTAGACCTAATTTAACATTGCTTCTTACTGTTTGGCATTTCAGGCATAATGACAACAAGACTTTCCTTGTCTGGATCAATGAGGAGGACCATCTCCGTGTGATCTCGATGCAGAAGGGGGGAAACATGAAGGAGGTCTTCAATAGGTTCTGCACTGGGCTTACTAAAGTAAGTGTAGCTGTAAATAAAGGTTTGTCTCTTGTCTGGCAATGAGCTAAACATTCCAAATCTACTTTAACCTGGCTGCAGCAAGGTTGGGAACCTAGTCCTATTTTGCTAACTATTCAATATACATTAATGGCACTCAGACCACTTCAGCTCATTGAGGTGGTCTGGGTGTATAGTCCCAGGTCCATTAACCCTGCAAAGCTAATTATTGCAGTTAAAACAAACTGCAATAATTAGATGAATGGAGTAACTCCATCTCTAGTGGCTGTCTATCAAACAGCCACTAGAAGGACATCTAGGTCGTTGGGCGATTTTTGGTTCCCTAACTGACTCTAGACGTGCAGGAGGGGGAATTATAGTGCCAGTTTTCCTTTAACATTATTTGATCATTGATTCCCATTCGATTTAATCTTCCATCCATTATAATGCCCTAGAATGTTGGTTGTAAATGTTTTATATATATATATATTTTTTTTTCTTTCTAGATCGAATCTCTCTTTAAGAATAAAAACTACGAGTTCATGTGGAACGAGCACCTTGGTTACGTTCTGACATGCCCATCCAACCTTGGAACTGGCCTCAGAGCTGGTGTTCACATTAAATTGCCAAATCTCAGCAAGAATGACAAATTTGGAGAGATCCTTAAGAGACTCAGACTTCAAAAGCGAGGAACAGGTAAGCGCCTACCTGGAACAGGAACTCTATATCCAGTCCAGCAATATATATAATATATAATTTTCACCTCCGGGAGTCTCCTTGCTTCAGTCTACCTCATGTGTAGTCAAACTTAGTCATGACTTGTGTACAATCAAGGTACATGGACACAATGTGGAGTTGATCTGCTAAAAAGCAATCTATAAAAAGTGTGATGTATGGTTGTTTTTTTTTTTTTTGTTTTTTTTTTATTATTATTTATTTATTTTTTCTTCTCTCCCTTATTCCTGTGGCTCAATGCTGCCACACTGTAGGCAGCTCAATTAAAATAACAGACTACAAGATCTGACATCTCACCTTCACCACTTCTTAAGTGGATTTATAAATGTGTAAACTTAAAATCGGGCAGAAGAGACATGTCGTTAACCTCAAAGCACTGCAGCGTTCTGAATTGCCCCAGTGGAATAGACGGGACATTTAACTCATGCACATAAATGAACAAGACTTGCATTGCACAATGAAATAGGCATAGTTTTATCACGAATGTGAATCATTGAAACCTGAGATTTTATGCCCTCTAATCAGACTTGGCCAGACATGTGATTCACCTTAATTTTGCAACCCTTAACACAACAGCACTTTATTAAACTGGACGCTGTATTCACTATAATGTGATCTGTGTCTAGATCCAGAAATATCTACATTCAAATAGCATTTCAGCAATCTAGATGCCCATCTTCCCAATCCCACAAGTTATAGCAGGTTTCCTTTACATAGTTGACCATTTCTTCAGATGCCAATCTAGTTTAGGCTAACTATTGAACCCATCTGTATATTTGACAAAAAACCCTGGCTTATTCAATATATGCATTGAGCAATAAAAAACCATATATAATTTTTTTTTTTCTTTTTTTTTTTCTTCAGGTGGTGTAGACACAGCTGCTGTTGGAGGAGTCTTCGATGTGTCCAATGCTGACCGCCTGGGTTTCTCTGAGGTCGAGCTCGTTCAGACAGTGGTTGATGGGGTAAAACTCCTTATTGAGATGGAAAAACGTCTGGAGAAGAACCAATCCATTGATGACCTCATCCCAGCAGCAAAGAAATGAACGCACTATTAATGGCCATGCTTTCTAATTTATTGGATGACAAATAGCATCACTCAAGAAGACCTTGGAACCCAATTCCTGCTTAGTAACACTGTAGAGATTGTCTTCCATCTGTTCATGTTTTAGAGTTTATTTTTCCGTTTGATGGCTGCAATGTTACTGAATATAGAAAATAAACGGTCTTGCCTTCACATGTGTTCTGTGTATCCGTGAGACTAGTCTGGGTATGAAGACCTACCACTGGGCCAGAACAATGTATTTAAATAAATTAGACCAAAGACAGAGGCCCTAATGAATGTAAGATATAGATTACCTAGTCTGTCAATTTAAGAGATTATAGCGTTAAGACCTTTTTATTTTACTTCAGTTTTCTGTCAATACCACTGTTCTAACCCTTCTAAATTACATTCTTTATTGAATATAGTTGTATAGGTGGTGGTAATAATTAACAAGATTCAGATATGCCTTTTTATTTAAATAAGCTACAGGATAAACCACTGAATCGAATTTCTGAGGATGCACAAGATGAGATTGCATCATTCACTGGAAATGTGTCTGGTTTTTATTTTTTTTTTTTATTATAAATGCCTGACTGGACCTAAAGACTCCCTATTTTTCTATGGATCTGTTCACAATCTGCCAAGTTGTAGCTAAACTGGAATTCTGGGCCCCTCTGAGTTAAGGAAACCGGCTAATCTGCACATTAAAACCTTTCCGCATACAGAGCCCCTTTCACACTTGAATGGGGCCTTTTCTCAGAAGCTGAACGTCTATGCTTGATGGCCAAACACTGTCACAACTTTGCTATTATGTCACAAAACAAGATGAATTGTGTCTGTACTATTTATATATAATTTGTGTGTACAGAAATAGTCAATGTTTTAAAACAACCTAGCAAGTCCACCCTTTCAGAGACTTGAAAGGCCTGCTGGAGGTTTGTCTGTATACTAAACCATCTTTAATCCTACTATATTCAATGAGTTGCAACACTGTATTTCCTAAATCTCAGCGTAGTACTAGGACATTGCTGTCCCAGGATGACTGAGATTACTGGGAGTCACGAGTCCTGCCTGCTGTCAATCACTGTTTGGAAGGAGGCGGGCAGAATTAGTCTGCTTTGATTGCACCTCCCATCAATCCCAAGCAGCCTTCACAAAGGAAGAGAAATTTAGTGCGGGTCCTCTGTGTGCATGCGTATGGCAACTGCCATGGAAAAACACTTAAATAAATGTATTTTAAAAATCAAATCTGAAAACCATAGCCGTGAAACAAGTTATGGGAACACAGTGCCATCTAGGGGATATTATTTGTCTCTAGAATCACTCCACATTATTTCATCAATTCATAATAAACCATTAAGTCCTCAGTGTGTACATATATTTAATTTTCTAATTTACATTTTAGTAAGCGGAAGGCTTAATAGGGAAGGGTATAAAATAAGTTTAGTGACCTATAGGGAGAGCTAATTTTTCAGCTTCCTGCAAACCAGGTTCTGCCAATGTTAATTATAAGCTTTCAGTGCTATAGTTACTAAATGCATCTGCTAACACACAGCTTATGAGTACTGTACCAGACTAATTTATCAGTGTCCTGATAGAGGCCATTTATAAAAATTACCTCTTTTAGATGTCAGCTTGACAACCTTGGCTAATGACACAGTCCTCCTGAACATATATTGTGCTATTAACTGTTTAAATGCCCGTGAATTGATGAAGCACATTGCTATTAAACTTGAAAACAGATTAAATATAAACAAATATTGTGATCTTTACAGTGGTTCACACTTTAACAACCGCAGTGTCTAGATCAAATTGTGAGCTCTTTAACACAATGCCATTAAGATTTTTGCACAAAAAATGCCAATTTCGCCAAGATTAAATTAGAGGAAATGAATTTGGTATTTCCAAGCGATATTGCAGAAGTTGTCTCCGAGTTCCATATTGGAGACTATATTAACCAGTTTGAAAAGTGCTTCAAATAGGTCAAGAATTGTTTGGGAATGATTTCCAGACATTTTCACAGAATTTAAAATACTAACAAACAAATAGTACTGTGTACTATAGTGGTTATGGTACTTGGCACGCTCCATTTAATTGTACATTGTTCAGATTTCCTGCCAATTTCTGTTGCTTCTACAACCACTAGTTAATAGTTCAACCATAGTCATGTCCTGACTTGCTGCTTGGGACTGACCTTCAACACAACCTATCGGTCTTAACACATTCAACACCAATCTGTATTCTCAGTCTCAACGGCGCACAGTACAAGAAATGGGCTTGGTTTCTGGCATTTAGCTTGCAATGAAACAAACAGCAGGTGTAGACATCCAAAAATACATTAACACCCACATTCAGACAGAGAAGTACTATATGTCCTCTATCCTTTATATTTATCTTAAAGTGAACCTGTCATATTGTGTACACTTTGAAAAACCACAAATGTCTCCCAGAACACTTCGCCTCAATGAAGTGGTCTTGGTGCAATGTTCCTGTATATTTAACCCTTCAAGGTAAAACATTGCTGTTTTGTTAAAAAAAAAAAAAAAAAAGGCAATAACCTCAAATCAATATAAACGAGGATTAAACACTTCTAAAAGCGAGTCTTCTGCACTGCATATAACTAGTAAGAGGGGCACATGCTTGAAATCCTAACGCAATAGTGTTTCTATAACAGATCTCACCCCTATAGGCGCTGAATGCAGCATTTGTCATTTAGAGATAAAGAATTCATTCAACTTTCAATTACTAGTTATTATTACTTACCTGCAGTCCATTGCCACCGTGTCGGTACTAAAAGGGTTTAAAAAGTTACAATGTGAGATCAAGGGGGCACCAGGGCACTCATGGCACTATAACCACTGCAGCACACAAGTGGTTACGGTGCTCGGAGCGTTCCTTTAATCAGAGTACAAGGGATACAGGTTTTTTTTAATGTGGTTGAATATCTGACCGCATAAGTGGTAAATATTCTTTGTAATGCAATTTTTATAGTCTGAATAGATGTATATACTCTACTTGTTAGAATTTAATCCTTATAAAAGAAAAAAAGAAATCAATTTTTTTCTGAGCAGCTTCACATCCCATCACCCCAAAGCAAGGCAGGAGCAAAACTGAGCTTAGGGAGGAAGTGACTGGAGAAGGAATCACTGCTGAAAGTGTTGCTTCATGGGTGGGGATTGGCATCCTCCAGTTAGAAGGGTCTGCATCCCATTTGTGATGACTCATGGACTCTCACCATTTTATGAAGGAAACGGCAGTACAGTAACATTCATTTGCATGGCCAAAAACATTGGACAGAAAGACAAAAAAGTCAAAATATGGCAGAATAATAGAAACCAGAGACCAAGGACAGGATGGGACGGGTATATAATGCTCTCAGCACACCAAAAGTTGCCTTCTCAGACCAGGTAAAGGATAGTGAAGATCCTCTACGCTGGTCCACAAGGCCACACTAAGAAAAGCAAAGATTAAGAGTCACAAGTAGGAGACAAAAGGCACAAGACACAAGGGAGCAATAAGAGACACAAATGGGGGTTAAGACACAAACGTTGGCATAAGAGACAATTGGGCAGGTGACAACATACAGTTTTTTTTCCAGCTGCTGAGTAGCCTAACTCGGCCTCTTGTGTTATGTAGTCTGAGAGTATTGAATGATGCTGCTCTAACTGGAGAGGCTGATACAGGACAATCGGGTATCCATAGAATAGTAAGACTGTCTTGACCAATACAGAGGTTTTCTGTGTATCCTTCACACGAGAATCATTGTGGTTTAATTTTAGCTTATTTTTTTTCCCCATTGCATAGCATATAATTCTGTTACTCTAGATTTGTCAATTTATCTTTCAAGCATTATGTCATGTCATGAGTGTCAACCACTGTTTCACTTGCATCTTAATTCATAATTAAAGAAGAACACACAGCCAACACATTAGTTAGATTAATGGGATCCTATCGTGTAAGGCAGTGGTCCCCAACCCAGTCCTCAAGTACCCCTTAACAGTCCAGGATTTAGGGATTACCCAGTTGTGTTTAGAAAAGGAAAAAAAAAAAAAACACTTTAGACACAACAGAGTAATCCCTAAACCTTGGACCTTGAGGACTGGGTTGGGAACCCCTGGTGTCAATATACAAATCTGTATTCCTAGCACTGTACTTTCTTTTGCCCCTATCTCCCCCCAAGCAGTGTAAGGGGGCCCTTAATGCACATGTACAGCCGCAAGCGCATTAGGCCCTCCCCACAGGAAAGGATATTTGCAATGCTTTCCTACAGAGACTTTATGGACGTTGGATGTCCTCATGCAGAGAGTGAGGACGTCCAGCGTTAGTTAGGTGACCAAAAGTTGCCTAGCAAGCAGAAAGTGCCTCTAGTGGCTGTCTGATTGATATACACAACATATTACCGTAAGTCTTACTACCATGGAGCTCTGTGATACATTCATATACATATCACTGAGTTTTACTCTTGTGGAGCTCTGTGACATATACACAGCAAATAACAGTTTTCCTGCCATGTAATGTATATTAGGAAAATTATTTGCATGTGGCGGGTCTATGTTAAACATATTAGTGGCCCCTTAAGTTTGACTTTGGCACCCTGAGTTTCCCCTCACCCCTAATATAAGATTTCTTGAGAAGCCAATGAATTCACACATTTTGAAAGAGCCCAAAATAAAATCTTTTAAAGTAATGAGACATGCCTGTGTGAGTTGCACGTCCTCCCAGTGGTGCAGAACATATTAAGGTCCTGCTGCTGGGAAACCTGGCATGACCAAAAGTCAACAAAGACTGGGAATCAAAGCATCCATGGACAATGACAAATCACCCCACACATTGTGTTTATCTGAAAGTCTCTCAAGGTCATGGGTGCCTGTAGTGTTGTACATTCCTTCTCTCAGTTTAACCCTTGTCCAAAGAGATTAGCAGGAGTAGGAGTTACAGGTAGACATTTGCCCAAGACCCATCAAAGATTCAAACAATGTGCATGCTAGTACTCTGGTGCCCCACGTGGCATGGCTTTTTGCCATTCACAAATTCTCAGTGCTTACATTTCTAACTGGCCAAGGATGGACCTTATAAAATATTTTCTTCTCATATAAATGCCGTAATGCTGATTTTGCTGATATTAAAGAGAAACAATTGTGCCCACATAACTATGGGGTTTATCAAGTATGCCATTTTGGAGGTGTTTTGGTTTTCCAGCCCTGCCATTTTAGCTTTAATTATGCAAATCGGCTCATAACTTCCCTGGTGGTCCTGTGGATTCCCCCGGTGGTCCAGGTCTCTGGTCTGCAGCACCACTGGGTGTGAGCTGCAGACCACGTGGTAAGTCTTGCGATCTCCAGGCAGAGCATTGCCGTGGTAACCCACAGCAACGCTCTGACCGGCTGGAGACACCTCAGTCTGCAGCTCTGCACCCGGCAGAACTGCAGACCGGAGGCAGTGCTCGGCTCTCTGTCAGGGCCGACTGACTTTAGGGATCTCGCACCCGGTGGCATAAAGGGCAAGCTGCCTGGCCCCCTCCTGTGTCGGCCCTCGGTCATAGACTGAAGACCAGACATGAGTCTGCCTTAAGGTGATTTAGGCAGCCGCCTAAATCGCCTGGAGAGCCGCCTCTGCCTTTAGGAGAGAGCAAGAGACAGGTATGGGAGGTAGAGATTACTCATAAGCTTTGCTAAAGATTTGGGTTATAAGGCACTTCTTAAACGATTGAAGACTAGAGGAGAGTCTGATGGTGGTAGGCAGGCTATTCCCTAGGAAAAGAGCTGCCCACGAAAAGTCCTGCAAGCGTGAGTTGGCCGTACGGGTGCGAGCAGCAGACAGGAGAAGGTCACGGGCAGAACGGAGAGACTGAGAAGGGGCATACCTATGGATATGTGTAGAGACATAAGAGGGACTAGAATTGTTCAGTGCTTTATAGGTATGGGTTAGCACTTTGAATTGACTCCTATAGGATACAGGAAGCCAATGTTAGGACTCACAGAAGGGTGAAGTGTGAGAGGAACGACTAGAGAGAAAAATTAGTCTGGCGGCAGCATTCATGACAGACTGTAGCTTTTGGAAAGACCAATTAGGAAAGGGTTACAATTACTAGAGCAATTACTAGAGCTCCTTGGTAGCATCTTGCGTAAGAAAGGGGTGGGGGGCAGAGCCTAGCGTCTGAACGGAATGGCCGCAACACCTCGAAGCTCCTGAACCAGGAGTATAAGCTGACAGCTATCTGACCCCCATCTGTACCATCGAAGGTGAAAAACTACCTACCTCGACACCTTCAGGGGTGAGCAGCATACAGATGCCTTTCATTTTCCCGCAAACTAGCAGGAAAACCCGACGGAGATATGGGGCCTTCCCCGAGTTCCGTGCCGCACGGACCACGCTGGAAATACCTGAACGGACGGAAGTACCCACATACTCACCTTCGTTGCAGTCCACGCAACCCCTGCAAGATACGGACTCCATGGGCAGAAGATCCCAAAAACCACAATCAAGTGCGTGCAAAGACACCCAGGACATAGGCGCCATGTTACAGCGCCCGGCTGCCGCGAAGATGGCAGAATTCAATGATGGCTCAGATGAATCTGAGAGACCCACACCCGACCACATCAAACAGAACCAGCAAGGGGAAACAACCTGACCCCAGCTACCAAATAAGACATCTAAGAGCTACTACTGGAAATGAGGCAGCTGCACGCAGCGGACTTAGAACTGCTCAAGACAGAAATCAAGGCAGTAACAGCATGCACACAGGCCTCTGAGGAGGAAATTTTGGACTTACGACAGGAGGTACAAGGACTCAAAGAATCCATACACCAATTGTAGTCTTCCCAAGCCACACTAACAACAAGGGCAGACCTGGCAGAAGACCGCCACAGACGTGTGAACATCCAGATCCGTGGTATATCCAATTCCGTCGACATGACGGGACTACCCCACTACCTCAGACGACTCACCACCTCCCTCCTGCCGCACACCCAGGCAAAGAGACTCACCTTTGAGGGATTCTTCCGCATTCCAAAACCCAGGCAAGCACCACCAACAGTCTCACATGATGTCAGAATCACCTTCACTCCTGGAGGGGGCAAAAACCAGCAGCATAATTTACCAAACTGTCATGTTCTGTTCTTACATTTTCATAACTTTACATCTGTTAACTCACTGTCCTGAAGCATTGTTTAAGTTAGTTTTTCTTTTTGTTATTTCTCTTCTTTCTTTCATTTAAATGTAATGCATGCACCTGACACGGAACAGCTACCCAGTGTTAATTTACCTAGTCATCACCTACCACTAGGGACCCAACCAGTACACCCCCTAGACCGGTTTCCGCACCCTATAAGGGGCTCCCGCATACACCGGGTCTCCCCGCTAATAATTATGGTGACAACCCCTTCCCCCCCCCCCGTATCCCCACGGTTAGGGGACATCCATCCGACCCGACACATCACACCTGGTCTCCTAGAACCCCCACTGGGCTCATGTTACCTGCAGCACAGTAGCCCCGAGTATAGGCTCCATTAAACGGAATAGTTGCCACCCGACAGCTCCTTCACACCTTACTGACGAGAAAGACGTATTAACTCACACGGCGCACTGTCACATAGACATCTTTATATTAGGGCCCTATCTCTCGCACACCGTACACTCGACATCAAATGGCCCACGCCACTTAAACAAACCTAACGCAACTCAGTTGCACTCATAAGATACAGCATAGGACACGATACACCGGGGCAAAACCACACTGGGCATACTACTATAATATAATGTACTAAGGCAGGGATGGACTTATGTGGATACCACTAACTTGAAGGGAGAGCGAAAGAGGAGGATCAGTATTAGGAGGAAGAAAGACAAAGAGCTCAGTTTTAGAGAGATTGAGTTTCAGAAAGTGGGAGAACATCCAGTCAGAGATGGAAGAAAGGCAAGCAGTGACACGTTGCAGGACGGCAGGGGAGAGGTTCGGGGGGGAGAGAGATATCTAGGTGTCATCAGCGTACAGCTGGTAGTGGAATCCAAATTAGATAATAAGTTTGCCAAGAGAGGCAGTATAAAGAGAAAATAGAAGGGAACCAACGATAGAGCCTTGGGGGGACTCCAACCGAGACAGGACGAGGGGAGGAGGTATCATTATAAAAAGAGACACTGAATGGGCGTTGGGAGAGAGAAGCGGAAAACCAAGAGAGGACAGAGTCACAGAGACTGAATGATTGAAGAGTTTTGCAGTCTTCTGCTTGTGTTCGTTCTCTCAGAGTTCCTTGTTTTCTTCCTGCTCCACTTGATACATCTGTGCAAATGTTACATTACTTGACATTAAGTTAATTGCTACTCCCTATTAATTAATAGGGGCTGTTACCTGCCATTGGCACAATAAACTTTAAAGCTTTATTAGGAATTTGTGCTCCATTCACGCACTAATTGTCAGGGGAGAAGAGGTATTATATCCTTGAAAATAAGAGAAATATATTTAAATTAGAATCTGTTTGAGCATGAAAAGGTGCACTCGTGAGAACTAGTTCCAGATTTCTTAATCTATTGATGACACTCACTAGCAGTCTTTATTCCCTAATTATAGATGATTATATATATATATGTAGAAGACAGAATACAAACACATAGATAAACCACACCGTAATAAACATATAACCTTTTTTCACGTTGATGTTAAGTCTCCAATGTGTTACAATAAGAATTAAAAAAATATAAATAAATGGTGAATGGAGACAGCAAGGCGGTCAGACCGTATTTGTGCCACTGAAGACATAATCGACCTACATACATGTCCGTCTAATCTTAGAGACAATGTTCTACATAAATGTCCGTCTAATCTTAGAGACACTGTCCTACATACAGGTCTGTCTAATCTCAGACACACTATGCATAAACTGCAATCTGCCCAATGCATGTTCGCAATGCAAATGGCTATCATGGAGGAAAGCAATAGGCACACATCACATCAAGACTAGGGGCATCCCTGGCGCCATCACACCAATGGAACTACCATATTATCTTGGGAAACTAATGGCAACTATTCTTTCACCAAATCAAGCTAAAAAGATCAGCTTCGACGTATACCAATTACCAAAGCTTAAACAGGCAGCTACCAATGTGGGACGAGACATCATTGCCAGATTCCCAACCTTCCACGCCAAAGGCCTCATCATGTCCACAAAGCAAAGCAAGATGCCATATATCTTCGAAGAGGCTTCTCTCACTTTCTATTAAGACCTCACTAGATCCATACTGCAATGGCGCAGATCCCTAGTCTCTGTGACAAGGCTATTGCAGGCAGCTGGACTGGATACATATAGGGAGCGACTAGGTCTCTTACAGTTATCAAGGATCGGACAGTCCATAAGCTAGCATTGGCCACAGAGGCCCCCTCCTTTGTCAAGACACTAGGCATGCAGGGCCCTGATACTGGGACAGGTACTCAATCTATAACCCATGGCTGGGATCCCACCACAATGATTCCATTTGCCTGGGTAAGGACCTGACTAGTCTTGCTATCTGAGATGTTGGGAGGTGTAGTTAAGTAAATTGTATTATGTTCTGTTTAGTGCACTAACTCCTGCTTTATCTTGTCCTAATTGCATATGTTTGTTTATTTAGTTTTCAAGGTTAACTTGTGTGGCATTCTTATGAATGCCTGGGCGATAAGGGTGCACTACCATGCAATTTAGTGCACAGACCTGCTTCTCTGCAATTACCAGCGCAGGTGAATTCTCAAGAACCCCTCTCTGCCCCCTTCGGTAAGGAGCACCCATCACGGTTAAACTTGAATACCGTAGCCTTGTTAATAGGTGTAATTGCAGCGTAACCGTATTCTTGGCCTGGTATTATACCACCTATCTTGTACCCATGGCTATCCACACTTGTTTTTTTTATACTTAAATAAAAGAAAAGAAAAAAAGAAAAGAAAGGACCGCTTGCATCGAAATTGCTGTTAACTTATGTTTCCTGTATCTTGTCATATGCAATTGCTGAAAATAAGTAATGTCTATCACCTGCATTAAAATAAAGAATTTAAAATATAAAGATATATAAAATATATACATAGATATGAGCAAAAGTGTCACCCAGGTGTGAAAAAAACTAAAGAATGCTTTCAAAAATATAAATGTTAATAGTTTATTTTATTACTCCACAAAATGCAAAGAGAGTGAACAGAAGAAAATTTTTAATCAAATCCATATATGGAGTGATCATTCTTTGCCTTCAAAACTGTATCAATTTTTACAAGATACACCAGCACAGTTTTGTACAGAACCCAGTAGGTAGGTTATTGCAAACATCTTTGAGAACTGACCGGAGTTCAATGGCTTTAGGCGGCCTCAGTTGCTTCTATCTCCTCAAGTAATCCCAGACACACTCGATACGATCAGGGCTCTGTGGGGGTCATACCATCACTTTCATTGAATGGTACACTGAAGTTCCTTAAAAGGACACTGTAGACACTGATGCTGCTTCATCTAACCAATCTGGTTATAATGTCTGGAGTCCCATGTTGCCATCATTTCATTCAGCATTCAGACAGTTCCTAACAGTCCATCCCCTCTGTGCTTCTTTAGCAAATGAGGAAGTATTATTGAGAGCAGCCGTTGGCAGCTGTGATTGGCTGAGAGTGTCAGCTGACTGCTTTTAGCCTATCAGAACTCCCATTGACGGTATGAATGGGTATGACTACAAGGAAATGTGTAGTCACTGGCTTAGCCACACCTCCAGAAGGGACCAGACTGTGGGTCACCAGGAATCCTTATGTAGTGTTAAACTGCTCAAATAGGGTTTAACTCTGAATGGAGGGAGAGCACCAGGGGACTCCAGGCACTATAATCAATTAGAAAAGATGAAATGGTTATATAGTGGCTGCAGTGTCCCTTTAAGGATTTTGGCTGTGTGTTTAGGGTCATTGTCATGCTGCAGAATAAGATTGGGGCCAAACAACTCCAGATGTCACTGTTTGGTGGATGACTACTTCTCCACATTGAAGAGACCATTAATTCCGAACAAATCCTCAAATCTATTTACAAATATGCAGCCCCAGTCTGACCAGGCTTCTCAATTCAGTAGATAGTAGTACAAGGGTCCAATTGGTTTCTGAGTAACCCGAGCTAATGGCACCCATGCGCATCTTCCGATTGAGTAGGCAAGTGAGCATGATGTGCACCAAGGTTCCTTGGCTGACCACTGCATCTACAGTCCTCAATACTGCCCATTTATTTTAGCTGCTTCTGAAGAGCTTGGACAGCACTTCTGGAAACCCCTGTCTGCTTCGCAATTTCTGCCTGGCAGAGACCCTATTGATACAATATAAGTACCTTGTTGCTGTGCTCAGTCTTGACATTGGCTATGACCTTTGAAAATAAAAGGTCTTCACCAACCTCACATTGTTAGCATATTTTGGCTGTTCGTCACCCGGTTTTATTCCTCTTACACAACTATTTTGGATCACTTGATGACAGTTTCCACTTATATATTTATTTAAAAAAAGGATTTGCACCTCTGTGGAAATTTTTTTAATCATGAACCTGCCCACATGCCAGTAAGATCTCTGAATTTCGGCAAGTGCATCAATATATAATTGATGGGTACTCTGACAACAAAGGGTGGTCACATCAAGTGTCGATTTTAGATTTTTCTTCTGCTCATTCACTTTGCATCTTAATTGGAGAGAATTACATTTTTAGTTGTTAAAAGCATTCTTAAATTACAGTTGAGGCTCAGAACTCAAACGGTCCCTTACCCAAACAATTCGGTAGTCGAACAAAAAAAAAATTGAGAACATTTTTTTTTTCTTGGTACACAAACAAATCATGCCACAAACATTTTCAATTATAAAGCTACTAATTTTAGACACATTTTAAATGCCAGAAGAACAGTTACCTATCCCCATTCAACCAATAATCAGTGGTGTATCCTGGTTTTGTGCTGCCCTAGGCAGGACAAAACTCAGGCGCCCCCCCCCCAGGCCACCCAGACACAAACACACAAAGTCAGACACAAACACTCACATTAACTTTTTTATTAATTTAACCCCGCCACCCCCACCTCCTTACCTTTGGGAGTGCTTGGGGGGTCTCTCCCCTGGTGGTCCAGTGGCTGCCGGTCGGGGTGGGCGGCGCTGGCTGCTGTGCGGGCGGCTGGCGAGGGAGCTCTTCCTGTGAGCGCTCTGCTCAGCTCCCTCGCGCGCCGCAGAGTGAAGCTGGAAGCACCGCAGAAAAATGCCGCCCAAGGCAAATGCCTTGTTTGCCTCGCGGCTAATACGCCCTGCCAATAATATTTCTTCTCCTTTCCACTTAGACCATCAACTCATCATTACAGGTAAAGTGAAGTTACATTTTCTTTTAGTTTACTGTACATTGTTTATTATTTTTTTTCTATATGATTTTATGCATGCAAGGCATTATACTGTAAAACGCTGTAATTTTGTGGGGGTCTGGAAGAGATTAATCAAATTTATTTTAATTGCCTAAAACTTTTGCACAATATATATAGTTTTATTTTCTCTCTCTCTCTCTCTCTCTCTATATATATATATATATATATATATATATATTTTTTTTTTTTTTTAAATAAGCTGAGCATGTATCGTTTGTAGTAGCTGTCACCTCTTAGCTGAAGTTTGTTCGTGTAGACTGCTCTGCATGGGCTGACAGCTTTTACTTGTGTAATTATATTGGAGAATATTTAGAGAAATGAGCTCTTGGAAATTCAATTGGTCTTTACTAAATATCTTACAGTAGTGATGGTGCGCAACAACAAAAATCGTATTCACTGTGGACCTCTTATAGAGAGTGAAAGTAACCCTGTGTACATAAAATAAGGTGTTTACAGAGTGGAAATATTATAAATAATTTAAAACCAAACCGTGGCTGTGGTAAAACAAAGCACAATCTGTAGATATACTTGCAAACTTGGAAATCACTCTGACACCTATTAAGGAGACAAAAACAGAAAGAGAGCTCCTAGTGCAGCGTAGTAATTCACTTATAAATATATAAAATAAAGCAAAATAGAGCAAACAGAGGTGCCCTTTAGGTGTTACACTCACAAGATTGAAGTGGTAAAAGCACCACTCGTTGCTATAGCACTCCGGGAGGATCAGCCCCTAGAGTGCGTGGGATCTGTGGAAAGGAAGCTTGCAATCCGGATCTCAGGTAAGTATACTTTATTAATAATTAAAAAACAGCAAAACGTGTTGTGGAGTTAGTAAGTCCGCTCACAAGCCTCAGGAAACCACAAAGAAAGTTCCATATACTCATGTAATGTAAAAAAATCTTCTGGCTGCTATTGCTGACTGTCTCCAAATCACTTCCTGGTTCCTGGTCCGTAATGCATTTCGCCCCACCCACAGGGCTTTGTCAAACGGCTGATCAGCCGGCGGTGCCTAATGAAATCTAGACAGATATGGCTGCAGGGTTCTTACTAGGATCAACAAATGGTTCCGGGGGGCGGAGCCTGGCAGCCATGCCGAGCGGTTGCACATCATGGGAGCTCGAAGCTAAAAATGAGCATATGTAGCCGAAATTCCAGCTAAAGCTCTACCTCTGGCCAAATTACAAACCCGAAGACAGGGGGCTAATACAGCGGCTACAAACAGCAGGTCTCACGACCGACATCGGCGGCTCCAACCTCGAGAAAGATCTGAGGCCTGCGGGGGCCTGCTCGGAAGGCGGCAGATCCCTTCGCCGACTGTGGCGCGCCTGCCTGGAGGCATCTCAAAAAACTCTCAAGTCCTAGGCGCACACACCACAGAATCCTGTGAACCCGGAACACCGGACTATGTTGGGACCGAGGGCTGAGGGGCACAGCCAATAACGAATTGAACCCTCAGTCGTACCTGGACAGTATCCAGCACCCTATGGGCATCGGCTGAACCTTCATGGGCATCCCACAGGCTTAACAGCTAAACCTCTCCTCGCGACAATTGCTTGGCTCCTGGACTACCCCTACACTGCCTCGCATTATGCAAGTTAACACCAACTGGCATTACTCTATGCTCACTTACGATTGCTGTACAATATTGATATGATATAATGTTACTACACCTTTTTACATACCATGAAAGTCTAGCTGTGAAAGTGACAGTTCATGCACTCGCATCAACTATGCCGCTGGCAGAAACTGGATGATCCTGGGACTGCACCTATATTGCTCAGAGAGTGGCGGCAGCTGCATACCCAAATGACTTTGCATTGCTTTTTATGTTCTCAGCTTCCAGCTAACGGTTTCAAATTATGTTTATTGTGCCCCTATAAATGACACGTCTAGACAAATACTATTCCCAGTGGGGAGTACCCTCGCATTTGCGCTAGTGCGCCTCAGGTTCCAGTGGCCTTAAGCGTTAACTGACTGAATACTAGGGTGGCTGTGGTGCATATAATTTACCAGAGTTTGACCCATAGACAACCCTTATACAAAAATGCGCACCTACCTACCGTATAGATACGCAGTCTCTCTTAACATATTACTATACACAGTCTACTCAAATGTATCTAATGTTTCGCATGTTTCATTTACCATGCCTGTCTCATTAAAATCTAGCTTGACATACTACGAACTTAGCGGGTTAACTCGTACATAGGCAAGCAGTTACTTACCCAGTTTATCAGCATGTCAAATCGTACCAGCCTGTTTAACACTAAACTTGTTTTTATGTTCGGATTATAACAAAAAACGTGCAATGTTTTTCGATGCCATACTAATGTTATTGTATGTCTACATATTTGCTTGTACCAGCCGCTGTGGCAGTGCAAATCTGATTATTCACAAATAAAAAAAAAAAAGGGATGCATAAACAGACTTTTTACATAGAATACGGTACTAGCACCTAGGAAGTTATGATTCTAACATGAGAGTTTCAGCTACCATCAAACATAGCGCATTACCTCTATAAAAGCATAACCCTATACTTTATTGCATTGTCTGATTTTGTCTGAGCATGCGATTAAGTTTTCAGTATAAGGAACCGTTTATGTATTTGAGCTAGCATTATTTTCCTATTGTTCGCTTACGATATGTCAAAAAGTGAACGGCTAATTACCACAGTGTGACAGCCTTTAGATTCATCCGTGCGTCTATATATTTAAACTAACAAATTATATAAAATGCATACGGGCTCTCCCAATAAGGAGAGGTGTCATGTTTAACTCAATCAAAGCGCACTTAATACATAAATATGAGTCACTTCACTGGAGGGGGCGATATAACGCCCGGCTCGAAGAATCCACCCAGCACGAAATTCTCAACCTCCTAGACCCTCCCTCAGGTATATCTTTGCCATGTGTTTATACAGGGTAGGTGTGCGCTTGGTGGGCCAGTTGTTCCCCTTCTAGTCCCCCAGGCATCCCCAGTCACGGTAGGCCCCCTTCCTTTCCCCCCCAATGCTTGCATCCGTGCCCGCGGTTAGGTCCACCGCGCTGTGGGCACTCAGAGACTGCAACTGTCCAGCTCCCCCCCGTAGCGTCCGCCAGGGCTCCAGACTCCTGCACCTCCCCAGTTCCAGCAGGCCTCCCTGGAGCTCCAACCCCGCCCTGCCTCACGCGCTTCCGGTCTCGTTCATGGCGCCGGCGCGCGTCTCCACAGCCACCAAGGGGCCAGCGTGCCCCAGCTCCACAGGGCTCACAGATGTAGGGGCATTTCTCCGGACCACCGCCAAATCCGAAGATCAGGGCCGGCTCCGCGCTGGCCGGTTTGCTGCCCGGGGGAGTCCAGTTGTGGGGTCCGCCATCCTGGGGGCCCGGGCATCCCAGCCTGGGTTTCTATCGTGTGTGCGTGTGGCGCTCCCCCTGTTGCTGTGTAGGCGTGGAGTGTGTCTGCCATTTTGGCTCCGTGAGGGAAGATACCACTCACCGGATGGGCCCCCATCTCCAGCCTCCGAAGCTCGGACTCTTGGGCCGGGATCACGCAGGGGAGACCCCCAGCATGTCCCCTGCGTGCTGCAATCCCCGCTCATGCGGCGTGCCACAGGCCTCAGGGGCTTTCTCTGCTCCGTTTGCGTTGCCCGCTTAGATCATGCCGCAGCACTTCACTCCCGGGTTCTTCACCTCCCGACTGTCTTTTCGTCTGTGTTTAGAGGGTTTTTAGGTCAGATTACGGGTATTTTATACAGCTTATAGCCGGAGACGGCGAGGATGGCTGCTGCTCTGCGGCCCGGCCCCGCCCCTCTGTATGCAATATTTGTGTTAGATTGCAGGAGTGGACATTAACACACAGATGCATATATTTACACACCGACACATACACACAAATTCATATAAACACCGTGACACAGATACACACTGACCTAAAAACACAAACTGGCACACACAGAGAGAAGCACACTGAGATGAGATATATATATATATATACACACACACACACACACAGATGCTTTCACTGACATACATACATATACACTGAACAAAATTATAAACGCAACACTTGTTTTTGCCCCCATTTTTCATGAGCTGAACTCAAAGATCTAAGACTTTTTCTATGTACACAAAAGTCAAATTTCTCTCAAATATTGTTCACAAATCTGTCTACATCCGTGTTAGTGAGCACTTCCGAGATAATCGATGCACCTCACAGATGTAGCATATCAAGATGCTGATGAGACAGCATGATTATTGCACAGGTGTGCCTTAGGCTGGCCACAATAAAAGGCCACTCTAAAATGTGCAGTTTTATCACACAGCACAATGCCACAGATGTCGCAAGTTTTGTTTTGAGCATGCAATTGGCATGCTGACTGCAAGAATGTCCACCAGAGCGGTTGCCCGTGAATTGAATGTTTATTTCTCTACCATAAGCCGTCTCAAAAGGCATTTCATAGGATTTGTCAGTACATCCAATCGGCCTCACAACCGCAGACCACGTATAACCACACTAGCCCAGAACCTCCACATCAGCATCTTCACCTCCAAAATCGCCTTAGACCAGCCACCCGGACAGCTGCTGCAACAATCAGTTTGCATAACCAAAGGATTTCTGCACAAACTGTCAGAAACCATCTCAGGGAAGCTCATCGGGGTCTCGACCTGACTGCAGTTTGTCGTCATAACCGACTTGAGAGGGCAAATGCTCACATTCTATGGCATCTGGCACTTTGAAGACGTGTTCTCTTCATGGATGAATCCCGGTTTTCACTGTACAGGGCAGATGGCAGACAGCATGTATGGCCTTGTGTGGGTGTGCGGTTTGCTGATGTCAATGTTGTGGATCGAGTGGCCTATGGTGGCGGTGGGGTTATGGTATGGTAGGGGCAGGCGTATGTTATGGACAACGAACACAGGTGCATTTTATTGATGGCATTTTGAATGCACAGAGATACCGTGACTAGTGATGTCACGAACCCAAAATTTTCGGTTCGCGAACGCGAACTTCCACAAATGTTCGCGAACCGGGCGAACCGCCATAGACTTCAATGGGCAGGCGAATTTTAAAACACACAGGGACTCTTTCTGGCCACAATAGTGATGGAAAAGTTGTTTCAAGGAGACTAACACCTGGACTGTGGCATGCCGGAGGGGGATCCATGGCAAAACTCCCATGGAAAATTTACACAGTTGATGCAGAGTCTGGTCTTAATCCATAAAAGGGCATAAATCACCTAACATTCCTAAATCACAATGGATATGAATTGACACCTGACATATGACATATTGACACCATGACATATGGATTCACACCTGTCCTCGGAGACCCTGATACACACTGACACAGAGCAGAGTAGAGACTGTTCCTCCTACATAGGGTCACTTGGCAGATATGGATTGACACCTGTACTCAGAGCCCCTGATACACACTGACACAGAGCAGAATAGAGACTGTTCCCCCTACATAGGGTCACTTGGCAGATATGGATTGACACCTGTCCTCAGAGATCAGATACACACTGACAGAGCAGAATAGAGACTGTTCCTCCTACATAGGGTCACTTGGCAGATATGGATTGACACCTGTCCTCAGAGATCATGATACACACTGACACAGAGCAGAGTAGAGACTGTTCCTCCTACATAGGGTCACTTGGCAGATATGGATTGACACCTGTCCTCAGAGCCCCTGATACACACTGACAGAGCAGAATAGAGACTGTTTCTCCTACATAGGGTCACTTGGCAGATATGGATTGACACCTGTCCTCAGAGCCCCTGATACACACTGACACAGAGCAGAATAGAGACTGTTCCTCCTACATAGGGTCACTTGGCAGATATGGATTGACACCTGTCCTCAGAGCCCCTGATACACACTGACACAAAGCAGAATAGAGACTGTTCCTCCTACATAGGGTCACTTGGCAGATATGGATTGACACCTGTCCTCAGAGCCCCTGATACACACTGACACAGAGCAGAATAGGGAATATTCACTAAATGCCAAACATTGTTATACAGGGGAATATTCAGTAAATAAGGATAAGGGGGGACCTACGGTCCTCCCTCCCAGCCCCCACCCCTGCACGGTGGGTGGGGGGCCATAAATCTCAATGGGGGGGACCTACTGTCCTCCTGCCCCCACCAAGCCAGCAATCCCCCTTTACCTGCCTAGCAGGGAGGGGTTGATTCCCACTGCTACAGCTGATTATTTGCAGCTGAGCAGTGGGTTGAAGACAGATCAAAAAACTCTGGCCTGGAACTTATTTCTCCCAGTTGTATGCAAACTGTGGAGTGGAGCATTGGCCCACCCTGCTCTCCAAATGCTCCATCCCAGGGGCCCATAACTAAACTTTGGTTTGTGTTGCCTACAACACATACTACACGTACTCCCCCTGTGGTTAAATGTTATAGGAGTACCTGACTTCACTTTATCACAACACACAATTTTTATTTATTTTTTTAAATATCCCCAGCCACCCTTCTGTTAGCTTACCTTATGTGCTAGGAGGGTGGCTTGGAGTCCTGCTGCTGCAGGAATAAGGGGTCTGGAGTTCTTCATGCTCCTCTCCCTCCTTTGCGGTCTCCCAGCCGGCCGACATTACAGGGGCCAGATCGCGTTCTTAAAGGACCATGGCACCCGACCGGGTCCTTGTTGAGCAATAATGCTTCCCCCGGTGCTATAATCATAATACCATGGAAATATTCTGCGGCACCCCTGTGTGCAGGTCGCGGCACTCTGGCACACAGTTTGGTCAAACAAGTTTATAGTATAGAGCAGCGGTTCCCAGAGTCTTCATCAACATTTTGTTCCTGTAACATTTTGTATTTGTCTCACTTATTGTTAAATTTCTTCCTTTTATAATATAGTAAAGCACTGCAGAATGTGTTTGCATCATATAAATGCCAATAATAAGTTGTTGCCATGGCTGAGTTTCCTCATTTTCTTCTACGCAAGTTAAAGCAGCATTGAAATTGCAGGGGCAACTTTGTCTGTGTATTTTCTATGCTTGACCCGGACACCGGGCGGTGCTAGCGCTGACTAGAAATGTTAGTCCCCAAGCCGTCATCATTGACAACTGTCTGACTTGGCTCTAACTATGGAAGATCCTGCGGACTCCTCAATAGACATTAATGCTATACTCTTGCACATGCACCAAAGAGAACCAGCAGGGAGAAGATGGGCATCTGTGAGGGTAAACAAAACTCTTCTTTCCCTACGGCGATGTCACTGTTGGAGTTCTTTACAAATTATGAAAAAGGCCACAGGCAGCGGCAGTGCTGCTTTAAATATAATTAGACTGAGGAATAATGGCACTTGTATTTTATTTGCTAAATTAATGTTTGCGCTGACAATAACACCATAGGGACAGTGTTCAGCAAAAAGAAACCCTGCTCCATGCAGCTAGATAGTGAAAGTGAGACTAACCCTTACAGAATGCATTGCGCAGGAAGCACCTTAATATTTGTGGTTTTTCCACATATTCTGCAAAGCAAAAAAAAAAAAAAATTAAAAAGGAAAAAGCTAAATTAAAAAGTAAACATTTTAGCTACCGTATTTATCGGCGTATAACACACTTTTTCTCCCTGAAAATATGGGAGAAATTGTGGGTGCGTGTTATACGCCGGCCCTTTAAATACTGCAGCTGCCTGAGCGCTCTGTTAAGTAGTTTCTGTTTCCTGTACCCGGTCGGACTGACAGGAAGGTGCACACTGAGCGTGCACCTTCCTATCACTCCGGCCGGCCACGGCGGACGGCAGAGCGGCTCGGCCACGCTACAGGAGAGGGGGGTAAGAAGAGGGGAGGGGGGGAGTAAGAAGGGGGGGGGGGAATAGAGAGGGAGGGAGGGTAATAAAGGGGAGAGAGAGGTAAGAAGAGGAGGGGGAGTAAGAAAGGGGGGTAAGAAGAGGGGGAGTAAGAAGGGGGTAAGAGGGGGAAGGGGAAAAAGTTCTTTATTTGAAATTTAAAGGACCACTCTAGGCACCCAGACCACTTCAGCTTTATGAAGTGGTCTGGGTGCCAGGTCCCTCTAGGATTAACCTTTTTTTTTTATAAACATAGCAGTTTCAGAGAAACTGCTATGTTTATACTGAGGGTTAATCCAGCCTCCAGAGCCTCTAGTGGCTGTCTCATTGACAGCCGCTAGAGGCGCTTGCGTGCTTCTCACTGTGAAAATCACAGTGAGAGCACGCAAGCGTCCATAGGAAAGCATTGTAAATGCTTTCCTATGCGACCGGCTGAATGCTCCTGCGATGACGTCGCGAGCAAGGAGGAGAGGAGGAGTACAGCTCCCCGCCGGCGCTGGAGAAAGGTAAGTGTTTAACCCCTTCCTCTCTCCAGAGCCCGGCGGGAGGGGGTCCCTGAGGGTGGGGGCACCCTCAGGGCACTATAGTGCCAGGAAAACGAGTATGTTTTCCTGGCACTATAGTGGTCCTTTAAGTTTTTTCCCCCTGAAATTTCCCTCTTAAAATGAGGTGCGTGTTATACGCCGATAAATACGGTATATATTTTCAAGGAATATGGCTAACAAATACACAGATAAAAGTGTAGTCGTGGTGCAGGATTTAACAGTTAATTGCATGGAAATTAAAATCTGCACATCTCCATACAAGACGAAGTTAGTGGCACTTACTTGTTGATCTCTCCCCTCTATAAATCTGACAGCCAGTGTGGAAGTCACGCAGAACGTTAAGTACTTGCACCATGCCCAGTAAATGCTGGTGGTCGAAAAGCAGATTTCTACAATCTCTGCAAAGCTCCAAACTGTCAGTTAAATAGCAAAACCCTTGTTTTAATTCCACTTGACAACCGCAGATGATATCTGTGCAAACACTTTTACATTAAGCTGATAATTCCAGTGACGATCATGTTATCCTTCTCAAAGCTGAATTTGCACTTACTGTTGGAGAGTGCAAATTTTGAGACCTGTTTTTTACTACATATGGTTTCAATTTAGTTATGATACATTTTACCATAGCATCTGTTGTCATGGAGCAAGTTCTGGAGAATACTGTAATCCATGTTACCTCCCTGCTGGGTTATAATCTGTATAGCATTTTCTTGCGCTTCGTGCTCTGTGACAGGTATTTGGCCCAATAAAGCCAGGAGTGGGGGACACCAGACTACACTTAATACTAAAAGACAGCTAGACATATATAATACTGCAATATAGACCAAAAACAAACCACATACTGCAAGAACACAACTATTCTCCTCTCTAAACTTTTACTGTAAATCTCTGACTATTGATAAATGGTCATTTTTTTTCCAGATTGGCCAATATCAGCCATTCAGATTTCAGTTCAGTAAATTCAATGTTACATTAATAAATCAGTTTTTTTTTTTGTGGTGTGTCACCAGCCAACACACAACAAAACAACTCAGTGTTGTCTTCCATACAATAAGTATTTCTGCAGCTTATACACGTAACAATTTGGTTGAATTGACCTTATTTATATTCAGCAGGGTAGAAATTCGGCGCAGTCTACTATAAAAGCACTGCATAGCCTAACAGTAGAAATATTAAATGGACACTCCACTGCCCAAATAAAAAAAAATAGAAATCAGTTTGCAGACATTACCACAATGAAAACAAGCATTATGCTTATTTTCTCCCCCATTGGTAATGTAACTAAAACCAGCTTGTAAAAGCTGCAGTTCTCACCCTTTTAACCCCGGCCCAGAATGTCTGTGACTGTCCAATCACAGACTTCCCAGTGCCTCAAAATGAGACGTCTTTGCAAGGCAGGTTCTCTGGGCAATTGAGAGTATCTCCACTGAGCTAACCAAACCAGGAAGTAACAGGAGCTGTTGTCTGATTGACAGCCAGGGGGATATAATAAGGTTCACTTATAAAGGTTTGAATATCTATTGAAATCTGCACTTCCCATCCCCCACCCCTTTTTTTTTTTTTTTAACAAAAAGAACACATTCTTCACATGTAAAGCACTTCAATAATCAGTATTTGAGGGGTCTGGATGGTCCGTGAGAGTGCTTGAATAGCATGCTGCACCGTAACTAACTGTGCATAGTACAGACAGTATTTATAACATTTTTATACACCCATCTCACTTGAAAGCTCCTGCAAAGAAATAGACATTAATAGGATGTGCTGTATCATGTATAAATCAATACCCTGCTTTAAAACGGCATTTTCACAAATATTTAAATAAGCACAAACAACGCACTTTGTTTTTTTTTTTCTTAAATCTTTTATTTCCCATATGATGCGCAAATTTAACAGTCTTTGTAAAAAGGGTATTAAAGCAAAACTGTCACGTAGGAGGAATTTGCATTTTATGGACACATTTATACCATGTAGGGAGGTGAGGTAGATTTACTAAACTCTGCCTTCTTGGCAATGCAGTGTCCATCAATGCTCCTGGAAGATTTAATCAAAGGAAACCAACAATCAAATAGAAATTGAGATAAACTTAAGGGGAAACTGTAGGCACCCAGTCTACTTCAACTCATTAAACTGATCTGGGTGCAATGCCCCATGTCACTTAAACCTACAGTGGTAATTATTGCGGTTTCTTGGAATGTCCCATAAGGTATAATCTTTACTTGAGTATGAACAAAACTGACATTTTGCCAACTATGCTGAAAACATTACAGATCAGTTCAAATAAGTGAATCCAATCTGCATTGTTCAAGTGGGACCTACAAATTCTAATAAGGTGCTGTATAGTTCAAGCTAAGCTATGCCTCTATACGTTTTTACTAATAATTGGTTAAACTGCCTTTTAATGCATGAAGCAGACAATTTTGACAACTTGAATTCAAACACAAGTTTGGCACATATTCAAACGCTGTTAGAGGATCCAACAATTTGATTTGAATGTGTTTTCACAAATAGATAGATCTACCTCGAAATTAAAATCCTGAGCATACGACACATATGATGCATTAATTTAATATTCTTGATATTTTCAGCTTTTTTGTGATAGAGCAAATAAGACAGTTTAAAATTTGTTTTCAATTTTGAAATCACCATAAAGCAATTAAAGTGACTGTCACATTCCAGGTTTTGCATTTAAATTACTCTCTTAAATTCACCTTCGTTTTTAATTATACATAAGAAAATGTAAGGACTGATCTTTTGCAAAGTTTGACAATGTGCGGAGTTTCATGCAGTTGGTCAGCTGATTTACCCACAATCCATCAGCAAAAAGAATCCCACAAGAGGGCAAACTGCAGACATGATATAGGAGAACAAAATGGAGACACCCAGGTAAGATCTGGGCAAGGAATAAAAGATAATACATGAAAATAAAGGCATGTGACAAAGAGGTGAATATAATCATTATAATGAAAAGGGGCACACTGAAGGAAAACTAAAAAGGAAAAAGTAGAAAAAAAAAAAAGCTGCTTAACCCCTTAAGAACACATGACGGAAATATTCCGTCATGATTCCCTTATATTCAAGAACTTGTGTCCTTAAGGGGTTGAGAAAGGCAAACTTCCTGCTTCACAAAAAATAATCTGAAAAAAATATCTGCTCTAAAACAAATTAAAAGGCATATTATTAATTCAAAAACAGAAATTGTTAATCCGAGAAAGTGGATAGGATTGCCTGTGCATGATAATTTGCCCTCATTCTAAAATCCCTCAAGAGAACTGAATGCAAAACATGTTCTAGAAAATAAAATTATACGACAGTCACAAGACACAAGCAGATAATGATCTACAGCTAATTTCCTATTAAATGAAAAGAAAAGGCTGGTTTAATTAAAATAACCTTTTTTCCCCAACATCATTCTTTACACCGATTTCCAGTAGTAGAATAAACAGCTTCAATAAGACAGACAAAATGGGCAAAATTGGTTGAAAAATGTATTTTCTTACCAAGACCAACATTGAGTGAACATGTTTAAAACAGAGATGCACGCAGATCAATAAAATAATGAGACGTATATGGTATTTTCGTTTTTTTCTTAAGCAGGGTCATAATTTAATTGCTGGTCAGGTCAAATCAGATTACATTTCATACATTTTTGCCATTCAATAGTTTTACCAAAATACTTGGTGGGAACAGTAGGCTTGAAATGAACATATAAACTCTAAAAATAAAATCGAGGAACAAAAAACAAAAATACAAAAAAACCTGGTTTGATTTTATTTTAAAAATTCGGAAAGCAGGTATGAAGAAAACAAAACAAAACGGGGAGGGTGGAGGTCAGAACTTACATGAGGTCTTGAAACAGCCATGTTTTAATATAATACTTTGTGATCAACTCAGACATCCATACTTGCGCACACATACAAGATGTATATCAATAAGGACATATATTATGTGAATAACATTGTTATGAACAGAAAAAGCAGGAGTAAATAATTTACATGGTAGGCAACTTTAATGTTGTAGTGCACTTATATATAGATATAAAAAAAGGGGGGGAAAAAAAAAAAAAAGTCCAACTCTCCTCCGTTCCCAGCAGCTTGTTCAGTTTCATTTGTAATATAAATCAGGAGATGCAGTAATTATTGCCTAAATAATTCTATACATTAAACCAGTGTTCTCGGAAAACACTTTCAATTGCTACGTAATTTACAATTTTTTTTTTTCCTTCTACTTTACAACTTTAACTCATTGGCAATTTTGGAAGCAATGTTTTTAAAAGCTATGGATGTTCCAGATATCCTCTTAAAGCGAACACCGTTTAGAGAGAGTCTTGGCAGTTTGCACACCTCCATCTCCCATTGAACAAGGTTTTCTGCGTGCCCATCACCGTGAACGCAGAAAAGTAAGAAACGCTCTCGCTGTTCATAGTCACAATTGTTGGCGTCCAGAACTTTACGGATTTCGCGCATCATGTCATTGGGATCCATGGAACTTGTGGTTTTCATGCTCCAAGTAAAACGCAGAGATCGCGGCTTGGATTCCTTGTTTTCATCTTTCGAGTCCCCTGACACATTACGACTAAAAGAAAAGAGAATTTACTCTGTCATTTCAACTTGGTTTTTAAAATCCCAAACACGCAGTGAATCAACGTAATCTAAATTTTCTGTACTAGAGGACCGATAAGCCCCCCAATCTAATATTTGAACATCCAAATCATTATTTAACGGCTGATTATTTGAAATGTTTTAGAGTAGCAATGTGGAAACGGCCAGTTGATATGATTTATTGTGGGGAAGAATTTTTATTTTTGTAAGGTAAAAGGAGATGAGATACATATAGGATGTATTCCCTAAACAGAGCTGTTGGTGACTTGCCACAAGGGCAAGATTTAGGACAAAGTTCAGAGTAACATCCAGCTCTTCAGATTTAGATATTCTATTCCTAAATATGGTAACTGTGCAACAAAATTGCAAAATAGTGATGAACAAACCAAAACGTTCTCAAAGTGGACTGGAAACATTTTGAATTAACCACATCTCAATTGTTCAGATTAATCAATTCACGCAAAAAATCCCTGGTGGGCAAGAAACAGAAAATTTGAAAATTGTGTGTTTTTTTGTTTTGTTTTTTAAATTTAAATACAACCAATAGATTCACTTAACCTTGAAAAGGATCAATGAAAAAACAGAATAAAGGGGAACTAAGTGTAATGTGCTGGTATCATCCATTGCATACTACAATCCCAGGTTCCACAGCACCAACTACCTTAAAATACTACAAGGATTTAGAAATTTAAGGCAGATAACGCAGTGGCCCAGTGTGTCTGCAATCATTTCAATACACATTGCTACAGGAAAACATTACGAAAAACCAATACAAAAAGATGTGTTGCATGCGGACATTCATAAAATTACTGCTGATCTGCCGGTTTAGAATACAACGAATGCAAAGTCAAACAGGAAAATACATATCAAAGTACTGTCAACGTGGAGCATGCAAAATGGGCCAATGGAAAGAATGGAGACTGGGTGCTTTACTCGGGAAAATAAATGTAATCACCCTCACCTTGAGCCCTCATATCTCCCGTTTCTTTCAGATTCATTTGGGAGCCTCATTGAAAAGAACACAAAAGCAGAAAGCAAGCAAAAAAAAAAAAAAAGAGAAGAGATCTTACACTGATGCACACTACTCCAAGCAACAAGACAACAGATTAATGTGTTTAACATTAGGGTTAGACTTGTATTAGAATTCATTAACTGACCCAGGGTGCCAGAGGAATGGAATCCCACAACACCAGTAACCCTGACAAATCTTGGAAATATATATATATATATATATATATATTTTTTTTTTTTTTTTTTTTTTTTCAGATATTATGAGAGATGTATGCCAACACAAATACTAGTGTTTCACGACACACATTTAATGTAAATAAATGAGTGGATTTGACTGCTTATTTTCACTGGTAAGTGCAGTAATGCTGGTACTTGCATATCAGGTAATTGTACCTAGAACGGTGGAACAATCCCATGTATAGCTTTCCTATGTAAAGCAAGACTCTATAATCACCTCATTCTAAAGGTACTAGGATACTACTTGCGCTTGCATACTCTTTAACTATTTACCAAACAGAACGGGGCTTTAAATCGGGGTTTGCAGCTGCGCCCAGAAGCCCTAGCAATCAGAACAATGGAAATTACATTGAGTTACTACATCCATGCAGACAAGATGTTGCTCACCAGGAGCTTTAAAACCAATGCTTCATCAGTTTGATAAATAGTTTAAAATAAAGCAGTCTGTATCCTAGCACCAGATCACCCTTTAACAAACTGAAGTGGTTATGGTGTCTAAAGTATCCCTTTAAAGATGGGGCTGTTGTGGAGCCCAGACAAAGGACTGTCAGACTTGAAATCTCTGGTGTTAAAACAGTTTCCAAGTATGAGAAGAGAAGAAATGTTATGGCAGTGGTTTAAGCCCAATTCTCCATGTTTTGTGTTAGCATACAATATTAAGTAAAATGAAGACATCACACTCATGAACATTCCCAAGAATTACATTTTATCTACAAAACAAGATGTCCAAAGGTAGATGAGAGAGGTTGCTGAATGACAACTGCTATGGTACCTTGACAGCCTTCATAATGTAAAGGCATCACAGAATTCATCATACTAGATACAACGTTTCTACCAAGTACTAAAGGGTAAAATGTTAAATAAGAGCAGATTAACAAATATAAACAAGCACAACCTCAATTGCCAACTACAGACAAAATGACAGGTCTCTTCATCCTGTGTAGCTTGCTAAAAAAAGACCCATGCCACCCTAATTTAATAGTCTTGTCAGAGGTTTTGGTTGTTGAAGACAGACATACCTTTGACATTTCAAGATTTTGTGAAAGAAAGAGTCTAACAAATGCATAATTGACAGGGGGTATTTAAAATAATCAGTTTTTATATTATGTCTGTATGACAATAGCACACAAACTTCAAGTGGAAATTCAAACACGCCTCCGATTTGTAGGGTGGATGCACACAGCCCTCTGTAGATCAGATAAATTCATTGTTTAGGCATCACATTTACATCAGAAGCAAGAAATACAATTTCTGGCTTACGGAAAATGGACCAGATCATCCACATGTGTGAGAGAAGGGTCCATATATTGATTTTCTGTTACAGAACATTATGTCTTGCATACTGTTGCAGCTAAAGGAAAACATTTAAAGGATCCATCTCACCCCAAGTTTGAAAAATGTAGAACACTGAATCTGCGACTGGCAGAAGATCGTTAATGAGGGAAAGATTACCAACATGCAACAGTAATTTAAAGTTGAACTGGGCATTGCTATATGTAACCGGGCAATTTATGGCAAAGTAAGGAAGAATTTGAACGCCACATTAACAGCTGTGGAAAGAACTCTTGCATACCCTCCTAAAGATATTGTATTTAAATGTCACTTATATGGTTCAATAGAATTCCTAGTAGATCCAAGTCCATTAAGTAACCCAAAAGGAGAATAGAAAAATTTGAAGCAATTTATATATATATAAAAAAAAAAGTAAATGTTATTAGAAAAAGTAGTTCAGAAAAGCGCTACATCATATCAAATAATCCTGATATGGTCGATACTTCCCTGTAGAATGTTTAATACAAGCTCAACATGGAGAGACAGTGTTATTTTATGTTGGTTTTGTGCACATCTGAATAAAACCAATCAATATATCCAACTTGCTACCAATTTAACCTTGTAATGAATTTCACTAAAACAAAAATTGTAGCAAGCTCTAAACTGAATCAGTGGTTCCCAGCCAGAGGTACACACAGAATGTAGGGCTCAGTACAGGGTGTGTGTGAGCAGCGAGTGAATGGACAACCCTACTCTAATCTTCCTGGCAGTGGGCCAGTAGGGACCTTATTGTAATGCAATTTATAGGTCCAATGTACAGTTCTCCACATACCAAAAGGATTTTAAGACAGCTTAAAGAAATTAAAATCTGTCAATTTTTCCTTTCATGGAATCATATTGACTGAGCAAGAAGGTGGGGGAGAGAGGGGGGATAGACAGAATGTTTATTATATTAAGAGAGACGGAAGAGAGGATACGGTTAAACAACAGAGAAAGACTAAATAAAATAGAGAGTCAAGGTGAATGAGCGGAAGAATAAATAAATAAATAAAAAAATTTAAAAAATCAACTGGCTCTGTTTGCAGAGGAGCTGAGACAAGGGTACACATACATCAGATGAGCGGACAGTGTAAAATAAAGGAGTGAGAAATTATCTTTTCTGTGGGGCAGAGAATAGGAGGGGACTATAATAAGAACATGGGTTAATATGAAAAACTGCTATAGGGGTGGCTGGAAAAAAACTAATCTATAAAATCTTATAAAAGATATATCTCCTTAAATAAAGACATAAAAAAAAAAAAAAAAGTATATATACACACATATATATCTATATCTATATCTCTCTCTATCTATATCTATCTCTCTCTCTATCTATATCTATCTCTCTCTCTACATATCTATATCTATATCTCTCTCTACATATCTATATCTATCTCTCTCTCTACATATCTATATCTATCTCTCTCTCTACATATCTATATCTATATCTATCTCTCTCTCTATATATCTATATCTATATCTATATCTATCTCTCTCTATATATCTATATCTATATCTATATCTATCTCTCTCTATATATCTATATCTATCTCTCTCTATATATCTATATCTATATCTCTCTCTATATATCTATATCTATCTCTCTCTATATATATCTATATCTATCTCTCTCTATATCTATCTCTCTCTATATATATCTATATCTATCTCTCTCTATATATATCTATATCTATATATATCTCTTTCCTAAGATCTAATTTACAGAAAATAGATATTTTGCCCCCCCGCCCCCCCCCCCCACTATAAACTTCTAGCAACTTAATAGAAAATATTTGAATAACAATTTAAGATTGAGATCACTCCCCAATATTAATCAATTAAAAAAGGTTTTACGAAAAGGGAAGAAGGGAAAAGACAGTATAGTTACTTTGAATAGAATAAAGATCTTAATTGGCTTGTTTGGATACACTGGATTTATATATAGAGAAATGTAATATATCAGCTCTATTGCTCTTGAGATTTCACCCCCCCTTTTTTTTTTTTTAAAAGGACGATGTGTTTTAAGATCTGACTATACCGGTTCTAAAATTTTAATTGTAAAATCATTTTAGGCCTTTTACCTTGTCTGTATGTTTGAGAACGTAACAAAAGATTTAACCAAACGATGTTATAACAGTATTAATCATTTTCAGAGGTAAGACAATGCTATCAATTCAACACAATTTGCAACAAAATGTACCCCCAACAGAAAACCAGAAATACCCCAAATCACAGAAAACACACTCAGACTTACCTGTTGACAATCTAAAAATCTTATGTTCATTTTATGCACCACAAATCTTCTGTCAATAACATGCCAAGTGTATATTAGTAAAATGAAAAATGAAATTTTATGGTGTGTATTACTTTTGGATGCAAAGTATACAGGACATGCTTAGGCGAGTAAAAAAAAGGAGTCATCATTTACTGAATAGTAGTGCAGAATATTATTTGTTTTCCCTCTGAAATATATGTATTTAGTTTTCAGCAGAAAGTTTAGTATTCAGGAAAATCAAAACCAGAAAGACAAGTTTAAAAGTAAAAAATAAAATGCATATGCAGATTTAATCCTACCTTTTTATAAATCTGAATGACATGTTTCTAAAAACAAAACAAAAAAATGGACATTTTTCAATATGTTTGCAAATTTGGAATTCTCAGGATTTAATAATAATAAAAAAAAAAATTTATAATTCAAGTTTAACAGAAAACCCAGAAATCCCCCTGTACAAATCACTGGATTAAATTCAGACAGCAACCAACACAAAACACAGAAAAGCAGGTCTATAGCAGGCATGCAATAAGCAAACAGTTAAAGGAGGAGGTTATATAAAAAAAAAAAAATAATAAAAAAAAAATAAATAAAAACAACATTTTTCTGATAGAAATGCTTATTTCGCATCTGATGCATAAATGATAAAATCTAACTCACTGAGAGCCAGTTAAAATAAAACACACAGGTATTGCTCCATAAATAGAGCCAGTTTTAAACTGTAGATGGGGCCAGAAGATGTGAAATAAGCAAATAGCAAACAAAACAGCAAAATAGCATTACAAACGGAGGGTATAAATTAAGGCAATTTAAAGTCTATAGGTATACTGAAATAAATAAAAATGCACACGATACATTTATTTCAGCACAGTATTACATTTTTCTATTTGCTTAGTTGGGAGCAGAGAAGAAAAAAAAAAAAAAACACGCATGGGGTTCCCTCCCCATTCTCCCTGTAAGTAGTCATATACTGTTTGCCAACAAACTTTACTTATTACCGGAGGTCTGAGGAGTGCTCTTCCAGCGTCTCTGTAGCCAGATGCTCTATTCACTGAGCTAAGCTTGATCATTGGCTAAGAGTGATCAGCTGATCCCCACAGAACATGCGCTGGTGCTAAACTAAACTGCTTTTGCTCAGGAGAGCCATTGGACGCTCTTAGCAGTCAGCAGACAAGATAAGAAGTCAAACTGTGCTGTAGTGGATGTGGTGCTTGGAGTGTTAATTTAAGTGTTAATTAAAAATGTTTAATACTTTTCTGGGATGATCTACTTCCCAAGTGAAGAAGAGGTAAAAAGAAATATAAAATTAAAACTATATTATTACATATGAAATGAGGAAGAAAAAAATCCCCAAAAAACAAAAACACATTTTCACAGAATACATTTGTTTTCATTAAAGGACATTTCCACTCTGGAATGAATTCACTGCTAATACGAATATGAATAAATAAAATACACTCAATTTTGTTTCCTATACTTATGATAAAATCCCATTAAATGCATCTCCTGTGATGAGCTGTACTAATTCCGGAGCATCCTACGGGAGGGCCGAGCATATCCTACTAGATATGAGAGGTGTGGATCAGCGCTCGTTCATGTAATTACATTAAGGAAACTGCTAAGCAAGGTAACAGTTTTGCCTTACTATCCTATCGACGCCATTTGTCTTTTCATTAATGAAGCTGTGTATTTATAGCACAAGCTCCTCATTCAAAACCGAGAAACTGTTATAGGTGAGAATAGGAAAAGCATGAAAGTGCTTGTACAAGCAGGATACGTACAGCTTTCCCCATGATATATTGTGCAAATCCTCTGCATAAACTGTGTAGATGTTACATCAGCTCAGCTCATTCATACTCTAGAGGTATGAGAATAAAGTTAAACCTTAAAAAAAAAAGAAACTGCTAGGAGGACTGGAAAACCGATAAGGTAGGAAGGGGTATTTATAGCTTTAATCTCCTGTCCTAAAAAGTGACGTGAGCTGTGCTAATAACCGTATTGTGATGCTGCCATGGAATGTACAGGAATGTAAATCTGCTAATGGATTGAAAGTAAACTAGGTTGCTGGAGTTCTGACCACTGCAATTACATCCAACCCACCTTTAGTAGAGTGAGCAAAGTGGATCTTCCATGCAAATTTGTATTGTAATAATGACCGTCACTGAGCTGTGTGTGACAGCACTGAAATTTTTCCATATTTCGGTGGGTACACACTGCTCAATGCTCCTATAATTTTCCTAATCCACAGACCGCAAAGGTTAAAAATTAGGGCGGTTGTCTGATTGGGATGGAACGCATGTAAGGGCATATTTTCAGAACGAACTTTTTAGTGGTACACGTATTAATAAAGAATAGTCCTAAACTGCTTCTAGGTACTATATCATCTCTTTGAATTGGTTATAGTGCCTGGAGTCCCTGGCATTGTCGCTCTATTTCGTGTTAAACCATTTTCAAGCAGGTTAACATTAAATAAAGATCCCTCAGTCCAGGCCCTACTGGTGGTGTGGCTAAGGTAAGGATTACACACTTCCTTCTAGCCGTACCAATTCACACCACCCCCGGGTGCTGTAAAAGGTAGAAAGCAGTTAGCAGACCCTCTCAGTCACTAACAGCTGATCAGGCTAAAATTTCCTTATTAGGAGCCAGAGAGGACCGGCTGGTAGGGACTGTCGCTCTCAAAAAAAATGACAAAAGGATTGAACAAAAATTGAAAGGACAGTGCCAGGGGACTCGAGACACTTTAAAATGTGATGAAGCAGTTACAGTGCCCCTTTAAATGAGCTTTAAAAAATACACGCAACAGATTAAAATACTTCTCTTCATCTGTCTATTAGCTTCTGGTCTGGTTTCAAAAAGCCAGTAAATGACCAACTCTGGAACTGAACATTAATATAGCACTAATTATATGTTTATACGCAGTGAAAGGAAGGATACTACACAAGTAACTGCAGTTATTGTGGCTGTATCCTGTGTTTTTGTTGTATTTTTCCTTGCTTCTATTGAGATACTCATTTATTTCTAGCAGACGAAATGCATGCAGACCAGTACCTTATTGTCCTTTAACCAATTTATAAATTTAGCTGTAACTACCCATTAAGATGGCATAGTGTGCGTGAAGATGGCTACAGAGATTGCATCACATGTTTCCAAACCCTCATACTATCTGGGATGCGGAGCATGTTTGATGTCTACAGCCAATGAGAAAGTGTGATTTGAGCAGATTAGCTGTGGATGCACGTGTAGCCAAAAATAGTTACTTAAAGTGCGGTTTCTATTGTTCTATTATCTTTGGTGTATCGATATAGTACATGATAGAAAAAAAAATTAAAAAAAATTCCCTGACGATCACTTTAAATTGCTATGAAATAGATATGTGCATTTGTTTTGCTTCATTTGTCCATAATCAAATGATTCAAAATAAAAACCTTAAAATAATTTTTCAATGGACGACATTTTTCACTTGCTTTCTGATTTGGATTTAAAAATCCCAGCTATTCCCCCTAAAACAAAAATCGAAAAGGGCTTTTAGACAAATCGATTTGTTGTCAAACAAAAACTATTAATTTATGGACAAATGCAAGGCATTCACAAATCAAACTTAAACCCAAAAGAACCAAATGGTTTTTGAACTTCAAAAATAAATAAAAAACCAAGAATTTGGTTGCAGTTTGGCTAACTGTTAAAAAACGGTTAAAATCAGCCAAAGCTCTATGTAAGTTTGCTTATTCAGCTTTTACAAACGGCTGCAAAATTGTAGTGAAAATTCCAAAAACTGGTTTCACAAATAAATCTTTTGGTTGAAACTGCCAAACTTGGACAACCAAATGCCACACAATTGCCTTCTGGAAAATAGAGTCCTACGTGTCTTTTTTGGGGGAGTGGAGGAGTAATTCCAGTCTCCTGAAGCATAAATAAGAAAGATGTTTTAAAAAAAAAAAAAAAAGAAAACTGCTCGTTTATATGTATTTAAGTGTGTTTTAGAGGCTCTATTTATGAATAGATAAAATGTTACTTGTGAGCATGCTTCAGAGCATTCCTTTGTTTTTCCAGTTTAATTATGTACCACACTTCATATCAGTAGATTCCCCTTATAAATAAAGATAGAATTCCCCTCCACCCTCCCGTATCCTGCTTACAATCCTCAGTTTGGTGACTGTTTGGAAATATATGCATATACACACATACATTCTACAAACAGTTAAAGCGCTAGCGGCAATGGCACACATTTTACTAATTAAACTAAATATTTCACACAACCAGAATATTTCTTAAGAGTTTTATTAAACTTTTTTTTTTACAAGCAAATTGCGATGAAAGCTAAATTCAAGGTTTACATACAACTTAATGGTAGATCAATATATGGTAGCAGCAGGATTTGGAAAAACCCCTACAATCTCTGGACCTGCCAGGTGCAGGGACCTTTAGCAGGTTAATTCTTTATAATTACACAAGTTAAAGGATTCTAATAAGCTGTGGATACATAGCGTCATTCACTACACAGGGTAGCGCAAATTTTAGAACAAAATAGAATAAATGGGGGGGGGGGAAATCATCATCTTTGGACATTTTATTAATGTTTCTTTTCTGACCTAGAATTTGCAATGACTCAATTCTCCACAATTTCCAGAAAAAAACATTTAGAATTGTAAGCACTGGTGGAACTGCTTAAAAATTTAATTAACAGTACAAATACATTTAATTCAAGTTTTCTTCTAAAATATTGTAGGCCTATTTACATAATGGGACAATTGTTAAATATTACTGGAATGTTAAGGTACAATTAGTACATTTAATACTCATTATTATATAGCACAAGGGAACATGTATTCTTTTCACCAACTGCTGATAGACCAGCATCGCCATTGTAACACATACGTACTTGATTATTATACAGGCAGCATTGTAAAGAATAGGAATTGAATGTAAAAGTTGAAGCCCTGAATTCATTAGGTTTAAAGGGCCTGTTAGCAGCTTTACACAAATTACACTGTAGGTTTTCTTTTTATTAATTATTCACTAAATGGGGAATTGTTGAGATGTGACAGGAGTTGTAAACTTCAAATAAGCACAGAAAAGTTACAAAATATTCTACAAAATGTATTTCTCTAGTGCATTTTTTCTATTTTTTTTTTTTTTTTAACCTAAAAAAAATCCAATTCCCTTGTCAATGCTCCACAATTCCAGATTAGTAAATAATCCTTTTCAAGTCTATCTGCTCTGACAGTATACGGCTGTTTTGTTTGTTTGTTTTTTTTCCAGGAAAATACAGCTCGGTGTTTAAAATCTAAAACTCATCAGAAATGTGTCCTTTCAAAACCAGATTTGGTTTACACACTCATAAGTAAAAAAATTTCTATTTTTAATAAAATAAAAAGAAATCATTCTCTCCACATTCCTCTTGTGACTCAGAATTCTGTCTTGAGAGCTACCAGTCACTCATTAATTCCAGTTTACTGAGAATGTATGGAAGCCAAAGACGTGACAGTAAACAAAGCAAGATGGCGGCTGTCTGCACAAGGACATTTCCATCTCAACTTCAGAATCCTCATGACAGGTTTTCTTTTGTGAATGTAGCAGTTTTCATAAGATAGAATTTGTTTATACATGAACATTTGTGTCCCTTGAGGTTCTCGAGGTAGATTCATTGTTTAATAATACATATATTACAAATGCGTTTTAGTCCGTGCAATCTAGAATTTACTAACACTACAAAAAAACATGTAATAAGCAAGTACTATCAATTGAATCGTTGGTCTGTGAAGTAAGTTTGCTGCGCACTGTCCTGCTTAATCTACCAATGCTCATATTCAATTACCTAAGGTAAGACTGGGTAACTTGTCAACCTCGAGTTTTTCAACAGGGGAGCCACAGCTGTCCCACTACAAAAACAGGATTTATTTAAGACACATTAAAGCATGGATGGAAAACCTATATCTCTGGTTTTTGTGCAGTAACGCTGCGATCTTCTAAAAAAAATATATGATCCAGCAGAGGGCCTTCTGCACTGAGACACTCAACAAGCAGTAAATACAATGATTAATTTCTGTAGGACTTACACAATGTTCAAGTGAAATAAAAACCCACCAAAACACTACAGCCCCCGATAAACAGTCAGTTATACCTAAAATTTGTGAAGTCGCGTGAGTTGGACGGACATCTAAGAGATTCGTGAACCCACTGCAGAGTACTTTTAACTACGGACTCTTCGTGTTGTGCCGAGACAAAAAAAAAAAATTTTTTTTTTCAGCTATAGGTTTGTTTGAGTTTAAATCTCCTCTCTTGAAAAGTGCAATCATTAACATACATAACTAGTACAAAGCTAATGCAGGAAAATAAAATAAATGGACATAGTTTATTAACCCTTGTTGGGGAATACCCGATATGCCTATGATTTATATTTGTCAGTTATGGACATTCAATACTCATAGCTAAAAAGGTTTGCAGCAGGTGGTATGAGTGCAAACACAATGTACTTAAATACACCCACAATTTTTCCCACAGTGGAGGACGTTGAGAGATGTGTAAATAGGATAGAAAAAGTAGGTATCTCCCACTTCCCACAAAGAATAGCAAGAGTACATTCTGATTATATGCAGATTATTGCTAGTGTTGCACCTTGGGAATTAGAACAGTTTTTTCGCCCCCTCTTTAATTCTAAGTTAGTGAGAATTAATGATGTGATTACAAACAGCCAAGAAATTAAAAAAAAAGACAAACAAAATTTAAACTAAACAAAAATGGTTCACTATGTTGAGCTGTGGGGTATAATAAATTAAGCATGCAGTATTTACTGTATGTTAAGTGCTCTGTGGTCTGAATGAAGAATACAAAACTCAGAGGGAAAACTGGCACCCATTATAGTTTTAGTAAAATAACTTCTAATAACTTAAAGAAAAATAGAATTTAGGGAATAAAAAAAAAAAAAAAAACACATTGAAAACCATGAAGTTTCTAAAACTATGCTGGTGATTACATTCATTTGAGTGTAAACTTGTCTTTGAAGTTAAGATTTTGGAAGTTCCAAAAGGTGCTACAAATTACATTAACATTTTCACAATAAAGTTGAGCAAGAACATAACCACATAAATATGGCACATGTAAACAAGTATAAAGAATACAGGGAGGGAATCTCCATGACATGGGTTTGGATTCATTTTTTGGGAGTGATGACACGCAGTGAGTGACTGATGAATAATCCTGAAGCATTAAAACTTACCTCCTCGTTAATTTTGAAGTTAATTTACTAAAAAGGTTAGAGGAGCCTCTACTTCGAGTCTGTGACAGAGGAGTGGCCTCATGAGATAAACTGGGCGAAGCAGGGGGTCCATTGTAAGTAGCAGTACGTCGCTCTCGAACTTGGCCATGGAAAGTTCTTCGGCTGGGTGTTCCTCGTGGGAACCGCATGCGATCCGGAGTAGTGGTACTGGTTATACTGTGAGTTGATGCAACCGAGGTCCTTTGTTCGGGGATTGTGCTATGGCCGTATAAAACAAAATTGAATTTAGTTTTCAGCATATTTAAATTTAGTGCCAAAGGTCGTGAGCAAAGCTTTTTATGAAAATGAGTAAAACCAGCTTATACAAGAAGAATATCAGCTTTTCAAAAAACACACATCCCCCCCAAAAAAAGAATGGTGGGGGAGGGGAGACCTAAAAAAATTTATTAATTGGTCAGCATTCATATGACATAACTGCTAGTCTGTTAAATTTAGTGTTCAAAACCTATGCCAAATATTAAAAGTATCAGACATTAGCTTGACTACCATGTTAAAGAGTAAAAGATATCCACGAAAATCATAAGATTTTAAATTTTTGACATGGTTTCACAAATGACAATACTACTATGAAGGACGTACATTTGGAACATCTTTAGTTACAGCAAAAAATGGTAACATGACGGACCCAGTGTGCAATACAAATTTAGGCTTGTATTACATCTGGGGACAGCACGACACTGAAGGGCAGTGGGGTACATGTTAGTTCCACAATATTTTGAGATTCTCTTACGCAGGCATGGAGTTATCTGCTTCACTGTCTATTGGTGGTAACATCTCGGAGTGCCTGGAGGCTGACATAGACATCGATTTCGGATGCCGCAGCCGAGCAAAGATGGAGGATATGGCACAAACTGAGGCAGGACTAGTTGCATAAGCGAAAATTCCTGTCAGGCTGTGATGGGAGGGGGTGTAAAGGTGGGAAACAGATTTGGGCAGACAAAATAATGGACCAATAACAAGCGCAAATTATAAAGTTAGAGCAGAAATTTCTAAAATAAATTTAAAAAAAAAAAGAAAAGAAAGTACTGAATCTGTGTTGCCATGCATAACATTTTAAATCAAGAGATACTGTGTGTTCAAACAGCCTAAAACAAAATGCACACGTTTACTTTGTTCTAAATCGTCTTTATGAACCAACAAAGCCATTTAAACATCTCTGCAGTGGGTTCACTGTGTCCTTATGCAAATACTACTACACAGCAGTCTGAAGTAACAGCACTTACCGCTTCTGGCTATGATTAAAAATAAATGCAGATATAAGTAGAAAGTTTCCCTGGGTGTTTTTTTTTGTTTTTTTTGCTTTCCATTTTTGTCTACAGTAAGAGCTAGAAGCTAGCATCATTTGTTAATAGCCCTGAGCATTAAGACTGCTGCTTCAACTGGCATCACTGTGCATTGTCAATTGACCTAATGCTAACTCACGCATCAGTGATGCTGTACATTTGGAATATTACATAATACGCTACAAAGAATAAGACTAGAGCGGAGGAAAGGCCCAAAGATTTGTCTGTCAATGCAATAGTCAAATATGTACAGCAGCCAAGATTTGCGACACGTTATGTTCTAAATTAGAACACAGTTGAAAAAGATTTTCATTCCACAAAATACAATGGTGAAAATCTAGAGGTAAAATGATAAAAGCAAGCGAGAGGGAACCTAAGAGAATTGATCCATGTTTTGTGAGTTAATCCAAAACCACCAAGAGCATTCTTATCTCAGAATGGCTGCAAGGTTTACACTGAAGGGGAATATTGCCAATGCTTATTTTCAGTCTAAAATTAAACCATTTATGTTTTTGTAACTCAGTATCTCCTTTACAAGAATTTCAAATCAAAAGCAATGTTGATCTAGCGGATTTGGGAATCTGAGGCATAGGTCTCCCGAGTTCCTGTCTGCGGAATTTAAATACGAGAAAACGAGAAGCACACGCAACAGTTAGGACAGGAAATGCAGCAGAGGTATTTAGAAACAAGTTTACCTTTACTGCAAACATCTCAAGTAAACACACTTCACTGAAGTAAAAACATTAACAGAATTCACTGGGTGAATAAAAGTGGAACAGCACCCAAGATAAGGACCGTTCTGCGTAACACTTTGACACATACTATATAAATCTGGACTACACACATTGCACCCAATTTCACTAGGAATGGCTGGGAGTCAGTAACCTCATGGCACTCAGCACATCTAGTAGAAAGTCCAGGAAAAAAAAGATGATTTTATAAACTAGTATTTTGTAGCATCTTTACTCAGTGGCTATTACAATGAGTGGGGGAATTTTTTTTATTTTTCCTTTTTTCTTTTTTTTTTATTGTGTCAATCCAAAAAGGTTTCTTTTCCTTTAAAGCTGGGCATCATTTTTATAGAATCATCACATACATTACAGGAGAAACTGGTATAAGAGAGGAGTGACTGTCGTTATACGTAAAAAAGAAAGGAACACCAATTTTCCAGGTAGTATATTACATGCAAATATCCAATTGTTCTGTACCTGTTCTCTTTGCCATTTTGAATAACTGAATGCCGGTCTGTTGGAGCTCGCTCGCTGCAAACATAGGTATTTCGACGTGTCATTCCACTGGATGTAGAATTGCTCTACAATGGAAAAAGAGAGACACCTTAAACACAAATGGTTCCGTTCTCTATTGCAGGGAACAGGTCAGTGATGTGTAACCTTTGGCACTGCAGTGGTCGTATATATATATATATCTATCTAGCAAAGAACAAAAAAATCTGCAGCCAACGACAAACATTTCTTGTGAACTGAAAAATCCTGTGACCTTTAACATTTCCCAGTTTAACCAAAGGGTTTGAAGCATTTCTGGCAGCAAGACAGCATAATCCTGTTTAAAATTTCAGTCCCTTAACTGGACTTGTTACTTTCCCACAGTTTGGAAGGTGAAGCAAAGCTACAGGACTTTGGCAGGCACAGTATTGTTTTAATAAAAAGGAAGAGACGAATAATACCCAGAGCAAAACTGAAAAACTTTAAAGAGCAAGTCTAAGCACCAAAACCACGTCCGCGTAATTAAGTGGTTTTGGTGGACAGATTGTTTCTCTGCAGTATCACTGCTTAATTCTTGTCATTGTAGGAGTTAAAACCATTTATTTCTGCAGTCCTAGCCACACCACCTCTGTCTGACTCACACAGCCTCCTTACACACTTCCATGGAAGTGTATCTCCAGGTCTGTTAATTGCCTGTTATTGCAAAATAGCCTCCTGTGTGAGATTAGAGATACAGGGGATATCGATCTTCATGTTTTTGTTTTTTTTAATACAGCTTCCTAATATTCCCTATAAAAAGCATTATATTGGAAACTGTCCAACATCAACAAGGAACCTGGTGCTGAGATGGATTAGCTAAAATGTAGAACTTGCAGGTGGGATGTTATTTGACAAGAATTTTTAAAAACTACTTTGTATTTTAACAGCCTTTTTCAAGTGCATTAAAATGCATTTAACTTAGACTTTCCCTTTGAGGTGACAACATTTAAGCTTATTCACTAAACTGAATTGTGGAAATTACAAATCTAGGTCACTATAGAAATGAAGTACTTTCACTGGGCACGTATTGTATATTCTTGTGACTATACAGCCCTTTTGGCCAAGCTAAATTAGTCATAAACATAGGAGTACAAAAATGGAGACGTCTGTGGGGATGGGTTATAACACAGGAAACTTTCTTTAGATACATCTTATGAAGCAATACTCATCCAGCTAATCCCCTTCATACAACCTGGTAAAATGACAGATTCCTGTGACAGAAAAGAATACACAACAAACGAACACTTTATAACAAAGACATGTATCAGGTCACTTACAGTCGTGACTACAGAACTCTTCTTGCGTTCTGGGATGTCTGCTTTATTGGGATTGTTGGCATTTCCGAGCATAGGGCTAGGGGGTGTCACACCTCTCCCAGCAACTGCACTGCTACTGGACTTTCGGGACTGAACACCTTCTTCTTTCAGATCATTATCTGTTGTACTAGTTTGGCTCCGTTTTGGGTAAGTAGTTACTGGAATAGCTGGACCAGCTAATAGAAAAAGAGAAAAATGTGGGGGGAAAAGCTGATTCTATTGTACGTGCCCTAGTGTTCTCTATATATGTATGTTAGACCACGTTGTCAGATTTATGATTAAATAATTGAATTACGCTATACAATCACAATTTTTTACAGTAAATCTTATATTGTTAACTTGAATAATAAAAGCTGTCAATATTTTTAAATAACCCAGTCAGCAACATCTCTCTAATTTTGTTATTCGAGATAATAAACAAACAAGTAAGGATCCCTTACCAGAATCTATTTGCTTCTTTTAAAATATTTTGCATAATTTATGGCCACATAAGTAGGTGCCACTCACCATGGTCACTGTACCGTCTCTGTTTCTGATTGGAGGAGATGCTCCGTTGCACCTTGTGATGAGGAGATTGTCCAGTGCTGTTGTTGAGATCGCTGCTTGGTCTGACTTTCGCAAGAGACAAATTACTACTAGAGCTTGAATCGCTGGCATCCAGCTGCACAGGAGACAATGATTCATCATATATTCACATGGCAATAAATAAAATGCTTTACAGTTCTATTTTATGAAACGATTTTACACACACACTAAGTGTGGAGACGTCTAATGGAAAGCTCTTTTCTGCATCATTATTAAACTCCCTTCTGATAAAAGGGACATAACTTAAGGAGATCTTGCAATAATACCAAAGACCTGGATAGCAGACAAGTGAGATTAAGGAGTCTAGCGGTGATGTTCACATTTACTGGAAAACACACGATAGAGTGAAATTAGCGATTTAGCTATTACTGGGGTCACCGACCAGACACAGAGATGTTCTTTAAGTTAAATTGGCAGAATTTGGAGCGTGATGCAATATGAGGTGGGGTTAGAAGGAGCGAGAAAAACAAGGCAATGAGTTTGGATGGGTGGTGAGATTGCAGATTTAAATTAACAGTAATTTCAAGTTTCTGGGACAACTGTAAAGAAGGGAATCACCAAGTGCTTGATATGTTACACTTAAATGGAACACTCCAAGCACCATAACTTCTACATCACACCGTAATGATTACAGTAAGCCAAGTGGTGCAGGGAAGGCACTCATTCTTTTGGAGTGCTCAGCTGAACCTCTGCCAATAAACTGTGGAGAGAATGGAAGCTCCACACACAAGAAAAGATTTATTCTAACGTTGCATATTTCTGTGCAAGGAAAGAGCGCAAAAGGGCAGTTGTAGATGTTCGAGTAAATGAAGCAGAAATACAGGGAAGCAGTTGAGAAATTATTAAAAGATAGATTCTTAGAAAAAGCCTCATGAGCCCATGTTTAGAGGAAACTTTAAACTAATACAAATGTTACAAAAAAGGATTAAATATATATAATAAATAAAAAAAAGCTTACCTCAGAGGATTTCCTTCCAAGCAACAAATAGGTAGCTGTGATTTCATCATATTTCATCTTGCTAAGAGATTCTTGAATCTCTTCCCTAGAATATCCCATTCCAATCATTATGTCTACAAATGTGAAAAAAAACCACAAAATATATTTATCCATAGGTAAACTAGTTTTTCTTTCTATTTTAACATAAAATTTACACGATTTTAATTGAGGATTTTCCTTTAATATATTTTATTCAAGTGTGATGACAATATAAGATTAATTACAATATAAAGAGAGTGTTCCCCAAATCCGGGCTGCCAGCATCATGTCTATCAGCATCTAATCCCTGACTTTGGTGGAACATTGATGCCCTGCCATAATTTCTTGTAATCTTTTTGCCCTACAAACCACCATGGAAACTTTGCAACATTCTCCTGCATTGTACAAGCATCCATTTGGTTCGAAACGGATAACATTCGTGGAGACAGATCCACCAAGCCTAGAGAGAATATCCCACTACACTGCCTGTATTAACAAAAACTTTAACCACTTTTGAAAATCCCCACCAGATATGAAAAATGTTCCTGTCTCCACACACTGTCCAGCCTATATCCAAGGCTATAGCGGATTTTCAAGGTTGTATTCAATACGGTAAACTTTAAAGAAGCTACTTTAAAGCTATAAAATGGAAAAGCTAACCATTTCAGAGGTAAGAGAAGAAAAACAAAACAAACCATGTGACAGCAAGAAGTATATTTTAATGTTTTTGACAGAGCACCAGAGTATTTTTCAGACTACTGTTTCACTGCTAAAGTTTATAAGCTGCTTTTTATTATCTCTTATTGAAATGTGCAAACAATCTATGTGCTTACCTATTCTTTTCTGGTCTGCAATATCAAGTTCTGGCTCAACAAACGGTTTAAGTTCATCCTCTTCATGGCCCGCATTAATCCATCTGTCCTTCATAATTTGCTTAGAAAAAGAAGAAAATAAATTAGAAAAAGTTGTATCCATGAACATTTTAAAAGTCTCACCATTAATTTATACCAGTAAAAAGACAAGTGGTTGCCTTCTGTTAAGGTTTGAATGTTTTGCTGTGCAGAGCTCCCTACTTATATAAGGTATGCTTTAATGTAAAAGTCCAAGGGACGCATTGCAGGCACAGTGTGGAGATTGCCACATGTGCCCAGCCTCCTAATTCTTTGCTGTGAGAAGCATTGGATTGGCCAGATGATCATCAGTACAGATCTTCTAGCAGGTGAAGCACAGCTGGAACAAGCATCTTGTTGTTGGATAACAGATATAGTAATACTTCATTTATAGGACAGAGGAAGAGCCAAAGGCAGCCCAGGAGATATTCTTGTGGCCCTTACAGAACACGTACCTCTAGAGTGCCCCGTTTGGTTGGATTTAGCACCAGGAAACGCTTGAGAAGATTTTCACAGTCTGTAGACATGTAGAATGGAATTCGGTATTTCCCCCTTAGTACTCGTTCCCTTAGTTCCTAAGTAGGAGAAGACATGCACTTAATCTTTCAAACTGAACTGTGATAAAGGAAACTGTACCATTTATCAACCAGCAGAGCATTTGGTCTATAAACCAAGCTGCATCTTCAATAGCAAGTCACATACTTACGGCTGACAAGTGGAGAAGGGAATGAATATTCAGCTCAACTGGGAAGAAATGTAATGACATGGACCTACAGCAAGTACATGACCTGCTATGCATTTCTGACCTTGTGCAAAATTGCAACCAGCAGTGTTCTCAATGCAAGTGCTTTCTATTTCTATGCAGAGAGTTGTATTCATTGGCAGAGAGTGGTCTGCTGACGCTCTCAGTCAATAAATGGCCATCAGGATCGGCATCAGACTTCTGCAGCTAAATGCATGTCACCGGAAATAAATGACCCAGGTAAAAGGACAAATAATTGGTAAACGGTTTGCCCCATTAACAGGAAATGAGGCAGGGGACTACTCACATCATAACCATTACAATGCTTGGTGTAACCACTGGTAAATATTGGATTATACAAAAATCTATTTGACTTTGAATTCTAGCTCTGTATGGTCCCATCACATCTGCACAAAACGATAGCCGTCTAGTGCAATTTTTTTTCTTGATTATTTAAAAAGATTAGTCCCTAAGGTAAACTGTAAAAACACAATGGACTGGATAGCTGGAAGTACAACAGCTACAGGAACATCATAATATTCAATCAGTTCATTTATGTAAATCAGGAATTTAAATTCAGAGAGTACATTTACATTATGGTAGGTTTCAAATACAGCATGTAACCAGCATGAAAAGAAACAGCAGTTATTTAACTCTGCTGCACAACAAAGAATGGTAAGAACATCCAAACACAACTACATTCATCTACATACAAATACCAACGGATGTTATGGTACAAATGAAAAGTCCAACAACTCATCCTAACTAAATTTCCATTGGCAATTTGTCTTAACGGACACAGAGGCAATGAAAACATTTCTTCAAGCTAAGTGTTGACAGTAACCTTACATTTTAATAGGATTCAAATACCTATTTTATGTCTTTTGAAAATATTATACAAACCCAAAGCTGCAAGACTATGGCTCCACATGCAACTGGTGCTTCAATTTAAGCACATATCAAACAGCAGGAGCACAAACCTTTAAATTTTGTCCATCAAAAGGTAAGGATCCGCTGACTAGAGTGTACAGAATAACGCCCAAGCTCCACACGTCTACCTCCGGTCCATCATACTTCTTCCCTTGAAAGAGCTCTGGAGCAGCATATGGTGGACTTCCACAAAATGTATCCAGTTTGTTGCCAACAGTAAACTCGTTGCTAAAGCCAAAGTCTGCTATTTTAATATTCATATCAGCATCCAGTAGAAGATTTTCTGCCTATATATATATTAAAAAACAAAAAAAACAATTGTTTTATTTTTCCCTATCTACAGGTTCTAAACAACAGTCATTCACACTACTACTAATTAGTAAAATGACATGCAGTGGAAATTGTCTGAGTAACAGGGTTACTGGTTTTGTGACACAAGGACCATATTCAAATATATCACTATCAAAAGCCTGTTCTAAGGTGGATTCAGCAAGCTTGTCCACAAACCCACGCTGCACATTGCTCTATATCTCAACCTCTGACTTTATTTTCATGGTTACATTGGATCCAAACAGACCTAAAAACCAGGACATTACTGAAAAAAAAAAAAAAAGAACTTGTATGTGAATCCTGACTTTGTCCACCTCAGGCAGGCAAAGCTACGCCAAGCCTGGAAATACCATCATCATTGATATACTGCTGATATATAGTAGCTTTGCACAGCTGAACTTGAAGTTGCTGTAGTCGTTAATTTAGTGAGGTTTCTTATATGTTTTACAACGACAAGGCATGCAAGAAGTAAGAAAGGCGCTCTGAACAGTTAACAGGATATGGATTCATAAAGACAGGAAACTATAAGCCACTATGAATATGTGGACAGGGTGTATTGTGCAACATGATATTGATGCTCACATGGAAGAGATGTAAAAAGAATGGGTGGCAAAGAGCACAAGGGGGATGTCAGAGCATGAAACATATGATAGAGCGCTCTTTATGAGAAGTGGAATGGGGCCAGAGAATAATATCAGGGAAGGAGGAAACATGAGATGGGTGGTGGGTACCATGAGAGCGAAGTTAGAAGAAGAGGACATGAGATTGGTGGCAGGTACCATGAGAAGGATGGAGAAGGGGACAAGGAATGCGTGACATGTACCATGAGAAGGATGGAGAAGGGGACAAGGAATGCGTGACAGGTACCATGAGAAGGATGGAGAAGGGGACAAGGAATGTGTGACAGGTACCATGAGAAGGATGGAGAAGGGGACAAGGAATGCGTGACAGGTACCATGAGAAGGATGGAGAAGGGGACAAGGGATGCGTGACAGGTACCATGAGAAAGATGGATAAGGGGACAAGGGATGCGTGACAGGTACCATGAGAAAGATGGATAAGGGGACAAGTGATGCGTGACAGGTACCATAAGAAAGATGGAGGAGAAGCCAAGAGATGGGTGGCCGGTAACATAAGAAGGATAGAGAAGGAGAAGCCATGAAAAGGTTGGCAGAGAAGAATGGAGGGGAGGAAAGGTGAGATTAGTGGTAGGTAGCATGAAAGATGTAGAAGGAGAGGAAATGAGAAGGGTGACAGATAAAATTAGAAGGATTAACGTGAGGAAACATGATATGGGTGGCAGGTACCATGAAAAGGATGGAGGAGGAGATATGAGATTGGGCAGAGTCTCTGGCTCACAGAGTGAATAGGTAGATTCTTATGATGTATGCATAGCTTCTCCGAGACTTCGTGAATAAGGAGAACATTTAGGCAACTGTACAGAAATTTGTGTTGAGCTGAGAGAATTGGTAAATTGGAAAAGTTACAAACTGAAAGGGAAATATTTACTACTTTCCATTTTAATGTTTCATTGTTGTCGGAAAACAAATGCATGCAACTGTTGCATTTGTGACAGATGCGATCTGGGTGCAGTGGTCATATCGTTTTAGTCCTGCAATGCATACATGTTTTCACTGCCAAGCTTAATAAACCTCTACTTGCTTTCTTCCTGACAACCACTAGAGGGTGCTTCCGCTGCTATAAGAGTAACACAGTTACGTGATGTCCAGCATCCCCTAATGCTGATCATAGGAAGAACTAGATTCAACGAGGAAGAGTGCAGCGCATGCACTTATCGTCCCCAATGCTTCTCAATAAGAAGCACTGGATTGGATGACAACACAAAGGGACAGCCTCCAGGAAGATGTCAAGGGAGGTGTAATGTGCATCTGCACAGAGGGAGTTTTGCTTACCTTAAGATCTCGATGTACAATATGCTTTTGATGACAATACTGCACGGCAGATACTATCTAAAAGATAAACACAATAAAAATAAGCAAATAATTGAGAAAATTGTGTTATTTTTCTGGTTATTTACAAAATAATAATAAAAAAAAACCAACCGTAATAATTGCACCAACAAATGCTTTATTTCAACGTAAATGTTGAATTATGTAAAGATAAGCCAAAATTAAAAAAAGGTTTTTCAAGAATACAAATGCCACCTGTATAAATCCAAAATCAGGTGATAACCAACCTTTATATCCGCTAAACTAGAACTGTAACGCCCAGACACCCAGGCGGAGAATGATGGAGCATTTAGTTCTAACAGTAGGAGTTACCTTTTAGTTAACCTCCTGAGTTTATACATAAAAGGAAACATGCACATTTCAATGGTACACACCTGCCGGAATTTAGCTCTTGCTTCCTTTTCCTTCATTCTTCCATGTGCAACCAAATAGTCAAATACTTCACCTGCAAAGGGCACAATACAAAATGAGCAAAACTATTTTAAACGTACAGGATAGCTAAATTGCAAGCAGCATTTTTGGAAGTTTAATGTCTTATTTCCCAGCTACTGATCACAGGGGCCATTTCTCTTCACATATGTAGAGTGTAGCTCTACTTTGTAACTCAATCAAAGCATTATCTTACCGACTAATGCAGTTTCCTTTTAAACATCATGTGAATGACAGGTAATCATTTGACCAAATCTCCAGCTGTTAGCTGTGTACAGTTCCTATAAATCCTCCTCGGTCACGTGTGGTGTTTACATCTGACATTTATGTGTCAGTCTACCAACAGAATACAGTCTGACATCTGATTACAACCCATATTGGATTGAAAACTGTGTGCCTCACACAATACCCTATACCAGGGGTAGGCAACCTTTTAACAGCACTGTGCCGATATTGGATGGTGATGTCCCGTAGCGTGCCGGTCCTATTTTTTTAAATTGAGGTGTGTATGCTGCCGTATTCTGCTTGTGTTATTTTTATTGCAGTTGCTTTGTATCGTTGTATTTGTGCGTGTATAAGCTATTATATTGTATATGTTCATGAGTAGTTTATGGTATTGTGTATGATACATATGAATGTGGGCTGTGTATGAGGGCTGCTTGTGGAATTGTGTGTGGATGGATATGTCACATTGTGTGTTTGGTAGTGTGTGGGGGCTGTTTGGGGTATTGCATGTGAGAGGCTGCATATGGGGTTGTGTGCATGTATGTGGATTGTTAGCGGGTTACGTTTGTGCGGATTGTGTGTATGTTTGTGTGTGGGCTGTTCATATTATTTGTATGAGGGGAGGGTTATTCTGCATTTCTGTGTATATCTTGCAGTGTGTGTGGCTTCCCTGGGTTCCAGTGGGGACCAGGCTGGCCAGATACAGGTCAAGAACAGGAGCTGCAACAGCAGCTGTGGGCTGCTCTCCTACAGTGTGGATTTCCATTCACAAGTGCTGGGATCACTTCCTCTATGTACTACAATGCTTAAATTGAGGATTGTCCTTCACCACCTCTTCATATTAGCAGATATCTGAAGTTTTACTGGACTCCTGATAGGCCAGAGCCTGTTTGGCTCTAGCAGCCTGGAGTGCCGTGCATGGCACTAGTGCCGTAGGTTGCCTACCCCTGCCCTATACACTATTAACTTTCTACCACAACAGAATAATTCTATCATGTGACTATTGCACTAGCAGAACAGCTCCCCTATTGAAACATGAGAAATCAGTATAGCTTGAAACCAGGAATTTCCGTCACTGATGCATATTAAAGAGGCACTTAACATAGCTTCTCCAGTGAAGTGGTTATAGTGCTACTACAGCTATTCTGTCAAGCCCTATTCCGTCAGTGTGACAATTCTGCTGTAGAAGCAGGGTCCTGTCACCATAACTACTTCAATAAGCTCAAGTGATGATGTCCTGAGTGCAAATCAGACTGAGGCTGAATTTCCTTGGGCAAATGTAACCCAGACACATCAGTGGCCCCACAGATATTCAACCAGTAAGAGGGTAGTGAGAAAAAAAATCCAAACTCCTGTTTGAGTACCTATATGTCACACATCAGGTTTAGTGCACTGACTAAAGTAACTAATGGTCTAATCATGGCTAAATGGGGCCGTCCAAATACAAGATGTTAAACCATTTTTGCAAGGCTGGTCTTCCTTTTAATATGATATGACTAAATCTATATCCCTCCACCCCCCCCACCCCCCACCCCCCACCCTCACACAATCAGTATGTGCACATTAAGTAGGAGGAAAATTATGGTTGAACAAACAGCAAAAATATAAACAAAATAACTCTTTATAGTCAATCTAAAAGATGCCAGGATTTTAAGGAGTTAAACAGACTGTTGAGGACAATGAATTCCCCCAAGACATCGTGGGGGAGAGCAGGAAGGTTTTCTTCACATGCTAACAAATGTTATGGCACACATGATTGAATAATTGAAGGCACGTTAACAAAACAAAACAAAAAGCACTGCTAATTAAAGACACACTGCATTGTTTAACCAATAAGGAACTGAAGTACTGTAAAAAAGGTCACATTGTTTCTTAATGGAATCATTCACTTACATAAGGGGCGATCAAAGTGCAACTCTATTCAACTCAAATTGATCACAACTTCCACCAATGAGAGCCTGGCTGGAAGATAGGTGTGTGCTCCACAGTTAGGACAGTTTTTCAGTTTCATGATAGGAGCAATCAAATTTAAACATAAAGTGGTCTTATAAAAGCCATACTATGAGTAGTTCAACTGCCCAGGATCAAAACCATATTTTTGCTAGGTCAGAATTTATTAATTTAAGGTGGACCCCTTTTGAAAGAAACTAATCTGCAGAACAGCTTCTACCAGCCTGCGGAAAAGCTAGATATTTTCAAAAACTATAAACCACACTGTGCAAGAATTAGATCCTGATCACTAAGGTATGATTTGATTAAGCTGTGGCAACACTAGCAAATCTGTTGGAGATGCTGGAAAACCCAAATCGAATATGGGGATTTAGCATTAACTAAAACCTGTATCCTAGCAGTCAAAGATTATCATTGCACACTGCATGAACACATTAACACAAAAAGGAGAATCAAACATTCATTATGAAACCTTAGAAGGACTTTATAGACATCAAAACAACGTTGGCTTAATATGGCAGTTTTTGTGTATAGATCATGCCCCTGCAGTCTCACTGCTTAATTGTCTATTTAGGCGTTAAATCACTTGTGTTTCTGTTTATGCAGCCCTAGCCACACCTCCACTGGCTGTTACAGAACAGACAATAAAAGGAACACTATTGTGTTAGGAAAAAAAAAAAAAAAAAAAAAATTACCTGCTCTCTTCCTAAATCCCTATTTAAACAAATGGAGGTTATTCAGTTGCTCCAATGGCCATGAGAGTTTAGCCCACCTGCCATGTCAAGGCAAACCTCTCAAGTGGGTCCTACACTAACTTTTCACCTTGTTTCCTTGAGCGTCTGGCAAAGATATCTAATGAGACAGAGAGGGGTATTTTTTATATGCACCCCTATATGCTAATTAACTCTTAATAGGGAACACATGGTATGGGCGGTTGCATTGTAACATAGCTGTGCGATACAAAAGTGAATACAAATACATTGTATTGTGTTCGGAATAAACAATCAAAAAGAGTGCAGGAAAAACAAAAGAAAGAAAAAATAAACCTTTTGTCACTTACCTGATTCCAGCCCCAATGCCCCTTGTTACTGGACCACTCTCCATCTTCAAGCGCACGCATACCAAGAACTAATATGCATGCATCGAGAGTGCCGCATGTGCATAAGGCCTTCCCCATAGAAAAACATAGACGTCCTGAGTTGTTTCACGGAGTTAAACTCTGTGTGAATTGAGCATACACCGCTAGTAGCTGTCTGGAAGACATCCACTAGAGGTAGCCTTAACTCTGCAGTGTAAACAATACAGTTTCTCTAATACTGCAATGTTTTACATTGCAGGATTAACAGGACATTGACACTGCACCCAGACTACTTCAATGAGATGACTAGGTCTGGTTGTCCATAGTGTCTTTTAACTTGCTCTGTAACCTATGAGGTTATTAACAGAGCAGGAGATACAAAATTCTAGATTAAACAGACTGCAATACAAGGAAACCTAAAATCTCTAGGTTGGTTTTCAGGAAGTGTTTAAGAGGGCTGTGCAAATCACATTTAGGGAAGTGTAATTAGGGCTGCATAAACAAGCTATTTAACTCCTAAATAGCATGATCCATCTAAACGGTTTCATTACGGCCTTGTTTTTGGGGTCTAGTGTCCCTTTATTTGTCCTACATTTTATGTCAAACCACTAATCAACGAGAAATGTACCTATAGCTTCCCATTGCAATAACTACTACAAAGATCTATATGGTCATTGGCGTTAGGAGTGTTCCTTAATAAATTAGGGATGTATAAATGCAAAATTACAGCTCTACCCTTGCATTAATTATATCAGATTACTTATAATGTGGGTTACAAAAAAGGATTACAATCACTCACCCCAAATAGTTAGCAATCTATAGCATATGCAAGACTTGCCACTTACCTCCACTTGCATACTCCATTATCAAGTACAGCGTTTTTTCTGTTTCAATTACTTCAAATAATTTAACTACAGAGGAAAGAAAACAAAGCCCATAGTTAAATCAGCAGCATGTTTTATTGTTCATGCAAATTAATTAGTTCTCACACACACACAGAAAATCTGCAACAGAATATAAACAAAGCCAGCCGTTCCAACGTGTAAGGGAATTTAAAAAAAAATGTCTATTACTGAGCCGGGCACCATATTACTAAATATGGTAGGAAATGAAATGTAAAAAAAAGCTCAAAGTTGACACTAGTAACATAGAATATTAAAAAAAAAATCCTCCCAACCATAAAAAAAATAAAAAATAAAAAAAAAATATATAGAAAAGCCAAAGCTTTGTTTCAAGTTATCATAGCCATTATAAAATCAGGATCTTCAAAAGTTTATGACTCATCTTTGCAGAATTATTCCAAAAACCACTCAACGCTTGCCAAACATTCAATATACCAGTATACGTTCAGTACTTCACTCTGACATCTGCCTAAGTCAGCAGTTTGTTCCTTTTTGTTTAGTTTTTTTTTTTAGCAAGCTACCGCAATAGGATTACAGTCCGTTCTACTCTCATTTGAGGTCATGTTAAGCAAAAGAATCAAAGTCAATTTGAACAGTTTCCTACCCTAAAGGAAAACGGGTGAAAACGGAGTGTTTATGTAGATTGGCCAGCATATACAGCACTTTTGCAGATTTCCACCCAAAAAGGTTCAGATAAAAAGTAATAAGATAAAAAATAATAATGAGCAAATGTAGAGAACACCACAGAAGACAGCTTGTGTATATAAAAGGGAGCGGTCACTTTCTGGGATTTGTAATGTTACATATAGTTTAACATTTCTACTCGACCTCTTGTCACTATCGTGTGTTTCAGCGCCTTGTTTATCTGTAGTGCTCCAGAATCAGTATCTCTATATGAAAGCAGGCGCCTGGCTGCAGACATCTCTCCATAGTGGCCTGGTGTACTCACATAATAAAACTGAGGGTATACTTACAAAATACCAATGGCAACCTGAGAGCAGGTGAATGATTTAAAGTGGTCACATTTTGGCTATTTATAAAAGGCAAATTCCATTTGGCTGCAATTTGATTGTTATAACACGGGTAATTCAGCTATTTGCAAAAGGCAAGACTGGCACCAAATGATTTTCATGCAGTTATTCCACTTACCCTGATATAGAGCTAGCATCACCCAAATACTACATATATCCCCTTAACCCTATAAAGATAACCAAATCCTAAAACCTTTACTCAATCTCCCCCCCCTTCAACTACTCTTACATCTATGGCATTTATATAGCAGAGATAAATAGACTAATTTCAAAATAGCTCAATAGCTGATCCATTTCTCTGCAGCCATGAGATGCATTTAAATATAGTAGGTATCCTCTCAGCTAAATTTAGTTGTTAGTGAATACAGTGAACCGGAAGGAATGTTAAGATTTTAATGCAAACAAATCAAATGAAATCAAAAGGCAAATTCATTGTTTAGTGGACAGACCCATGAGCCGTGAAATGTGTATTTGGGGGGGATGGGCAAGCCTCCGGTTTCATACGCTGCACCCAGAAAGTCAGTAAACCCTACCGTGATTTATTTTAACTCGTGAACAGTGAATCAAGTTTGCATTAAACCTCACAGACTGGATTTTAAGCAGCATTTACTCACACAGTACACCTTCCTCTGAGGGCCACTGTGAAATATCAAGCTTCTAAAGTAATCCTTATCTAGTTATCTTTATGGTAACAATGAAATTGGAAACAGCACAGTTATGGGAGGGATCTCATGAGGTCAAGCAGAGTGAGTATGGTTTGCTTTTTAGAAGAAAGAAAGAAAAAAAAAAAAACACGCCTGATCCATAATCAGTAATGCTGATAAGGTCACATGTCTGTGAATGTCTGAAAAGTGCCTTTAAACTACTGCTGGAGAATTGAACAAATGGTGAATTACTGTAAGAACATTCGTTAGAACCTGCAAAAAGTCTTGTCTATTAAGGACATAATTATTCCTACACATAAAGCAAAAAAAAGGCACTTATGAAATTGGCTATAGGTACTGCACAAAATTTACCATGGCTTCCCACAAGCTGACACTATATGGAGGCATTCCTTTCTTTGCACACACATTTGACATGTATCAAACTCCTATCAGAGTACTGGCTTTAATTTGGTTCGATCTCACTTTTTGTTGAAAAAGTACACACTAACGCACAAACACACAAAGTTATGCCAAAGCGCAGAACAATTTGGTCCACTCAATGCAAGTGACCATTATCTGGATATAAACTTTCTTCTTGGGCTCACTGGCATAGGCATGTTCAAGAAAAGGTTAACAAAATATTTAGCATTTTAATTACAAATATAATGTCATTACATATGCATGCATGTTAAAATCCTTACCTATATTTGGATGATTTAATATCTTCATTATTCTTACTTCCCTGAAAAGCTGAAAAACAAGGTTACAGTATTTGAATGTCAGGTTAGAGGTATGATATAAGGTAATAGTTTAATAATAACTACTTCAGGGCAATGATAACCAAACACACATGTTATTTAAAGCAGTTCTGTCACCTTCTATGCATTGCATCTGCCAGGAGCCAAAGTTCGCACTGTACCCTCATGCATGCGCAAACGTAAAACATCAATGTTAATGGAGGAGTCTGTGAGACCACAGGAACCTCCATAGAAAGTCTTTCAACTCAGTCACTCGTGAAAACTGAGGGCTTGAGGGAGGAGAGTAGGAAACAGCCATAATGCCACCCAAAAAAAAATAAACAAACTTTAAATAAATATTTTCAAAGTGTATTTGAGGGAAATTCTTAAAGGGACACTTTATTTACCAGAACAACTACAGCTTATTGAACTGGTGAGTAGAACCATTGCTATCAGGCTTTTTGCTGAAAACAGTCTTTTCAGAGAAAATGCAGTGTTAACATTACAGCCTAGTGATAACTCCACTGGCCACTCCATTGATGGCTACTAGAGGTGCTTCCCGGGGCAGTGTTGCAGAGTGAGCAGTACTGCCATTCAGTGTCTTTTTCCGAAGGATGCAGACACTGAACTTTCCTCATAACGATGCACTGATTCAATGCATGTCTGAGGAGATGCTGATTGACCAGGGCTGTGTTTGACTTGCGCTGGCTCTGCCCCTGATCTGCCTCCGTCACAGTCTCAGCCAATTCTATGGGGAAGCATTGTGATTGGCTCAAACCACCACTTCTGATGAGGTCACCAGGAAGGTCAGAGGCAGACAGGGACAGAGCCAGCAGCTGCAGACTTGAATAGAAGTAAGATTTTAAAATATTTATGGAGGCAAGGGGGGCTTTATGGTGGTTTTAACACTATAGGATCAGGAATACATGATCCTATAGTGTTCCTTTAAATAAACATACAGATAAAGTATTAAAGTAGTAGTTCAATATTTTTGATATTAAAACTTGAATGTGCAGATGTGACAAAATGTATATTCTACCCGTTGTATAAAGCGACTGAGCTGACTAAATGTGGAATTGTGATGAACAGACTAATTATTCACCCTTCCCTATTTTCCCTTCTGTACCCCAATGTTTACCTATTGCCTATGCAAAAAAATTCAATAAAAACTAAAATAATGAAAAAAACAAAACTTGAATGTGAGTATTTTGTAGATGCACTTTCCACCAATGTAGGTTTATAAATATTAAATAGCATTTGCAAATCACTTTGTCTCAAGTATGGCTTCTTGAATTTACACTTGTTCCAATTATTGCCTACATTAATATTTTAGTTTATTGTAACCATCTTAAATCTTCTTAATATCATGTATTTTACTTCTGAGCTAACTTTTTGTACTGTATTACATGTACTTTATTTGTACCTAAAAATTAAATTATGAAAATAAGTGAAATAAACTACAAAACATACTGATAAGAATATTAAGTTAGCTTATAAAAATTATAATATAATCAAATAATTATGTAAAATAGTTAATATATGTATTTTTTTCTAATTATATATATATATACACATATATATATATATATATATATACATACACACACATATAATTATGTTATTAAATCATTATATTTAAAAAAAAAAAAAATACACACTTATTTCCTATATATGTATATTATAAAATAATGAAAGCATTTTATGCATAGGATTACAAGTGTATTTTGAAAAATAATATGTGAACAAGTACACTTATGAAATCATATACATGCATTATATATGTATATTATAAAATGCTTTATTTTATAATATATGTACAATATATTTGATTTTCTTCTTCTTACACTTTTAGGTGTCAGGGGGAATGCCTGACAGCTCAGACAGTCCCATGGTGATCACATGGCCCTGGAGAGCCAGGGTGGCTGGAGCTGCTGCAGGGGTACTGCTGGGGTCTCAGCACCCCCCCCCCCGACTTTACAATTTTTTGTTGGACGTACCTAAGTAGTCCACGGTCGTTAAAGGGTTAAATTGTGCAAAATTCTCAAATGTCATGCTCCTGTGTTTTGCCATACTTGCTATTGCTGTTGTGGCATTGCAAGTGCGCTTGCTTGTATTAATATCTATGCACAGCAAAAATAAAATACAAAATAAAAAAAAGCTCCCAAAAAAGGCGGCGGGTGGAGAATCCTATAGAATCCCTTTAAATTCAGAGGGTAATGTACAGGATGAAAGGAAAAATGGAGACCGATTATAAGCAGACATAAAAGTGGTGTCGGTATTTTAATTTTATTAGAAAATATGATGATTCACTCAGGAGAAATTGACCAAGTCCCTAAGTCATAAAAGCGATCCTACCCCCAAACTGGCATGATGAAAAGTGAAAGTTTAAAATATTATGCAAATTATTTGCAGGCTGGGTGACCACATTCTGAACTAGTGTGTGTGGGGGTGTGGAAGGAGGAGTTCAAATAAATTAAAATATTTTTGGGATATACGTGTTAAAACAGTGTAGCAGAACACAAAAAAGGAAAATTGTTTCCATTTAATCTGCACAACTTGCTTAACTAAAATAAGCAATAACAGTTTTCTTAGATATTTTCTATTGACAGATAATATTATTAAACAACTCTAAAATAATAACTTTCATTTTTGACATGCCGTGCCACAGATTCAGAATAACTCCCCTACCCATCCATATGCAGTTTAAAAAAGTTAGGAGACTGTTTTAGAAAAACAAAACAAACAAAAACTAAGCTTAAATTTTTTCAACAAAAATACAATTCTTAAAGGGACACTATAGTCCCCAGAAGAGCTACAGCTTAATATAGTTGTTATGATTACTATAGCCTGTCTAGGCACAGAGAAAATGCAGAGTTTACACTGCTGCCTAGTAACACCTCTAGTAACTGTCAGACAGCCACTACAGTGGATTCCTGGTTTAGCACCTACATTCAGAGTCTATGATGAGATGCTGATTAGCACATGCCAAAAGCCTCCCCATAGCAAAGCATTGGCCTGGCTGAGATCATCAAGATTGATTATCTCAGCCATGGAGGTAGGGACAGCCGCAAGGAGACCAGCAAGGTGTAAGAAAAACATCTTTCCCATTCGATCTGGCATGGCGGGCCGGTTACCTAAACACACACACACACACACACACACAGTATTATAAAGCCAAGTGCATTTGAGGTATATATCGGACTGTTCTACATCCTTCAACAGAACAAGACAAATTCATTAAGAATATGAAAAGTAAATCAAAAAAGGTCAGGTGCATGCTTGGAATAAATAATGTAAGCACACAAAAAGAATAAAAATATATAAACATTTACATAACTTATAAAAGTTTAAAATAATGAAACCGGTAGTACCGGCCAATGAACATGATTCACAACATTATTAATCTAGCATTCCATACAATAATTGCAAAGGGCAGGTCACATCAATAGTAATGTCATGATCTATTTTAACAATTAAATAATATTCATTATCAATGAAATGAATGCATGGAAGATTACAATTTTGGATTAGATTCCTCATTTCATACTCCACCCTTACTTCTAGAGTGCGACACTAATATTTCAAAGGAAGTGTGGCACAATAAATATGTCTTTATTCCTTGGATATGAAAATAAAAGCAGAGGAAACGAGGATAGCAGGAAGCTGTTTAACCTCTGCATGTCGGCAAGCAAAACACCTAACACTTAAGGAAATGTTTTTCTAAAGAGAAATAAATAATAAATACAGGCAAAACCCTGCATAGTGTGTCTAATAATTGTTAAATAGCAATTAAGCTTAGACGTTGGCAAACATGGCTATTGTTTGAGAAAACTCAGAGCAAACATGATGCTGTATGTGTTTGCTTGCACCCCCCATTTATACATATCAGTAGCTGGCTAATTCTAACCAATATGTGGGAAATAGTGTTGGACCATGGGAAAGAAAGTGGATGATGTATTAAAGGAAAACGTTAGTTTTAGGACAAGGCTTGACAAATTTGCTTGGACTCTAGGAGTCAGCTAGAAAAGTTAGGAGCCAGAGAAATCAACGCCAAAAATATTCTTAAAAAGGACACTATAGTCACCAGAACCACTACAGCTTAATGAAGTTGCTCTGATGTCTATATCCTGTCTCTGAACGCTTTTCAATTTAAACACTGACTTTTTAGACAAAAGGCAGTGTTTACATTGCTGCCTCGTGACACCTCTAGCGACAGTCACTCAGACAGCCTCCAAAGGCGCTTTCTGGGTAAGTGCTTCACAATGTGCAGCACCTATGTTAATGTTCATTATAGAGATACATTGATTCAACGCACCTCTATGAGAAGTTAAATTGGCGCAGTGGAATTTTGCCATGCATGCGCAATAGTCTTCCAATGCTTTCCTAGGGGGAAGCACTGGATTGGCTGAGATCGTCAAGATTGATATCAGCCATGGAGGTGGGGCCAGCCACAGCATCATCAGCACGGCATGTGGGGAGAAAGGTGAGTAAAAACATCTTTCCCATGTGATTGGAGGGAAGAGAGACAGACAGACTCTCTCTCTCTCTCTCTCTCTCTTTAAATCCACCCAGCCTCCGTACTTCTGGAGTGTATAGGCTTTCCCTGGTGTCTAGTGGGGCTGATGTCATCGTACTACTCAGCTCCCTCTTGCGTACGGTTTAGTGAGGCAGGGGCCGGAGTAACGTCATATCCCGGCTCCCAGCATCACTGCAGGCCACCCGAGGGAGCAAAGCAGGGAGATTGCAGCTCCCTTGCAGTGGCATTAAGACGTCCGTCTGCCCGCCTCCCTCAGCAATAAATGAGTCGGCCACCCCACTCCCTCTCACAGCTCCCCATAACACGGTCGTCCCCCACCCCTCAGCAATATATGAGCAGTCTTAACGCTCTTACCTCTCAATGAGCTGGCCGGCTGCCTCCCTCAGTCAGCAGTCTGTCTCAGCCCTTCGTGATCCGATTGCCCGCCTCTGCTCTCAGGCAGCCGGTCACGTCGAAAGCTGAAGCTCACAAATCCCAGGCGCCAGGACAAAATTTCCTGGTCGCCATGGCGACCTAGGATTTGTCGAGCCCTGTTTTAGGAATACATATTTGTATTCCTCACGCTAGAGGATACCCTGGGAGACAGCCGCTAGAGGCTGCCTTAATTCTGCAATGTAAAAATTGGAGTTTATCTGAAACTGCAATGTTTGCAGCTGCAGGGCTAAGGGACACTGCAATAAGAATGTAGTCTGGGTGTCTATAGAATCTCTTTAGGATTACAATTGTGGTTAATTAGGTATATTAAGTAATGTATAGAGTGAGAGCATGGCTCATCAAAAGGTTAAAAGGCACAAACAAAGAGAGTACTCACTAAAATAATTTAAGAAAAATGTGAACATTATAATAGCTTCATTTCAATGCGGTATCATTCTCACACAGTTTTGTGAATGGGAAGCTAGTGGTAGGCTGAATGAATCAACGAAAAGTTCACCCACCAGCAGTTTTACAAAACCAGTTCACCGAAATCCACGGGGCAGAACAGACTGGCAATGTCTTCACAACTTTAAGGTTTGAACAGTTTAACCCCTTAAAGTAAGAAGGCAACCACAGACCTCCTGGCATTATTACAACTTCAATGTGATGGTGTTTACCCTAATAGAGTATAAAACCAGTTAAAATTGCCTACTCACATAAGAATGAGAGCAGGAGCTAGAGATATGGCATCTTTAACCCAATGGGTCAAAATAGTTTTTGGTGACTTTGGTGCTTGACACAGACATGTATGACTGCAGAAGTCTTTTGACATTGTTACTGGAGCTTGGCTTCAGCTACATTTTGGGGATTCTAGCATAATGTTGGTAAAACTATTCAAGAGTAATGGCATAAGACACTTTAGTTCCGAATGATAGTCAAACTTTGAACATGCCTTGACTGTAAAAGCCTGATGAAAATAACAAGGTACTCTGGAGGTTATAGTTGGTAATTCATTAAATCTCTTGACAGAAGTGATTGCCACCATAAAAATTTGCTTTCCAGATCAAGTTATGTAAATTCATAGTCCTGAACTGGTTCAAAAGAATGATGACAAGGCAGACAGGAACAGATCAAGGTCCCATGGAGGCACGATGTAACAAACAGATGGTCTGATTAGAGGATCTGCAGCCAAATTTCTGGCCACGAAGCTGTAGAGCATGAAACTCTGGAACTAAGCTAATCCCAAACCCATAGCCAAGCCAGTCTGATATTCTGCAATAATTTGATGATTTCTACATCTGATTCGCTGGCTAAAACCTTTTCAAACTGATCGTACCACATTCTCGGGTACAGAGGTCTTTAAAATGTATGATGCTGTAGACATGAAAGCTCTCCTCATAGATGTTAAAGCTTTCTTATTTTGGGGGGCTTTTATTCTAGAAATCGATTAGGTTCAGTGGTTCTATTAAAAAACTAGGTTACAAAACTGGGTAAGGCAACTTTCAGTACTCCTGATGTTGTGGACTACCATAATGCTGCTGAAGCCTTAGGGGAGATGCAATCCACAACATCTGAAGCACCGTAGGTTGCCTACCACTGATATAGAGATATGCACCTATGGGGGCACAAGAAGCCTCCCCTGATCTTACTCAAAAAACAAAAAGTTTGCTGGAGATCATTATGAAATTAATACGCAAGCGGATTTCGGTTTAGTTTTTTTTTGCTGCAGAGATTACGTAACATTTTAACCCATCCAGGAGCAGTTGGTTGAAATCATGCAGCAAAAACATGTTTTGGCAACAGCTATAACCTTCACTTATGGCTTGTGAGCAGATTTAGGAGGCTTGGAAACCCAAAAACCAAATAACTTTATATGGTACTGCCTAGAGACAAACAGGGACTTTTTTAGAATAAGGAATTTACCTTAAAAACACCTTGAAAATTTGGCAGACTAGATGGTCCAAATGGTTCTTATCTGCTGTCACATTCTATGTTTCTAAATACACAAGGCATTGGGGTAGGCACTCATGCAGTTGATCAGAATCACAGAGCTGTCAGGAGCTCCACCTTCAGATCATGCACCTTGCATGGCACGAATGAAAGTTCAAAGCTGGAATGCACTCAAATGTATTGTACTGCTGTTTTTCTAACCAACAATAAAAAAAAATTGGTAGAAGTCGTCGTGCTTTCCTGTGATCTAGAACCCAGACAGTTTCCTCTCTACAACCAATCTGCCTCCGATCAAGATAACAGTTCTGATTACTTCTGTCCAATCAAATGCTTCTCAGAGTGAAGCATTGAGGATCTAGGGAGTTCGCATGGAAACAGTCACATTCCGTGAATCCAATGCTTCACATAATTTTTTTTTATTTATTTTTTTTATTTTTTAAACGGAAGCCAGTCCTCCACCAAGAGAAGGACTGGAGCTTTTTCACGCTGTATTCAACAATTCTCAACGTGAAGACCTTTCGAAAACGAAGGTCTTAAGGAGCAAGGTCCATACTCTGCCATCCTTATAGTTTTTTTTTTGAGAATATTCGGCATACTCTGTGTCACACGCTCTGCATACTGTCACTGAAGGTATATTACACTAAAAAAAAAAAAACCAAAAAAAAAAACCCTAGAACACACGTCGGGTATTTTAAAGGTTTACCACTGTGCAACAAAACGTGTTAGAAGATTAAAAAATAAAATTACAAAAATAAGGGACAACTTCCTAGTTAATAAAAAGAAAACTCATCAACTAAGCTTTTTGAAACCCTCCAATACTAAAGTGCTTCTTTAAAGCAGTTACAAACAATGATCTAGTGTCTGCTGTGAGGGAAGCTTTATGCACGCCAGACTATGGCTGTAAATCATTTCTATCCGGTCCTCAGCAAAACACCTTATGTTTCCTCACTTAAAGAAAGATTAGCTATAACAAGGAGAAACATGTTTCTTTCCAAATGTACCCACACAAAGACTGACAGATGCCAAACACACACAGTCATCTACATTTGATTAAATCAATCATTTATCTCAAGCCTGGACTGTTTCTTATTGCGTCTATAGGACAAAAAAAAGCAACAACTGCTAAGCTGGGCTTAGAAATACGGTTTCAAAATAAAAAGAGAAGTAAATAATAATTGGCAAACTAAATGATAACTGGATGTAAGGAATATGTGGAAAGCTATTTTTTCAGCTACTTTAGCACTAGCAATTTATTCGTTTTGACAGTAACTAAGCCAACAGCAGGTGTCCTGGTCACAATTTTATCAACGCTGCTGCTACCAAAATAACATCCACCTCTCTATTCTAGCACAACTCAAACAGAGCCAGTATGAGTGGCAAAAGGGAGACCGTTTATTTGGGTACGCAAGTTTCTCCTTTTTGTGGCAAGTTCCAAGGCTTTTCTGTTTTTGTTTGTTTTTTTACTGAGCTCTCACTGCCAACAGAGATGGCAACATGGAAAGTCTGCCATTACAAACTGTGACTAGAGACACATCGTTCAGCCTGGTATACTAGATTGCAACCTATCTGTAACATGGTTTATACATAGTCAAATGATTACAAAGGAGAATGTCAACAATGTGTAAAGAGAGCATAGCCTCTGTTCTCTGACAAACTCAGGAATACAACATGTAAAAAAATTTTTTTTTAAATCCAATTAGTAGTCCTAAACTCCCACAAGAACAAGAAACACAAATACCGTACTTTACAAACAATTCAACAAGAAACTGTTTGCACTCTTTAGAGCAGTACAGCAGTGCGAACTTAATCTGGGACACTGCTGACTCTACAGAACCTGCAGCATTAATTAACAGCAAATGTCCTGTAACAAGTCATAGTGCTGTGCAGATTTCATCGAATGCCACGACCAGACAGCATTACCATAAAACTGCCAACCAACGTACATCCGAATTTAAAAACAAAAGAGAAGTTACTTTATCTAAGATCTATATATTTCATAATTACCAGTATGACAAGAGACGCGCTCAAGAACAAAGTACGTCACAACACAAACACATAATTAAACAGTGTACAAATGTAAATATCTCTCTAGAGAATTGTTGGACTTTTTTTTTTTTTTTTAAATCATCTTTTCACAGGATACACACATTACAACTTGCAAACTAAACTCACTAAAAACAAACATGAAATAGGCTTGTAAAGGGTACGTGTCAGAGTCTAAACGTAAAATGAAAGTTCTGGGAGTGCATTGTTGCAGTTGGTGGTACTATAATACATGAACAGTACTTTTGTCTCCAAACAACATTCCTGTCCCCTCCCCCATACTTGCACATTCTTTGTGGCCATTAATGACTGCAGGATAATCGGAACAGGAGGAAGCCTGCTTGTGGGAAAAGTTCTTCCATCTTCCTTTGAGGGGATGGGAAGGACACAAGAAGTGTTTTGCCTAAAAGTAGCCATCTGACTACCCTGACCGTTTCCACCAGTAACCATGAAACGGTTTGGTTAAGAACATGTGAATATCTTAAACAATGTACAGTTTTTCATAAAAGATCTATCTATAGCTACACACATTTTGCTTTCATAAAAACTGCTTTACATCTCTAACTGAAGGTTCACTCCAGTTTGGGGTGATGTCCATTGACAAAGTCCAAATAATATAATCTTCACTCAGAAAGCTTGTTGCAAATTACAAGGGAGGGAACAAAATAGAATGGACTCGCGATCACAGTGAGACCATTCATTAACTGACAAATGCATGGTGGCCTTTATCTCGGGTTTTGTCAGAGGCAAAGAAAATCAGTGTGCTTGGTATTCATCACTAGTAAAGCCAAATTCTTTTATATACATGGAAACAATGTTAATAAAGTTTGTGAATGTGTTTCACAATGTAACAGTCTAAACTTTAGTTTACACTTTCAAAAGGCTACAAACGGTTTATAAACTTTATAGATATCTAAACATTTGAGTTGAAAATATTTTCTCTATTATATCCGTGTTCACATAAGAATATCAAGTACCCACTTTTGATCTTTCAAAGCCTTGTATAAAGTTACCATCACGGCTAACAATTTACTTGATTTAGAACGTTCTCATTAACCCAACTCCATCGAAACCACACAAAGCTACATGTGACTTATATACCATGTGCAAAGCATCAAAGCATTCTGGATCAGTACAAAAACATTCCAAATATTGTATAGGTAATATAGACACAGGCAATGCATTTTATGTGGATGGGGGTGGGAAGGTAGTTGCAGTAGTACATTCAAGCAAATATATCAATATTTGATAAACTACAAAACGACATGCTTACCTTCTGCAGGCTAGTTGGATTTAACTGTGTTTTATCTATTATTTTTATCGCCACCTAAAAAGGAAGAAAAATAAGGCATTAATTCTGAACTTGATGGATCTGAGTCTTTTCTATAACCAAAATTACTACGAGTACAATAGCTTACATCATTGCTTTAGGCTTTGCCCCTAATCTAGGTCAATGAGCCACAAGCTTAACAAGGCAAACAATGTGTCTCCTACAAAACAGCTGCACGTTTCCTGGGAATGTAGTCTTATACCAAAACAATCAGTATGCTGCATACAATTTCCCAGAATACACAGTCATATCAAAACATCAAAGTAGGGAAAGTGCCATAAAAGGATTTCATTAATTTTATTTTAAAGGTATACTCCAAGCAGCATTACAATGCATGTTCATTGAATAGGTTATGGTGTGGAGGAAATTGGTCTTTTGCACTTTGAGAGTCAGCACAGCAGAAGTGGCACAGACAGTTGTAATTAAGCTGTCAAGTTTGTACAGAAGACCACTGACAAACTACAATTCCCTGAACAGTGTGCGGTGCTCCTAAAACTATGTGGAATTCTCACCATTGGCGACTTTCACTTTGTGGCTCAGGAATAGCCCAGTCAAGAAGTTGCAAAGCCAGTTGTTTTACAGTAAGGGTGTGAGCTTCAAATATTTTGGCATAGCGCATTAAAAGCTCAGTATAAAATTTAGTCTAGTAAGGCAAAAAAAAAAAAAAAAATGTAAAAAAAATTGGTCACTCCTATTTCCCCCTCATAAAATTAGTTTAAAACAGAGAGATCATTTTAATCTAAGAAAGTTACATAAAGCTTAGCTATAATTACCAGTGACAGTTACTGATAAAAAAAAATAAAGCCTGCAAACATGTGCTAAAAAATAAATAGTTATTTTAACCTTCAGATGCCAATGATCTGGCACTATCTTCCCAAGGTTAGAAATAAATATTTTCATCTAATAAGAAAAAATTAAAAATAAATAAAAAACTAAACACAGTTATAAATGATCAACACAAGGTATAGACAATTTTAAGAATGCTGGTGTCATGACACGGCGACTTGAAACTCTTGCACAGATGCAAGGATACAACACTGATATTATGGACTATCCCATTAGTCCATGGGATGGTCCACAGAACTACTTGTGCAATGTGACACTGATGACTACTGGGAATTGATAAAAGTTGATGGCAGAAGCTCTGCCTTTTGATGGCTTTTGTCAACTTCTGGATATCCCATAAAATAAGCTATTGAGGAATGCATTGGAATTTCAGTGAAAGTCCAACAAAGTCAATACTAAATACAAGTATTTCAATTTTTTTTTTAAAATGATCTTTATGAAATACTCCGAAGTAACAGAGCCACTTTAATACTATGGGATTCAAATAAGAGAAAGAAGAAGCATTTTAAAACAAAATGTACCAACTTCTTGGTTTTGCACCCCTCCCTGTCACAGGTGCCTCATCCCAGGGCCCTATTTAGCCTCGTACTGCAGAGAACCCCAGATGGATTTTTTTTTCCCCATATAAGTGGGTTAATCTCATAAGAGCAGACATTAGGCTGTTCGAGTAGGACCTGCCAAGAATGGGGTACATTGAAGTTGTGGCAGGCTTATGCAATGTATGATCATATAATGTAACCAAATCTAGGCAAAATAATGGGGGTTTAGTTACATTATATGATCATTCATTGCATAAGCCTGCCACAACGTCAATGTACCCCATTCTTGGCAGGTCCTACTCGAACAGCCTAATGTCTGCTCTTATGAGATTAACCCACTTATATGGGGGGGGGGAGGAATCCATCTGGGGCTCTCTGCAGTACGAGGCTAAATAGGGCCCTGGAGTGAAAAAAACAAAAACAAAAAACAATAAAATCTTCACCCAGCAATAAAAGGAAAACAAACTTAAAAATGAGGTCATACGCTTTTCGTTCACAATATAGAACTTCCTCAGGGACCAAAATTAATACAGCCTGACTGTATTTTATACTTTGTCATTGCTGTATAATATTTGATTTTAATTTTGGTCCCTGAGGAAGTTCCATATTGTGAACGAAACGTGTAGGACCTCATTTTTAAGTTTATGTTTTCCTTTTATTGCTGGGTGAAGATTCATCCTTAATAAAGCCACTTTATACTTTTTTCCATCATCCTGGGAGTCCTGTTTTCCATTCATTCCTTTGGAGCAACTGGAGAAAGATAACAGCCCCCCACCACTACCAGGGGAGGCACCCTAGAGCGCTATTTTTCATCTAATCTTGTGAGTGCATTTCATGATCATTAATTCACACTATGTATATTTGTGTTTTTTAATTTTAGATTTCTCAGCCGTATCCCAAACGTTTCTGGCTGTTCTATACAATACCTATAGTGCTCCCTGATACAATAAAATTAGGGGAAAAAAATCTTTAAGCCAACAAAATGTAATCAATGATGCTGCTCACCTCTCGTCCGGTTAGGATGTGCCTTGCAAGTTTTACTTTCGCAAAGTTTCCTTTGCCTATGGTTTTAAGAAGTCTGTAGTTCCCAATGTGCGGCTGTTCATCAGCGCAGGAAGCTATGGAATTCCTGCAACGTGCTCCAGAACGAGCAGAGCGAGCAGGAACATCTTGTCGTCCATCTCCATGAGATGTATGCTGCAATAGGACAAAAGGAAGAGATAACTTGCCAAAGCTTCATAGCTTCTAGAAAATAAATATCGGCACATAAAGGAGGCATTCTGTATTGAGAAATAAATGTGACAATGGCTTAATTCATTACAGAAATTATATATAAAAAAAAAAAACACTTTAAAGAAAAGACAAAAAACAACTAGTATCAGCACTTTTATTTGTGGTTTCTTGGAACTTGGAAGGTTCTATTGTATTTAGCTGCTTTTTATGTTTTGAATATATATTTTCTTGTGCGCCCTGTTAAAGTGTATGCTTGTACATTAAAGAAAAGACCTGACATCTTCAGCTAACTTAAGTGCTAACTGTATCTGGAGCTCCATGGTGATGTCCTTCCATCCAGTGTTTAACCTTTTTTTTTTTTTTTTAATGCTAAATAAAGAATCCCCAGTAGCCCATCACATTTGTGCTGCTTGGGCTAATGAGGAGCCTTAATGACCCTTCCTAGATATGAACATACACCCCTGCATTTGCAAACATTCAAATCTCTATTCACACAGAGACACCACGTGCATACATTCAAATACACACAATAGTCCTCCACACGTCCATGGTGGCAAATGGTTTGTTTCTTACACAAACACTTGGCTAGCACCATGGGACTTATTAGTAAAAATAATAAGTCAGGCGTTTCCCCATCCAAGCATTAGTCCATGTATCCATGAGGCCTACTGGGAGGGGAAGTATCTATTGAAATCTACATTATTTTGGTTAAGGAGGAAGACACACACACCAGATCTCAATTATACTTGGCCATCAGGAAAATAAAACTCCAGACAGCTAGGTAATATTTCCCACGAGTATAATTGAACATTGGCAAATGTTATATGATCAACGACGCAGTGTAATAATAATTAAGTATGTCATTAATCCATGCAGAACAGCATTGTGGTGCAACCAGTAAAGGAAAAGGCCAATGTACTGGCAGAATTATAAAGAGACAAAAATAAAAAACTAGGCATATGTAAACCGTTAAAGAACACTAGTTGGTCAACAAAGACCAAGTGATTTGCTACACGTTCCTAGAATGCATGGATTACCTTTGCACAGTGCAATATAGCCCAGTACACCCCAAAAGCCTTAAATAAGGAAATGTCATTACAGTTAGAATAACACGTTTAAAAAGATGTCCTTATACATATAACCACTTGCATGTTTAGAATGGGTTTGTTGGAAGCACAAACCGTTCAACATTTCTTAAAACTAATATGAATGATACATGAACTGCCAAGGTTTACTCTACAACACAAAGTAAATAATGACTCCAATATCTCACTTTCCACAGACTTATCTTCTGTTTGTCAATTCACTGTAGACACACACTTATCACTAATTCTAAGTTTGAATAAACACACATGGGGAAATGGCTCTACACAGCTGTCTGCACACAAATAACTAGAGACACCTAATGACCTAGTTTTGAGGGTTCTGCAACAAAGAAATGTTCAGAGAGGCTGGCTAAGATTATGTATATAATATCCATGAAAAGACACACAAAAAAAAACACATGACAAAGTGATAATTACTATTAACTATCAGTAGTCTCTAAAAACAAACAAACAAAAAAAAAAAAACAATCTTACATAGGAAGAAAACATTTCACAAGTTTAACCAAATGTCACTGATATTTCGAGCACTGTCTATAGACCAGTACAATATGTCTTCAAGTGGAATAGTCTACTGAAATCACTTGTAGCTACAGTTACTGAACATTTCCTTCAAATAAGGTTCAATACAATCTATTTATGTTCCGACCACTGTATCATATTAAGAACAAGGTCATTTCTTATCTACTTGTACAAGGAAACAAAGCAGAGGGAGCTAAATTACCAGATCAATACCTATACAATTGATCTGTGAGATGCATAACTGACAGTCATCTGCAAGTCTCTCCACAAAGCACGGATATATTTCCTAAAACTCTCTCAAAAGAAAGCCTATTTGTAACCAGAGATCACTCTACAATCCTAAATGTACATTTCAGCAGCAGGTATTGGTAGTACTAACAAGACTGCGTGACTCTGTTCTCTATGAATTTGTTACTAAAAGTTTATATGGAACAGCAAATGGAAAATAGAGCACAAAGTGTGTTTTATTATTACTAAGAAAAAGAAACATATTTAAAGGGACACTATAGGCACAAAAAATATATTTGGCTTAATAGAATAGTTTTGGTGCACAGATCATGATCCTGCAGTCTCACTGCTCAATTCACTGGCATTTAGGAGTTTAATAACTTTGTTTATGCAGCCCTTGTCACACCTCCCTGCATGTGACTTACACAGCTTTCCAAAATACTTCCTGCAAAGAGAGAACTAATGTTTAAACTTCCTTTATTACAGTTTGGTCAATTTAGAATTTATTATCTCCTGGCTGTTAATAGTCTGCTAGACTACCCAGGAGCCTCGTGTATGTGATTAAAGTTCCATTACAGGTCATGTGACAAAGCTTTTTTTTTAAAAAAGTTGATTTCTAAATGAAATTGAAAGCATTGTTTTTTCATGCAGACTGACACAATGACTGCATAAAAAGAAACAAAAGTTATTTAACTCCTGAAAGGCAGAGCATTGAGCAGTGGGACTGCAGAGATATGATCTATACGGGGGACACCCAAAAGGTAGAGCCCCAGATGTTTTAAAACCACAGCTTCCATTATGCTTTGTCGTGCTAAAGGCATGCAAAGCATCAGGGGAGTTGTAGTTTCTCAATAATCTGTGGATCTACCTTTCGGCACCTCTGATCTATACACTAAAAACGGCTTCATTAAGCTAAAGTTGTTTTGATGCTTATAGAGTCCCTTTACTGTAAACCATAGCTCTGCATGCAAGTCTGTAACTTTGCACTACCTGTCACGGTTGTCAGGGGAACCTAAACACGCAGACAGATCACAGATACACAGAATTGCAATACTTGTCCTTAAAGTGGCCTGGCTATGCAAAAGAGAGAGTAGTCAGAGTACAAGCCAAGGTCAAGGACAACAGAGAGACTGAATACGAAAGGACAAGCCGAGGTCAAGGATCAAAGAAGACAGAGTAAACGTGAGATAAGCCAAAGTTCGGTAACAAGATAAGAGACAACACGCTATTGGGTTATGAAAGACCACAACAGGGCAAGGAGACATGGGAGAGGTAAGTTTATATGTGCTAAAAGCAATTCTGATTGGCTAACTTCAAATCAGAATTGATCACAACACGTGGAAGGTATTTAGTGCTTCCACTAGGAGCTGTGACATCACTATTTTGTGCCAAGTCAGGTGGCTGACTCAGGCGCCTACTTAGATATGCTGCACGAGAGGCACGCGACCATGCACCCAAACAAAATTAATCAAGATTACATTAAAGGACCATAGTAGGCACCCAGACCACTTCAGCTTAATTAAGTGGTATGGGTGGCAGGTCCCTCTAGTTTTAACCCTGCAGCTGAAAACAGTTTCAGAGAAACCAACATCAGAGGGGGAGGAGAGGGAGCCCAGCGGGAGGAGGGGACCTGAGCATTACACAGTGCCAGGAAAACAAGTTTGTTTTCCTGGCACTATAGTGGTCCTTTAAAAAACATTTGTAATGTGAATTTTCTGAAACATCTGAAAGATTTTCACGTTTAAAAATAGACATTTACAAGAAACCACTCCATTAGGCCCATCCAGTGTGCCCATTTCAGATAAAATAAAAATAAACCATACGTTTTAGTCTTATACTTCATGCTGAGGACTACAATGTAACAATGCCAAGCCTTCATGAGTTTATTCGCTGCATCATTTTCTGACCATTGCTACTGGGAAACTATTCAATGCATCGTGTTCCCTATACACCAAACAAACAACCCATTTAACTATAAGGAACCATTTAAAATGTAAAATATTAAGCCAATCCAATGAGGACATGTAAAAGTAGATTGCCACCTCTTACAAAGAAGCAGGTGTTGCATATAGAATTGTGGCTAATGCCAAGGTTATAGACTAACATGTCAAATGGCACACGCAAAAGTTACACCTGCAAAACAGTCATATCATAACAAACACAGGGAAACAAACTTTTAGATTTACGTAACTCTTGCTAATATGAATAGCCAATTTTAAACTGGCTAACCTCACAGCTTGGCCTGAGCACTAAAATCTTAATGTAGTGATTTGGGCCATCCTGAGAAGCAACACAATTTATGTTTTGTAGTTTCCGCACTAACTAGTGTAGACTTTACTTAGTCTACCGCAATACAAAAAGAAAGCAGCCCGATCCTCCTCCTCCTACAGAGCACCGCAATTGTGGAACGACCTCCCGCACAATTTAAAATCTTCCCTAAGCCTAAAGTCCTCTAAGAGATCCCTCTCTACATACCTCAAAACAGAATGCACCTGTCATGGTTGATTATATATTTCCTACCTGTTCTATGTTAAATTTTGTATTTATTGTGTATTAATATTGGTTTTGTATTTTATTGTACCCTATTGTAACAATGCAATGATTTGTGGACCCAGGATATTTTTGAAAACAAGATAAATCTCAAAGTATCTTTCCTAGTAAAATATTTTATAAATAAATATTCATAACTACTAGCGGCATCAGACTAACAGAAGAATAGAGGTGGCAGTCTACTTTTAACAAGACCACATTACTGAATCTAATTGATGTCCCAGATCATAGAAGCTATGAAAAGCATTGGATTGGAGGATCGCAGTAACTGCTACGCATATGTTGTGCCCTCTTAGAAAAAAAATGAGAAGCATCTGATTGGACAAAAGTAATCAGGATTAAGTACTTCAACTAAGAAGTCTGTCTTGGCACTGTAATAATTGTATGCTGTATAAAACATTTGCCAAATTAAAGTCATACATATTTGCATTATAAAGTTGGAATTTTCCATCGAGGTACAAACCTTCCCTCTTTAAATTAACCTTCAAAAACAAACTACAATATTAAATCGAAAACCAAGCTTTAAGTATTTTACAACCCATTGGAATCCTTCAGTCCTTTACAAGTCAAACAGACCAGCCAATGACTAGCAACGAAGCAGATGTCAAGTAATCTATACTGGATCTAATGAGTTAAGTGATCCACTTGTTTGTATTCAACATCAATGTAAATGAGAATAGCCAACACTGCAAATAGTAAAAACATTAATGTACTACTGGGTGGATATACATTAGACTAGCAATTGCCAAATCAGTCCTCAAGACCCAACAGTCCCGGTTTTATCAGTATCTCCATTGGAATAAAACAGGGAAATACATAAATCCTGGATTGCTGTTGGCCCTTAAGGTTTGGGAACTACTGTGATTAGACAATATCCATTGAACCCCAGAGCACCAGTATATCAAAAAGCTGAGTGTAGGTAAAGTAAGGTAAAGTGTTTCAGATAACACAGTGGTAGTCAAGATGGAACTGCTAATCTATACTTTAAGAGGTCTATCAATCTATTAAAGGGACACTATAGGCATCCAGACCACTTTAGCTCATTAAAGTGGTCTGGGTGCATTGTCCCAGGTCCCTTAATCCTACAAAGGTTATTATGGCAGTTTTTAAGTAACTGCAATAATTATCTTTCAGGATTAACTCCATCTCTAGACATCCGGGGTGTTTAGCGACTTTTGGTCGCCTGACGCTGGACGTCCTCACGCTATGCTAGGGAGGGGGAAACTATACACAAACTTGTTTTCCTGGCACTATAGTTTCCCTTTAAGATGCACACTGAGCCCCATAGCAGTTGTAATTCCATCTCAGATGAAGGGCTACTTGCTGAAATCCACAATCTACAGGCTACTCAAAGAACGCACCCGGTCGTCAGAACTCAGGATCTGGACTAATGCAAAAAGTAACAAAATTAGAAGAACTAGTTTTATGGTTTGCACAAAAGGGACATTGTTATGGAACACAGTAGATTTCCCTTAACTGGAAATATTTAGGTAGGGTAGGGAGCCACATTGGTTTACCAGATTTTTTTTAAAAAGCAACAGTGATCTCTATGTTGAAGAAGTTATGTATAAAATGTTGTATGGTAGACTCTTATCTAGCCTGCCACAAATAATATGTATATATATATGGAAACTATATTAGCAGAAACTGGTACAATTTTGAACAAAATTCTTTAACACCAAAAAGGTAATAAAAATCACTAGCGTCCCCAATATTCTTTCAGCCACTAAAGCATTAATATCCTATTATGTTTGGAAATAAAGATGGCTACGCCCCCAGTAACGATGTTTTCAAATATTATACTAACTATGCACAAAAAAGCACCACTTAAATAATTCTGCATTATTACATTTTGGGGATTCGCATATGGAACATTTTATCACAGCAGTATATACTGAACAACTTATTGAAAGTCACACTGTTTAAACCAAGCATGCATTTATTTAAAAAAATAAAAAAAATAAAAAAAAAAAATGCAGTGCCTCAAAATCTAAAGCTCACACAAGCAAATACAATATCAAAAATCAAGTTGAGTTCAATATGCAAAAACAAAATGTAAAAGAAAATAAAGGTCTACGCGGCCAGCAACTGAAGAACTTAACATTTTCCAACCTCTGTTAATCTCTCATATCTTTATCCTAAAAGCTTTAACCCATAGCACAATATATTTAATACATTTTTTCAACATGGGCCACACTGCACCAGAAAAAGGCAATGCTACTATAGTAAAAGCTTTATAAGGAGGACTATCTGGGCCTTATCAATAGAATGTGCCTGACCCAACCATTGAGGGGTCCCCAGTGAAATAGCATGGAGATCCACATTCTAAGCCCAAAACAAAATTGTAGGACCACATTCTGCTTTTTTTTGTAAGGATTGTCTGGGCCTGATCAATATGATGTGCCTGTGACAATCATTAAAGGGTGGGAGGCAGTGAAATAGAATGTAAGCTCATGGAGCAGGGCCCTCCACCCCTCTGTTCTTGTACGTCCAGTTCTCTGATTACAATTACATGTCTGTTAGTCCACCCATTGTACAGCGCTACGGAATCTGATGACGCTATATAAATAGTAACATAATAAAATAGTATGAGAAGACACATCCTAAGCCAAAAAAAACAATATCAGGACCACATTCTACAAAGGGCACATATCACACAAAAAACAAAAAGGAGGGTTTTTTTTGCCAAGGAGATGCAACTCAATGATCCTACAGGAAGCCTTACTCTACCAGGAGAGAAGGCCTTGCTGAGCCCTCTGGCTGGCAGTGGATAAAGGGGGCATGGAGGTGCCCAACTTACGTTTTCAGTGTCCCTTTCATTCACTGTGGGCAGTGGGGTGCGGGTGGACATGGTGTTTGTTCCCTTGGAGCACTATTTGTGTTGTTGTTGTGGTGGTAGTGATACAGGAAGATGGGAGCTCTGTGGTATTGGTAGTGGTTATAGTCAGTCAGATGATCCCCAGCTTGGGATGGTGGATGTGCGAGGCTGTATTGCAGTCCTTCAGGGCAGCAGACACACACAGGGGTCCTGAGGGGGCATTATTATTATTATTATAATATAATACAGAGGTAATCCAGCCAGGGGCTCCTTATATAACGGTCTCCATCACTGCCATGCAGGGACACTGCACACATGTAACCCAGGGTGGGAAGCAGGGTGGGGGTCTCCCCGAGCGGCCAGTCACACGGACCCCCCGGGCGGGCGGGCCGGTCAGACAGTCACACAGGCCCCGCTGTAATGTCACTGGGGCGAGGCTCGCAGCCGCACAGCTCCTCGGGGCCCCCAGGGACCCACCGCCACAGATAGGAACCGGCGAGACGGAGGCGCTCCGTGTAGCATTTGGGGGGGTTTGAGGTGCCTTGTCCGCCGCCAGTTCGCTGTGCCCCCCCCTCCGTGCCGATCCTACACCATCCAAGATGGCCGCCCCGCTTCCTCCGGACAGAGCCTGGTAGCCTAGCCCTACAGCCGCCGGAAGTGACGTCACGGCAGCGAGCGCGCTCTGATTGGAGCGTTGCGGGGAGCCTGGGCTCTTTTGGCTGTTGCTAAGGGCGACTCCTGCTCAGTGTTGTTAATGGTCCTGCTGGGAAAGGACAGGGGCTGAGGGAGGGAGAGAGAGCTCCCTCCATGGGATCAGTATGTCTGCCAGGACACTGTCAGCTCCTGTGACTGGCTCACATCAAATACTATAGATATGTGTCAAATGAAATCACTGCTGTGGCCATTACACCATTCAATAAAACATTAAACAAAAAAAATCAGCTATACCTTGTATTTAAGAATATTTCACATATAAGGCTGTGTTTTCTTATAAAAGGACTGTATAGGCACTCAGACCACATCATCTCATTCATCTCCCAACTTCTCCCCGTTCTCTAATCAAAACGCGTGGGCAAAGTCCTGAGGTTCCGTGAGCTGCGTCAGCCACAATAGGCGAACTACTATTTGTTCGTACACTCATTGTAAAGCGCTGCGGAATTTGATGGCGCTATATAAATATCATAATAATAATAACTAATCAGGAAAGGGGGGCGACCAGCCTGAAAAGGTGTGGGCCGGTCAGGCAGCGTGGCGGGCCCCCATTTTGAGGGCCAAGCAGGGAGAGCGGCTGAAGTGCTCCCTGCAGGGTCCTAGTGATTTGTCTCTAATGATGCGCCCATGCTGTGCTACGTGGGGGACAGTTCCCTGGTGTCCCCAGATGCTAAAGTGGGACAGGACTCCAAAATCTAAAGTGGTGCATTTGGGAGGCTAGGGTCTGGCTGCACTGTCCCCTTAACCCCGCAATGTAAAACATTGCTGTTTTATAGAAACTAGGTTAAGACTGCCTCTAGTGGCTGTCTACCAGAGGGGGGAGAGGAACACAGTTGTGTTAATAATACAGCTTTGCCTTCCTTTGTGTTCCTTTAAGTCTACATTAACAATTTAGAAGATGACATCACAGTACGTTTCGGTTCAGGCACAGCCAGGGCACACATTAAATGTAAGGAGGAGAAACAAAAACGATAGGTACTGTGTGTAAGATCTGTGGCATTAAGCGGTTACACCAGTGTTACATATTTGTGCCTTTTTTCTAACTTTTCTTGGGGACAAAATCATCGTATGCCTAATTTTATTCCTCCCTGGATTTTTTCTCCTTTTTTTTTATTTCACTAATATTTACCATTCATCTCAAAATAAGGGAAATTATGAATAGTACAAGAAAAAAAAAAAAAAAGATATTCTCAACTGTATGCATTTTCGTATTTATGGTTTTTTTTTGTCAGTCATTGTTTTATTGAAGTATAGAAGTAATATAATTTACAATAATACCGTGATGACATTCAGAGAAAAGCAAAAATATGATATCACATGACTGAGGACAGATGTCCACAATGATGCAGAGCTGACACAATTGTACATTAAGGTAGCAGTGATATTAGCTCACGGTATGATTATACTAGCCTCTCTTATAATAAGAAAAAAATAATAATATATGTCAAAGACACAGTCCGGCTGAGTCCAGTCCGCTCCTAATTTCCCCCATTCTGTCCTCCTCCAGCTTCAGGCTTCCATGAGAGCCCTGACACAATGTCCATTGACCCCAGTGGCCCTGTTGTCCAGGTCAGGTTCCTGAGTGAGTCCATTTGCGAGGGAAAGTCTCCGAGGTGTGTGGATCATGTCTGGGGTAAGGCCATTTTTGGACTTGCCACGATGGTCGGTTATCTCAGTTGTGGCGGTAGCTCGCACATACCGTGCAGAGATATGGGACCAGAATTGAATGCAAACATCATTGAATGCTATGAGAAAGGCTTCTCTCCAAGTTTGCAGGTAGTCTTACACCAGTCGCCATCTTGTGGCAAGAGTATCTGTGCAGATCAGTAAGCTTCGAGAGTGCTTTGTGCCTGGGTGCTGGTAAGAAACAGGTTCCACACCGATGGGGCTGGGAGTCCACAAGACATGATCCACACACCTGGGAGACTTACCCTCATCGGCGGAGCTGCACTGGCTGGATAGGCGACAAGTGGTGTGGGATACAAGACTTGTCACCTATCCAGCCAGTGAAGCTCCGCAGATAAGTTCGGCCGCCACTCCCGGTCAGGACCACACTAGGCCCCAAAACCAGTAATGTGGAGCCTCACTGCTACCGACAATAAGAGAGATCTGTAAAGGCTGTGTTTCAAATATTAAACCATAATCGTCAAGATTAGTGAGGAGCTCCCACTCCATCCTTCTGTTCAGCATGGCGGTCAAACTCTGCACCCATTTATTATGTTTTTTATTCCTTAAAGGGACACTATATTCACCAGAACAACTACAGCTAGTAGTAGCATGTAGTTGTACAGTTGCCTATTGCCTGTCCCTGCAGGCATTTTAATGTAAACACTGCCTTTTCAGAGAAATTTTTTTTTTGAAGCATAGCTGATTTGAGAATTTTTCCAGTTAGGTTATTATGATATTAAAGGGATACTGTAGTGCCAGGAATACAATTCTGTATTTCTGGCACTACCGATCCCTCTGCCTCCTCCCTCCCTCATGCCCCCTCCCAATAAATAAATGGTTAAAAACCCTTCATCCCAGCACCGATGTCCCTCGGCGCTGGGTCAAAGCTCCGCCCCCTATGTCCCTCAACAAGCGTGGTCTAATGCAGCGGCAAATGCCGCCAGCGTCAGATAACAGACCAAAAATCCGTTACAATTCCTGAAGCCCTCTAGTGACTTTCTGGTAGACAGCCACTGAGGGCAGACTTAGAGCTGCAATGTAAACATTGCAGTTTCTCTGGAACTGCAATGTTTAACAATGCAGCACTAGGTGCAAAAGGAACACAGCATCCAGAGCACTTTAATGAGCTGAAGTGGTCTGGGTGCCTACAGTGTCCCTTTAAATTTAGAAAATAACTTTGAATTTACTGGACATGAAAGTCAGGTAAAAAACAACAGGTTTATAGATAGTAAACAAATCCAGGCCAGGCACATATTATAGGAACCGAATAAGATGTCCCCTAGAGAGCAGGACAGGTGACACTGAACTGAAACCAACCCTAGTAACAACAAACAGAACTGGGGCACCAACAGTGACACAACTTACATTTACTGCATATGAGCAATGTTTGTGCTTATATGCATGTGAGCAAGTGAGTGTATTCTTTCCATGTTGGCGGTGAGTGGATGCATATTTGGGGCCAGGGCCGCCATCAGGGTATGACAACCATAACGGTTGTCATGGGCCCGGCGGTCCTGGGGGGCCCGGACTGCTCAGGTCGTCCCAAGCCCCACATTAGCTATGTGCACACATATATAGAGATTAACGCTATATATGTGTGCACTGCGGGCCCCCCGCTACCTGTATTCTGCACGGGGCCCAGCACACTTGAAATATACTGCCCAGCTAATCTGCTCTGTCGAAGTCTCGCGAGCGACGCGATCATCAGAGCTCCGCACGTCTCGCAAGACTTCTACAGAGCAGAGTAGCTGGGCAGTATATTTCAAGTGTCCTGGGCCCCCTGCAGAATACAGGTATCAGGGACTGCATCATTCCTCAGGATCTCTGGCTCCAGCCAATCTGATCTCCACCCTCCATGGCCACAGGTGAGATACAGGGAGGAGGTAATAAAACAATACTATTAATGTAAGAAAAAAAACTGTAGGCTTTCCCCCCCCCCCACATTTTGCAGCCCCATACATTTACACACACTATACACTAACATTTACACACACTATACACCAGTGATGGCGAACCTATGGCACGCTTGCCACAGGTGGAATGCTGGGCCCTCTCTGTCGGCACGTGGCCATGGGTTTGCCATCAATGCAGAGTAGGCACCTGCCTGCCCAAAACGGCAGGCGCCTACTCTGCTTCCGGGTCAGGAGGATCGGAAGCAGGGGGGAGGGATCAAGGAAGCAGCTCTCCTGTCCTCCCTCGAGCTGTGTGGAGCATTGCCGCGTGTTACCATGGCAACGCTCCACACCACATCGCGCGGGAGGACAGGACAGCTGCAGGACTTGTCATCCTGTCCTGCATACTTACCACCACCGGACCACCAGGGATTGCTGTGTTCCCCCCCCTCCCCTTCACCAAAGGTAAGAAGAAGGGGGGGATACGTATTTAATATGTTTAAAAAAAAAAAAAAAAATGTAATGCATCTTCAACTCCTCCCCCCTACACACAGCACCCCTACCCCCAGCAACCCTAGCCCCCTACACACATCACCCCTACCCACCTACACACCCACCCCTACACACAGCACCCCTATCCACAGCAACTACCCCTACACACAGCAAACCCCTACCCCCCTACCCACAGCACACCTTCCCACAGCAACTCTTCCCCCCACCCCCTACACACAGCACCCTACCCCACAGCACCCCTACCCCCCACACACACAGCACCCTACCCCACACACACACACACAGCACTACACACAAACACTGCACCCCTCAATGCAGTATATGTGTGTGTGTGTGTTCAGCAGTCTTTATGTATTCAGCAGTGTGTGTGTGTGTATATTCAGCTGACTTCGTGTGTATTCAGCAGACTGCGTGCATACTCAGCAGACTGCATGCGTACTCAGCAGACTGCGTATGTATATTCAGCAGACTGCGTACTCAGCAGTGTGTGTGTATTCAGCAGTGTGCGTGTATTCAGCGGACTGTGTGCGTGTATTTAGCGGACTGTGTGCGTGTATTTAGCGGACTGTGTGTGTAGGTGTGTGTATGTATTAAGCAGTTGGTGTGTGAATGTGTTCAGCAGTCTGTGTGTATGTATTGCATTTGTTGGAGATACTAATAAATATAAGCTTATTTTATATCATTATTTAATATTTGTATAATTTAACTCTCTGTTGTGTTCTTCTTCTAAAACAAAAGTTGTTAACTGTACGAGTAGTTTTTTCTAAACGTAAACCTCAGTATTCCGGTTTAATTGCCATGTTGGCACTTTGAGGGAAAAAAAGTTGGCATGTATTGCGGTTTGGGCTCTCGGGCTCAAAAAG